ATACCCATACAACATTATTATAATATTATATTCATTATTAACATGATCTGACCAACTTACACATCTCGTTTTAAAGTTTTCATGACGAAAGCCAACAGTGACAAGAAAAACTGTTATTTATATTGCATAAACAATAATTTTACAAATTACATTCAGAGCTACCTTCTCCGTTTGAATAAGAAAGTTTTTCATTTCAATTACTTTGCCACTTAATAGATTTACCTTTATCTGACTTCACGAGCGCTGATCGTTAGTCAAAAGGCATCCATGTCATTGGATTTTTTTTTATCATATAGTCCACTTATTTATCAATAGGACGATGTAGAGATTCTCCTCGAAGATATATATTCCAACCAAATTTGACTTTAACAGTTTAATGACAACATGTGTTAGTAACTGGAACTAAACAGCGTCTTATTATGCAAACTAGACCACACTGTTTAATGTAAACACGAGTCGCTGTAGCTACATTCAATCTCAGAGGATTGAACGAGGCGAGAGTCGTACTGTGAGTACACTGAGATAGAAACAGAGTCTGGCGGTGAAACAACAAGATACAGAGGGTCCAGACGAAACATTAACACACGATGACAAAACAGATCAAATAAAAATGAAATGTGTATGTAAATACAATTTGTATGTAGCACATTGATCATTCATGCTCTTGACTCTCTGAATATTAAATGAGTATATCCTGGGTTTACAGCAGTCATCAACTAATGATTCTTATAGGTTTACAATATATTGAGACGCTGCATCACTTCTTGGTCCAAGTGTGCTTACTACTAAAGTTCACGTCCAAGTTTACTCATCTGACCTTAATACATATAAAAATAGGTAAAAAAACTTTTTAAGTTAAACAGTTTTACGTGAAACATACATTGCAATATTTAAGATAAATGTACTAAAAACCAAAAATAAAAAAACAGATACAGTCATGGGAATTATAAACATATGCATAGACTAGACTAAAATAAAAGCGTGGGGCACGTCAATTGTCTACAAATTATCGACTTAATGTGCGATAGAAGAATCGTTTAATTTGTCGTTAGGCAGGTGGCCCGCAGTTTAAAAAGTTTTTTACCTATTTTATTTTCTAGTTTTTAGTTTTTATTTCGCATTCTGTTTAATTCATTTGTGCTTCATTATTGCAAGGTTTCTTGCCCGTTAGTTTATTGCAGTCCAACTCCTCAAAAAGATTGTTATCAGCCATTTGGTAGCGGCGGCCATCTTAGATTTCAATTTAGCATAGTAAATTGTATTCTACTTGTTGAGACCTTTCATTTGATAACCATGTTGATGGGATTGATAAAACCTAAGTTATCCGCCATTTTGTAGAGGCCGCCATGTTGGATTTTAATTTTATATAGTACATTGTATTCTACTGGTTGAGCAATTTCATTTGATACCAATATTGACGGGATTGATAAAACCTACGTTATCCGCCATTTTGTAGCTGCCGCCATCTTTGATTTCAATTTTTTATAGTATATTGTATTCTGCTTGTTGAGCCCTTTCATTTGATACCCGTATTGATGGGATTAATAAACCATAAATTGTCCGACACATTGTAGCGGCGGCCATCTTAAATTTATAACGAAAATGAATAAACATAATTGTACTGTCTACAAAATCCGAAGTGTATACAAAATTTCAAATTAATCGGTTGACAGGAAGAGGGTGAAATTTGAATTACTAAATTTGACCCAAGAATAAATAAAACAAACGGGGTGAGCTAAAAAAACCGTTTAATAAAAATGGATTCATCATGCGTTAGTGAGTAACGTGCAAGTATAACAATTATCTTCAAGATAGAAATGTTCTGAACATTAATCGTCATACTTTTGTACAGAGTCGGTCAAATAAAACTAATAAATAAATATTATTAATAAGTAAAGCCGCATCACCGGATAACCAGACTCATGGTGGGCTTGCATTTTCGCGTTAAGGACCTTCCTTCTTCCTCAAGCGTACAACGTAAACGGTATCTTCAAGAAAAAGGTGAATAGGTTGTTTCTGAGATAAAACGTTTAGCATCTACGGCTTCAGTTCCATCTACCAACGAGGTTGAATGAAACTCAAGCTGTATCCAGTCGCTATAAAAAAAAAAGTATGCCCGGTTCAATATTGTACATATATCTTACTTTTTCTGTGTAATCATTATGTAGCTAATTTAATTCAGTTATGATAACTGGATTGTCTCCTGGTTCCCTCTTTTTAAATAAAAATTAGTAGTTCAAATAGTCTTACAAACACCTAATATGTCTCTGTCTATATGTTAAACCCCACTTGATTTAGGAGTATTCATAATTTTGAGAATTGATGATCACTTCGTCAAACCTGCATTTGTAGCGAGCTATTGATTAAAAATGAATTTGAGAAACGGCCTTTTACTGAATTATCAATAATGTAGCAGTCGAATCGAGGGTCTCCTTTCATCTTTCTGAAGTCGGTTAAAAAGTAGCCGGAGTTACTTCTTACAATAGGCAAAGACTTGGGAAATTCCGCTAAAAATCGGTACAGTTGTTTCTTAAATAAGCCGGAAAACCTATCACATGGACAAAATGGTTGATACAATGTATACTTCAACATACGTTTAGAGAAAAAATGTTGTATTGAAATTACAAACAAATTCAAATTTCATTTATCAGTATATGCCCACAACGGTGTTCACTTCACTGACAGAGTGAGTCTCACTCATCGGGTACAGTTGTCTACGTGTGACCTTCTGACGAACTATTGACATTACAGTAGTATAATAATATTGCTATTAATGTGAATTGGCAATTTGTTAAGGAAATAAAAAACATTGTATATAAGAAACCACTTTATTTAGGTAAATAATTGAACAAGATGATATTCGACATGATAAATATACCGCGGTATCCATCATTCATTCACTCACTCACTCACTCACTCACTCATCCGTATATCAGTCACTCATTGCTGGACACCGCTTACATCTCGTCCCTAACATTGATTATCTAGTTACAAAAATATAAATTTCAATATTTCTTCTCAAATAATATCTTTCCTCTCTATAGGTATCCTTTACGTCCAGTAACACCACGTGTCAGGAACTGTTCCTATATATTTATTTATCAAGTATCTTTCATATATACTTGTTTATATAGCGCCAGTACAATATATACTTTAAATTTTTCTAACAACTGTCATCACAACTAAGTTGTTTCAATTAAAATTTTAAAAAAACTTAATCAAAAATATTGACGCACATACATTCATATCGATATAGACATTTGTGTCTTTCATAAGTGGTTTTTACAATTTGTATAAAAAAAATCTAAGGAACATTTTAACATTACGTGTGCAGTAAACTAGTAAACAAATGGAGGAAGTTTATATTAAATATATAATAGTAACAAAGTATCGTACAGTTGTATTAAGTCTATCTACTGTTACAATGAGTATCACCGAGCCTCATGCTCGGTACGTACAGACAGCATCACATACACTATAATAGAACAGTTGTTTGTATAACAGTTGTATGTGTACAAGAGTTATTGGTACAACAGTTATTCATTGTCAATGAATATCTACATACAAAAAGCGGATGTAGGGAAAGATCAACGTCGCTTAACTATTCTTATATTAGTCTCAGTTAAAATCGAAGATTACACTTCAAAGCACCACAAGAGGTCGACGACCCCGAAGAAATCATAACAAAAGTTCCGTACAAAAATTTAAAACTTCCATATAACTCCTTAAATAAATGGTGTTCTAACTTTTATTTCGTTCAACCATACATCGATCGTTTCGTATTCATCTTACAACCTAAAAGTAACATTTCATAATAAACACGCGTAAATATTTAATTGAGCACAAATATAAAGTAATTATAATCGTAGGAGCACGATACATACACTAACATCAACAACATCTGATCGCCTTTAATGTTGTGTCGAACAACAGACATGACGACGAGTGTTTATATAGAGATGTGGACGATCACACGAGACTACGGAACATGGACTACGGAGGAGCGAGAGTAGCGGAACAGAAGTACAGTTTGTTCCTAACGCACACGATATAATATCCCGGGATGATTCAGCTGACATGACGACATGTGGAAAAAATATTTACCAAGGTCCAAGGTCATAGTTTCCTTTACAAAGAAAAATTGATAGTAACTATACAGATCAGACATAATGAAAATGAGATACAATATCGATGACAACGTGGAGTATACATCGGATAAACACTTAAGACTAACCCTTTTATTCACGAAATGGCAAAAAATATATATACATATTATAGGTACCTATAAACGTAGACGAAGTGTTAAGAGATGAAGGTTACAAATCATGACAATTTTTAAAGTACATATGGACAGCTTTTTTATTATAATCATATAGAGCGAAAATAATATATTTTATAACTAGGGTATATTTAACGTGTTTTGTTTTATATAAAGCCGGATAAAATTAGTTTAAAAATTTAGCTATAACATTAATTTGATTATCCTGAGATTCATCTGTTCCCAAACATCTCGTGTGCGTCAAGTCCGGTCCTCCCGCGTCCCACGTCTCGTGATGTGTGGACGTGTGTGACGTCACAACATCATTAAAACCTAATTATTATTAACTCCGCGACGTCGTGTTTATATAAGAGTAGCCTCTATTGAAACAGATTTGTATAATATTTGGCACCTATGTATATCACGCCACGTCCCTCGCTCGTTAGAGGAAAGTCGACCGAGAATGTATAACATATACAAGCGAACATAATGAAGTCGCTATGGGATAGAATAGTCTCAAGCACCCGGCCAGCGACGCGTGGCTGATGTAGTGTTAATGAGTAGGAGACCTCGAGTCACCGGTTCGTTGTATAGAACAACAACACAATACAGTGTTAGAAACTTGATATGTTCTCATTCCGCTCACACTGTCTCTAATAACTTAAACAGTACTGGTGTGTGTGTGTGTGTGTATTCATGTTACAACAGTGTTGCGGGGCGCGGTGTGTGTGTGTGCGTGTCGTCAGTCGCGCGCGTGTGTGCGTGTGTGTGCGTCTCTGGGCGGCCGCGCCAGGGAGTACGTCTCGGGCTGGAAGGTCGGCGGACACTGCAGGTGAGGGTACTGCTCCGAGCGGCTGCTCTCCTGGAACACACACACACACATAATATATTAAGGATAAACCGATAAAATAAAAGAAAATAGTACCTGTACAAGGCAGAGACGTTTATAAGATAATACATACACGTGACAGTATATAAGAGCAACTATATCCTTGTCAATATGTCCTTGTATGTTCCACGATAATATAAGGTATAAAGTCGAGGGAATGTCTCTTGTAATAATTCCACCCGCATTCATGATGTATGATGCAGCTGTCTTATATAAAAACAAACTTGTGACAAAGATTTTATGAATTCCGTTATAACTACATTGTTTAGTAAGCGAGGTAACTATAACACCGTGTGTAGCGCCCTACACCCGCTGTGTAACCGCCGGTCGTCAACCCGTGTATCATTATCATACAAGGGTCAAAATGAAAGTTCTTAGAACTGGCCACTTGTAAACAATATAATAAAAAAATAATTATAAAATTTTAAAATAGAACTCTTTGTGATTTTATTTATTTCCAAAAATTAAAGAAAAACTGAAAGGATAGCGGTTTATGAATGCTGAAGACGCGGTGGCCGAGTATCGCGATGCCATTGAAGAGACCCCTAAGGACGAGTGGGCAAAGTGCTTTTCCCAGTGGTTCCATCGCATGCAGCGGTGTATTGACTTGAATGGACAATATTTTGAAAAGATATAATAAAACTAATAACTGGCTAATGTAATCAGTTTTTGATTTTCTAAGAACTTTCAGTTTGACCCTCGTATGTTCGTGTCTGTCATGTTAGTTCAGTTCAACACTCACTTGTCGCACGAGGTCCCGTCTGGCTCCGAACATGAGCCGCAGCCGCGACACGCCCGACGACACGTTGCTGAAAACACAGACAAATGATTTTCATAAAATTTAAAATATTTGGGGGCGATAAATCGATCTAGCTAGGAATCATTTTTAGAAAACGACATTTTATTTAAAAAAAATAACAAAAAGGAGCAGTTTAAAATATGACTCCTCCTGACATCTATTGGCGAATAGTAATACTACTTTTTGCTAATTGCTTTTAATAATTGTCTAACCCTTAACCAACTAAGTGAGTATTCTTAATAATTCTACTAGACCACTTGATATTTGGAGTTTCTCTCTTATTTACGGATGAGATTTTGGACAAAATTTTACTACACACAAATAATGAAATAAGACTAATGAGATAAAAATACAATACGTATGATATAAAAAGAAACACAAAGCGGATTACTGTTTTGTACGTAAACTACCTATTTCTTTGGAATTTTTGTAAAAAATGTGTTGTTACTGCTGCGAAAAAATTGAAAAGTTGAGGCGTTGCAATTTTGTTTAATTTCTTATTTCTTATTTCGTTTTTTTATTTGATTTAATTTTAAGTTTATTCAAATTAATAGAAATAAGAAAAAAAATTGAAAAATTTTATTATTTTAGAATAAAGATCTCATTTTCTTAGTATAGTTATTTATGATGCCATATTCCTTATACCATAGATATTATTCCATTTTTATAAAACATTTTAATTACTTTTGTTAATTTGTGACGCATAAATAAAACAATTAAGTATAGCCATGTATTTTATTTAACTAAACTTTACTTTCTTATCATAGAACCCAAAATAATCGCAAAAATTTTTGAGCGGCCTCTGTGAAGCGGTTAAAGGACAAAAATAGGTGATAGGTGGTTAAGGGTTAAACGACACAACAGATGATGGCGTTGCTAAGTATCAGGAAGTCATTGAGTGTTTGTTTTGACGTTAGACTAAGAAATTAATTGTTGATTTATATTGTTTTGTGTCTTCTAAACGTGTTCACTTAAAAATGCCTACACGAATTAAAAATAAATAAATAAATACTAAAAATTCCTAAATACCGAGCAAAGCTTAGTGACCAGATATTTATCATTATATAGGATTAAAGATAACCTTTATATTAATACTGAGTTACAATACTGTGAGACGTTGTTGGGTAGACCGCGAACACACATACATACAAAGACTTACTCACAATATCTCTTTTTTTAGTATTAAGATAAAAAAAAAAACAAACAACGTCAATATTAAAATTAAATCAAGATATAAAATTTTCAGGGTTTTTATGTATATTAAGTTCACTGAATCAAATCTTACCTGAAACGATTAACATTTAATATTATTATAGTTCACACGTACCTGTCGGCGGCCGGATGCGGACCGTGCGAAGAGCCGGACACCATCTGTAACACACACACACACACACTCAGCTTACTTAGATCGACTTAGAGAACGCGTTCTCGACGGTCGATACAATATGATTTGTTGCTATTCGCGCTAAGATGATTTAACCTTCTACCCCTAGTTAGTGATATGGCCGTGTCAATTACTCAAAATTAAAGTTTTCTATAGTAACTAAAGAAGGCCCTACAAAAAAATTTAGTAATAAGTTAGGACTATTTAAAGGCTGTTGTTTATCTCCAATAATGGAGATATCGGTTCACATTCAATAATAAATGCAAAGAATCCATTTTAAACTTCGCTAACGATCTCGCAATACTGACACGTAACCCCAAACACTGTCAAGTACTATTGGATGAAGTGGATAAATTCTGTGAGTGGACGGATGGATTGAGGACATTTTGTTCAACCTGGTTTTCCAAGTAAATGTCACTGTCTGTATCCCGGTAGACGGAATATTAGATATAACTGATACACAAGATATATCTCATTAATAGAGTTTACGGTATCTTGGGAAACTCACATCCCCAGAAACCATCCCATTGTGCCGTATAGGGCTTATCATCAAGGTCAATAAATATTACGAACTCACTAGGAATAGAGAGAGAGAAACCTACTAAAAGACTTGGGTCTGTCTAGAACTCATATAAATTCATTCTTGAAACGTATTTCAAAGGCAGCACTAGTCATTTTTTTTCAAATTGGTTAAATAGAGAGAGGAGCTTGGACGGTGGAGGTGAGCGTTTAACGCGCGTTAGATAGACCTGCTATTGAATGCTAAGAGATTTCATCTAGTATAGTATATACATACCGAGTCAGTCCGTCCGTCTCGCTCGTCCGGATACACGAGGGTCTCGTAACTGGAACACGACACGATCACATGTTAAGAAATCTGATTGAAAGTGTTAGATAGAAATATGTTTCATGCTATGTAGTTACTTATTAGTATTACAGTTAAATGAGACTTTCTTCATTATTTTCTGATTTAATGCGAACACAGCAGTTCGTCTTTTCTAATGATCCTAAATATCTAAATTATTTTCTGTCACCATAACGCCTTTTATTTCCTTGTGTTATCTCGGTACGTCTCCGCGCCGCCCGCTATCTGAGCTAGACACATCACTAGTATTTCGATGATGTTTTGTATTAACGAGCCAAGACCACAAGGAAACTTAATGTAACTCTCAGATACCGACTTACAAACAACACACGATATATATGTATATTTATAGTGAACATTAATTTATTGTGGTCCTCTGTGAAGTTATATACAATTTCTTATATTTTATAATTACAACAAGGATAAATACCATCACTACCGGTAGAATATGCATTGTTTTAGGTTTACTCGACGTTTGTATTATGCAAAAAAGTCAAGGAAACAAAAATGGTTACCAGAACTTAACATCCCCCAACAACCCATGAAAATATTAAGTTACGCGCTGTCAGTTCATATCGTAGTTCCGAGCTGTGTCCGGTGCCTGTGAGGACTACATCAAGCTGTGTATGAACGGTCGCTCACCCATCCTTGTCAGGGACGGAGATCGGTTTGTTCCTGTCTCTATGCTCGGGCGCCAGCTCCCCGTAGATCACGTCGGGCACGATCCGGTCCAGCCGTCGCTGTAGCTCGCCCCCCTCCCCCTCCCCCGCCGCGGTCCCCTGCGCCCCCCCCGGCGCGGCCCTCCCCGCCGCCCGCGCGCCCCGCTCCACCCCGAGCAGCACTCGTCCGGAGTACAGCTGCTGCCTCTCCTCCGCCTGTTTCTGCAGCATGAACTCCTCGAGCGTCACGAGCCCCGCCAGGCTGTCCGGCTTTGGCACCTTCGGCTTGGGAACCTACAACCATGACCTCAGTTACCACTCCATGGATGACTCTCGAGGCTGCCCCCCCCCCCCCTCCACCATGAGAAAAGACCACACTCCATACAACCATCTCATATTTTTATAATTTCAACAATCACTTTGTGAAATAAAAATTTAAAATAGCTCTCCTACATTGTTCACCGACGTTACAGAGCTGTATTCCATACATTTTAGTAAGTTTCGGCTTATACGTAATCCATAATACAAAAAATAATATTAACACGAAAAATATACGAGCACCTATATATCCCGTCCACAATAAATAACTGTCATACATAGAAAGGGGACATAATGTGCAATACTTGACTGACATTCAGGATCTTAAAATCTTATCTACTGATGTAGTATTTAAGAACGATCTATTACATACTTGTGATAAGACGTGCTTGTTACTGATCCTTTTTTTTTCTTCTTAACTATTTTGATTTAAATATTCGTATACATAGTATTCTTTCAAATTTTCGCCGTGTCCCATATATTTTCGTGTTAATTATAAGAATACAATATATGATGGCTTAAAAGCATGCACAAAGATTTGGAATAGGGTAGGCAAAATGTAGGAAAAATAAAATAGCAATTTTCATAATTTCCTTTCTAAAACAATGTAATAATGATATTATCTTTCGCAAGTATTGATTTAAATTTTAAATGAAACTAATATTTTTATTATTTTTAACAGGCATACGATATCTGTCGTGATCACGGTTGCTACAAAGTAATCGAAACGTCGGGAGTATGTAGTTTTTAAACATAACAAAATACGCGAATTGATCAGAAAATATTAATTCCTTTTAAACATTGATAATATTCGCGCATGACGTTACAGCAGTCCGATCAGAACGAACATCTATATACTTTATGAATCTCTCAACTGCTTCTGAGCCATGAACGTATCTTAAAACGATTACGATCTGTTCATCACAGCTTTACAAGTTATTTAAATACGAATATCCAGTGGAGACTCAAACATTCTTATTAGTATCATTTGAAAAAACATACAAGGCAAACAAAATAACTTATTTGTGTGTACACAACCTGCTAACTAATTAAAACTATCATAATACTTTTATTAAAACGAATAACATTACCTTTCTTAGTTTAATCTCAGCTGTACACACCTTGACTTTACAGTTCTTTTAATTTTATTATCAAACGACAATATTGAAAATCTACTCGTAACTAATTTCAAAAATCACACATCATAAGCACAGAGCTCACAGTTATAATTTTCCATAATTCGTTAATAAATTAATCCGCTGTTTAGTAATTAAAACTTATTCACTTGCGCTTAGAAAGACAAATGACAATATTCAATACTAATAAAATGGCTAAAATAATAATAGGTACCGACCAATCAGAGAGTCCCGTTTCGTTTGACAATTAACGAACTTTCGACGATATTTTAAACAATACAAAATAATCAGTGCTTCTCGAACACTATGCATGTGTTAGTTTGACACACACACAAACATACAAGCATTTCCTGCATACATATACGAGAATTGTAGATCATCCTTGAGATTTTTTATATGGAAAATAAGCACAGAGTGGTTGTGTATACCGCAGCTCTGGCTACATAGCGGCGCTAGCAGTTAGCAGCGACCGATCGAAAATGTTTCGTATTTACATTGATAGATGGCACTTATTACAAAATCATGAATCTGTTAACATTTGTATACCGTAATGTTTGGTTAAAAGTAGGTATTAGTAAGAATTAAACAATATCGGATTAGTTGTTGTATGCGTAGGGTAAGCAGTGCTTTTTGCATCTATGGTGTGCACGCCATAAGATGGCAGAAAACGCGTTCAAAATGTGTATGGAGTGTCGTCGATCATATTTCAAAGACGTCAGTGGTGTGTTTGTATATCTACTATTACCAAACAAGATAACACGTCTGTTGAGGGTCAGGGTATTGTTAGAACTACAAAAGCTGTAAATGCTGTGAAAAGATTTCATCAGGAAGCAAAGGGTTAGTCATAAACCGAGAAACGAAGATTCTCAGCAGGGCACTGTGGTCTATTATAAAACAAGACTGGAAGAACGGAGTTTAGAGTTGATGTACCGGACATCATCTGGATCAATCTTTACAAATTAAAAAAATGGAAAACGCCTTCGGTCTCGTTAAAAAATACATTGATTTTATTTACGTTTATGTTTATTTTATTTCCTTTATAAAAAGAAATACTTGACAACTAGGACACCCTAGATTCGAATATTAATCTAATGTCTCTTTCTACATTGTTTATTTGATTTTTCGATTTAATTTAAATTTAGTTTAATGTCGCTAAACATCGTAACTATATGTGTATATAATATTTATAATCATATAAAGAACACTTTAATTTTTTTTAATTTACGTTAACATGTGGGTCTACACCAAATCTCCATATAAGATTTTATAGCTTGGTTGTAAGCTAAAAAGGTTTTACTTATAATTAACGACTCGAATATATAATATACTAGCTTGCCGCCCGCAGTTTCCCCCGCGTGGAGTTCGGTTAAATCGCGTTTCCAAGAGAACCTTTCAAAAGTCTGGGATAAAAACTATCCTATGTTCTTTCTCAAGGTCAACTCTATATCTGCACCAAATTTTATTAAAATCAGTTCAGTGGTTTAGGTGTGAAAGCGTAACAGACAGACAGACACAGACAGAGTTACTTTCGCATTTATAATATTAGTAGGGATATTATTTGGTGCAGTCCTTGGAACGTGCTACGCTACTTACTAATACCAAAATTTAATCTTGATTAGTTTATCAGTTAAAAAATTTATAACACTGTATAAAGTATATAACTTCACTTTAAACATATATAATATCCTAAATATTGTAGTTCTTGTGTTATCAAAATCATTTCCATGACAAATCATAGACATTGCACGCACATGCGCAGTTCAGCTACGCACAATCAACATCGCGACGCGATGCAGCGAAACGCTTAGTTAATTTTTAAGTTACCCAAATTTTTAAACTCGCTATATGTTTTGAATGGAGTATCCGATTAAAATAATTTAAACAGCAATATAAAGGTATTGAACTACTGTTAAATAAAAAGTAAGTTATTTAGATAAGTATAAATACCATGGTATGAATATCGACATCTTATTTTCGTTGCCGATTTAAATAGTTTGTTAAACTATAAGTTTTTATATTGGTGTAACTATAATACTTAGATATACACTACCGCGGACTTTTCTGTAGATAATAATGCGGTCAATAAAATCGCTTAAACATTATTTTGCTCCATCATCAATAGTTATTGCAGCGCACGCGATTTAAGGTATTTCAATAGTGATTTTTATCGACCGTGGTTTATGTTATTAAAGTTTTGGCAAGGATCCCTAATTTTTTTTCAAAATAAAATATAGCCTATGTTACTTTGGAAAGATGTACAATCATAATGGTGAAAGAATTTTTAAAATCGGTCCAGTAGTTTTTGAGCCTATTCGTAACAAACAAACAAACAAACAAATATTACGAATAGGCTCAAAAACTACTGGACCGATTTTAAAAAATAAAAACCATTTAATTGATACAACAAGTTAAACTTGTAATACTATAGAAATAGTTGTAACTGTATTAATGTCGCTTTGACCGGTCGCGGACACGTGGAGATCGTTATACAGCATGTGTTGGTGTGTGTCTACTGTGGACGCATTTATCTATACTAAAATCATTCTCTTAGGAATACTTAAACAAAGTTGAAACTGTATAATATCTGAATACTGAATACTCTGACAACCCTCACAGGTCTCCGAAATTCAAATATCTTAGAAAATTGCATAGTATTAACTAGACTACACTGAACCTTAAAATAGAGTGAATACGACACGAGTCTTTATAAATGTACGAGTTTTAGTACGTAACGTTCAGATTATATACTGCCCTTCAAGGATCAACAAAAGTTGTGGGAACACACGCTCCTTACCAGGCGACTGTAACACTTCCATACGATTCTGTCTCTCACAAGTAACATTTTAAGAGTATCAGATATCAAAGATACGGTTCATTCTACCAGGAATAGTCATATTCCCACATATAAAGCTGTGAGGAAATGTATACTTGGAAATGGTCAACTTGTAGCCCTCATTTTCTACCTGTCGCAGCTCTACACACACCTGTATGGTCGGCTTTGTGACGAAGTCGCTCTTCTCGAAGTCCAGCAAGTTGGGGTTGGACGCGTGGATGTAGTTGATGGGCTTCGGCAGCTTCTTACTGCTGGAGGAGGAGGCGCGGGGCGCGGGGGGGAGGGCCACGGGGGGAGGGGAGAGGGGGCTCCGCGCGACGGTAGCTGCGGTAATGCTCCGTAGGCACGGGCACGCCGGACGGCTTCTGAAAAAGTATAAGAATCGTGGTAAAAAAACTTGTTAAGTTAAACGGTTTTACGTGAAACATACATTGCAATGTTTAAGATAAATGTACTAAAAACCAAAAAATAATAAAATAGATACAGTCGTGGGAATTATAAACATAAGCACACACTAGACTAAAATGTGCGATAGAAGAATCGTTTAATTCGTCGTTAGACAGTTGGCCCGCAGACGGTGAGGAAATTACTTACTATTTTCTTGCTCATGGAAATTACAACTGCCTAATTATATTGTAACATTACAAAACAAACATTTCAATCAACGATTGTAGACATTTTATTTTTTATTTTATTTCTTGGATTTTATTTGTTATAGTATATTTTATTCTGCTTGTTGAGCCCTTTCATTTCATACCCATATTGATGGGATTAATAAAACAAAAATTGTCCGCCATTTTATAGCGGCGGCCATCTTAAATTTATAATGAAAATGAATAAACATAATGAAAATGAATAAACATAATGTCACCAAAACCAAACACCAAAGTGTATACAAAATTTCAGATTAATCGGTTGACAGGAAGAGGGTGAAATTTTAATTAATAAATTTGACCCAAGAATAAATAAAACAAACGGGGTGAGCTAAATAAAAAGGTTTAACAACCATCACTTGTGATCCAGCCTGGCTCTGAAAGTCATGTACTAGGAATTAAACTTTATGGCGATCACCAGAAGGTCTACAATCCCCTACCTTGGCCGTCTTACTGTCGTCCTTGGCGCGCGCTCGCGAGAAGAACCTCAGATATTTCCTGTCGAGGCTGGTGGCGGCCTGCTGGCTCACGTTCTCCTGTGAATCGCTCCTGCTCGTCCGATGCGTCAACTTCTTCAACGATCCAAACTTCGACTTCTCCTTCTCCCTCTCCTTCTCCCTCTCTTTCTCCTTCTCCATTCTTCTTTCCGATGTTTCTAAATCCGATTCGGTTTCAGAATAATCAGTTTCCGAAAACTGTTTTGATAGCTCCATCTGCATACAAACACATTTAATCACTTTAAATAGGATTGGCGAGGCTTAGTACAGTCCGTTTAATGAATAACTGTGATTTAGAAGTACATATCCGATTTTTAAAATACTTCCCACATAACGTTTAAGAAACTTTGTCTGAAAGATTACGTGGGTGTCTCTGTAGTACTTGTTAGTTTATATTAAAATAATACAACTAGCGCCATCTAGTGGTAAATATGTAAGACACATGTAGTAGTTTAGTTTTGTCTATGAATAAAACAGTTCGTTTTGGCGTAGCAAGCAAGCACGTTGTTTTATTAGTACTACCCGGTGGAGGTCACGTGACACATAATACACACCGCCTCGGAGAGCAGCGAGGGCAGCAGCGTGGCGCGGTGTATGAGACCGATCCAGGCCAGCATCGCCTCGCGCGAGTCGCACGCGAAGTAGAAGGCCGTCCCCGTGTGGTACACTTTGAAGGCGTGCGCGCGGGACTTGACCTCGGCCGCCGCGCACACCGTGAACCCCTCCAGGTAGATCATGCAGGCGGCGCGCGAGCACTCCGCCGAGCGGTAGGCGTACAGCAGGTTGTGGGCCAGCAGCAGGTGGCGCGCGGCCCAGCGCGTGCAGCCCGGACCCGCGCCCGCTCGCACGCGCTGCACCACGCTGCCGCACGCGCCGCGCCCCGCCAGCAGCCGCGCCGGCACCGAGCGACGCTTCACCAGCAGGGAGTTTTTCTTCTTGAGACTGCGGGCCTTCGAGGAGGGGAACAGGCCCCGCGGGACCCCGGCCCCGCCCGGCGTCGACCCGCCGCCCGGGCTGGCGGCCGGCACCGTGACGTCATCCTTCCTTGCGGCCGCGCGCTCCGCCTCGCCGTTGATGGCGGGCAGCTCGCGCCTCTCCGCCGACACCAGTTTGATGTCGTGTTTGGTGATGTGTCTCAGCGGCACAGACGCCTGGAACGAGTTGTCTCGTATGTTATGATTCAGTCGAGTTGGGATCGTAAGGCTAGGTTGTTAAAGATATATTTTTAAGCCAATAAACAAAGAAATCGGAGACTATCAAACATTAACGATTGATGGCAGGCATTGACAGAAAAAAAGGAGGAAAAATATCTTAGTTTTAGAATCGACAACAACTTAACGTGGAGTCCTCAAATTAGTTACGTCATGACCAAACAAAGATCGTTGCTTGGTGCCTTTCGGCATAGTATTGGCTGTTTTTCCCGAAAAGTTCGTTACTCTTACATTAAATCTAATTTAACATATTAAGTTATTGAATTTTTGGTAAACAGGGTCGAAAACAAAATTAAATACACTGCAATCGTTACAAAACAAAATTATAAAAACATTATTCAATTCTAAATACAGAACTAGTATGTATTGAAAAAATCTATAGAGAAACTAATATTATGAATATTACCCATTAAACCACTTTCACACGCTATTAACCACTTACAAAATTTTACACAATAAAATTAATTCGAAAATACAATTAACTTTGAACAAAGAATCACCAAGATATAGTTTACGTAGACCCAAAAAAAACTTTATAATACCCAAAATTAAAACTAAATACGGACATCTTAGACTTTTGAGGGAGCACAACTATTCAACAAATTACCAGACGAATTAAAAAACATTAAATCATTAAGTATTTTTAAGAAGAGGCTCAGGAACCATATATTGGGTTCATTTAAAAATAAATAATTATATTCACTTTAATGATTACATAGTAATTTTTCATGTGCATTCTTATGCGAATAAGACCTCGAATAGCCAAGCAACCAATGAACGATCAGCGGCTGTAATATCAACTAACCGGCCACTCGTGCGGGACGGTTGTACTAATTCTAAATGCTTTTAGATGTATACAAAATTGATTTAATACTAGTAAACCCCGCGAACTCCGTTTCGCCACCAGAAGGCTTTTATATAACATTTCGTTTGGTGATTAAAAGATGAAGAATTTTTTTTTGCTTTAAATTTGAAAAGGAAAATTTTTATTTCATTTCACAACAGTAATTAATTAATTTCGATTATAAAAATGAAGTGTTATTTAGTTGAACTTCTCTAAGTAAATGAAAGTGAATCCAAAGTAGATACCGTGGAAGTGATCCTTTGTAAACCACATTTTTATTTTTTGGTTTAATCGAAGCGTTATACGTGTCCGCAAATTATCCGTTTCATTGAAGTGGTCCTTTGTAAACCACATTTTTTGTTTTTTGGTCTAACTTTAACACAAATAAAGCGGATGGTTTCCAAACTCGTGAACACGCAAAATATAACGCCCATGTGAAAAACAATGATTTTCTAAAATCCCGCAAATACTAAATTGTTTTAAGAGTTCAAACTACAAACACAATACCGGTTTGTCACATGAAATTAACTGAGCAGAGAACAATGAGTAGCTGTCAAACAATGTATCATGCACCTGCGCCATCTATTTAAAATATTGATTTGTAGTACATGTTTTACAACGAATGCAAAACCGTGGAAAGTGGTTCGTTCGTTCTGTAGTTATAGCGTCAGGATGGAAAACCGGACTTATTTTTATATAGTAGATCTCTTACAAATATCTAATTGTCATCATTACGTCATTATATATCTGTCATTATACGTCAATTGCATAGCTGTCAATTGTGTTTCGTTATTCCACGTTTCATAGTGACTGACGTTTCATGTCAAGTCCCACGGGAATACTGTCGAACGAGATAAAAAGAATCCTATTGCAATTTACTGGTTCTAAACTACCTCCCCGCTATTTTTCAGCTAAATCGGTTCAGCCGTTCTTGAGTTATAAGTGGAGTAACTAACACGACTTTCTTTTATATGTATATACAGATGTATAGGTATGTGTTAACTGCTAAACTTTTTTTGTGTTTTACCCATATCATTTTTTTTTTTTATTGTTTTTATTTAAGATTTTTTATTAATTTTCTCATGTAAGTGACTGTTGTGTTTTTAATGAGAAATATATATTCTTTAAACCTAACCTATGTCTCACCTGCGGTATCTCTGGTCTCAGGGCCTTGAGCGGAGACGCGTCCCGGGACTCGGTGGGTCGAGGGAGGACGCGCACTGGAGGGTACTGAGGAGCGTCACGGGGGGGAGGGCGCGGCTCGCGGGGAGCGGGGGGCGCGGGACGGTGGGGGAGGGAGGGGCGCGGGGGAGGAGAGGGAGGACGGGACGGGTCCACCGGGCGGAAACGCTCCGTGATGCGGGGTTTCGTTTGCCTGAAATTATTGAAGTGGTATTTAGTTCAATGAATATAATCCGACAAAAAATCACTTTCATAGAGTCATTCATTTAGTAGACCTTATGTAGCGATGGACCCGGCTTGAACATTGGTTCAGGTATCAAACCGAAACGTTGTATAAAGATAAGAAATACTAAGTGAGATATTAAACATTGATAATATAATGATTATATATGTTCAAAATATGTTCTAAGATCCCGCATCTGGACGTATTTTCTGATGCCTTGCCCAGATTTAAGAATAAAATCAATCAATTAACATCTTAGTCTGTAGTCACATTTTATCACATGTTTCTGTTTCTATGATTTATATTTAAATTTATTTTCTTTTTCTTGTAATTTTGTATATTGTTATTTAATTATCACTTAAATTCATCAGGTAGAAAATAAGTTTTTTTTTTTCTTTTTATGAATGTTGTGTACGTCCGTAATTGTCACTTATATCAGGTCCTAGATTTTATTAATTTTATGTGTTGTTTATGTGTGCTGATGTACCTTTTAATAAATAAATAAATAAATGAAGGTCTCGTTGAAGAACATACATAGTTTAAAAAACTCTCATATTTCCCAATTTTTTGAATAGTTACAATATTTCGTTATCTCTAAAAAGGTTTGTTTAATTCAGACATTTAGTTGTTATAATACTCATTGACAATATTTATTTTTGCACAAAAAACCGAAGACATTCTGGAAAGGCAAAATTTTAAGTCGAATGAAAGAACAGAATGGTGCTGTCATGAGACACATGAATCTGTCTTAATAATAGACACGAACTGTTCGCGCGGAACAACAACTACCTACCTGTTATAAGACGTTCCTTACCTCATGGTAGGAGCCGCTTGTTGGTCGTCGCTGCTCGTGTCGTCCGCGGCCGCCTCCCTCCTCCTCCTCGCGTCCTCCCTGCCTCTGTCCCTAACGCCTCCCCCCGTCTCCCTCATCACCTCATTGACCGTCTCCACTATCTCTAGCTTCGTGTCGTCCTCAGTGAAGCCGTCGTTCTTGTCCTCGTCTCCGTTCGCCCGCCGGTTCCTCTGCTGGATGGCCTCCTCTATCTGCGAGCTGGACTTCTTGAAGTCCAGTATCTGTCCCTCCTTCTCCGTGTGAGGGCCGTCTGTGACGGGAGTGGTGGGTGACTCCGGGATGGTCTGCGCGGCCAACGACCCCGGCTCCGAGCTCGGCTCGAAGTCGTAGGCGGGGGTCGAGTGACTCTTGTCGAGCTTCCCGCGACACGGCGAGGCGGCGGGCGGAGCCAGCGGCCGCGGCACCACTAGGCACGTGCGGGGCCGCGGAGACAGCTGCAGGCCCGTGCTGCACGACACGGCCTGGCGGGCACAGGCGCGGCGATATACACACACAGTACAGGTATTAAACATTGGGACAAACACGATACATTATTTTCGTACCTTATCTCTCCGATAAAGGGCGTTGTCCCCATCGGCGCATGCCAGGCGCTGCTGCTGCAACTGCTGCCACAACTGAGGAACAGAAAAAAATGACCCGAAATTAGGTGACTCCTTATTAAGACTCTTATTCGCTTTAAGTGTCAAACTTAACTTTCAAATTACTCATTTAGATGTAATAACAGCATTCCTAAATGGTTATCTACATGAATTTTCATGTAGATAACCATTATACATTTGTATACATGCAAGCTCCACCCAACTTGGATTGTAAAGAAAATTGTGTTCTCAAACTTAATCAAGCAATTTATGGTCTTAAACAATCAGCCAGGGCATGGAATGAAAGAATAAATGATTGTTTATTAATGTTAAATCTAAGTTAGTTTATATACTAAAAAATGCAAAAAGGAGCAGATTATAGTAGCAATTTTTGTAGATGATTTTTTAATTTTTTCTAACAGTAGTAATATGGTTAAGGAATTAAAAACTAATCTAATGTCAAAATTTAAAATTAAAGACCTAGGGCAAGTAAAACAGTGTTTGGGTATGAGGGTAAAGATGTATGAAAATGGCTGTATTTCCTTGGATAAAGAAAAATTTGTAGATCATATATTAAGTAAGTTTAATATGACAAATTGTAAAGTTGTTGATACTCCTATTGAATGTAACCTAAAATTAGAAAAAAGTGTAGAAATTTGTAGACAATATCCATATCAACAACTAATAGGTAACCTGATGTACTTAAGTGTTTTAACTCGTTCAGACATTTCCTACAGCGTGAGCTATTTGAGCCAATTCAATAATTGTTATTCCTATACACATTGGAAGCATGCAAAACGTATCCTAAGGTATTTATGTAAAACTAAATCATATGGGCTTATATTTAGCAAAGATAATTGTAGATTGGAAGGTTATGTTGATGCAGATTGGGCCTCAAACACTAGATAGGAAATCCTATACAGGTTACTTCTTTAAATTCTCTGGAACTGTTATCTCATATGAATGTAAAAAACAATGCACTGTAGCCTTGTCCAGTACAGAGGCAGAATATATGGCGATAGCTGAAGCCTGTAAAGAGGCGATTTATTTAAGAAACTTGTTTTCTAAAATTGTAAATGGTTTTGATTACGTCATTATATAATTATTACATTATATAATGATAATCAGGGTGCTCAGAAGTTGACTGAGAACCCATTGTTTCACAAAAGAACCAAGCACATAGCTGTGCGACATCATTTTGTTAGAGAAGCAGTTGCTGGTAATCTCACTAAGATAGTTTACATTCCAATAAATGAAATGCCAGCAGACCTAACAAAGGGATTATATAGAGTAAAACATAACTATTTTATAAAGAAACTAGGTATGCAAGGCATTGTGTAATAACAGACTATGTAATAAATAAAAGATGTTTTGTTTTTTGTTTGTTTAATAAGTTTTGTGTAGAATGTTTAGATTATTTTAATAAGTGGAGATGTTAGAATTAATATCAATATAATATATTAATACATATTTATAATCTGTCAACATCTATGATGACTTATATGAATGTGGATTATCTGTTATTAAAATTTAGTCGTTCAACCGCCATTACAATTACAAGGTGTCTTTCATTAGGAACACGGTACCTGGTGTACGGCGAGCGCGTGACTGGCGGCCGCCGGCGTCTCTCCGCTCACTGAGTGACGACGGACCACCGACAGGCGCGGCTTGGGAGGATACATACTGTGGGGGAGACGTGTACACTGTACAGGACACTGACATAAAACATGATAATACATTACAGTAAAGGTTTTGAAGACGTACCGAGCGGTGTCCGGCAGCAGGAGGAGCGTCGGCGAGGCGGGCGGGGAGAGAGCATCGCTGTCCTCGGAGGACGGGCTGTCAGCGCGGGCCGGGCGGGGGGGCGAGCGGCGCGCGGGGGGCACGGCGCCCGACAGGGGGAACTCCAGCTCGTACCGGTGGAGGGTGAAGGGCGCGTGCGGGGCGCGGGGGCGGGCGCGGGCGCGGGGAGCGCGGAGCGGCGGGGTGGGGAGGGCGGGCAGGGCCCGCGCCCCTCGCCGCCGCAGCTTGAGCGCCAGGTCCCCGCTGCGCGCCGCTCGCGTGCACGCCGCCTCCACGGCCTCCCCGGGCCAGCCGACCACACAGCGCCCCCCCACCTGCACGATCTCGTCAGCCTCGTGCACGAGCCCGGAGGCGTGTGCGGGAGATGCGAACCGGATGTGTGCGAGCTGGTGGTGTCCGCAGAACGACGGGACCACCTCGAAGCCGAGCGCGCGCTCCCCCTGCACCAGAGACACAGAGTCCACCCGCGCCGGCTGGAGGATCATGGGGTCCGACACGTCCTGCACACACACATGAACCAACAAACATATAAATTATAAATACATACTAATAAGTATAAAAAAATAAACTTTATTGACTAAAAAGTATGTGAATACAGTGCAACCTTAATATAACGTACCCCAATATAACGAATTCCTCGATTAAACGAATTTTTCGTAATCCCCTTGATTTGTCCATACGATTCAATATAAGATATACCTCTACTTTGCGAACATTCTTTTCGAACAACCTCTTTATAACGAATTTTAACTATCAAGAAAAAGTATTCATACCTCTAATTAACGAATTTAGTCAACCCAAAACCTTTATATAAAGTTGCCACCAATAATATAATTCTTAATCTTAAATTGTAATTCATGTCTCAACATGTTTCGACACTCTTTTGTTCATAAAGTAATAGTTGTTGTTTGATGAAAAGTAATATAAGCACTTCTGCTCGTCACTATTGTTAAAGTTTTAAGTTAAAATGGCTCAGAAGCGTAAAAGGTGTTCCTTATCGGTCGCAAAAGAGCGAATCATCATTAATTATGTTGACCAAAATCCTATGACAAAAAAATTAGACATAGCTAATGAGTTCGGAACTCCCGCAAGTACATTGACTACAATTTTAAAATTTAAAGATAAGTTTTCAGAAGAAAGTGGTTTGAATGTAAACAGTAGTAATTTGATAAAAATGTGTTATCATTTATTAGTAGAAGTTGTTCGCTATAACAAGATATTTACGTAATGTTGAGGTAAGTAAAACTATGTATTAGGTATTTTACCTTTTTATAACGAATTTTAGACCAACCAATATTTTCTTGTTCCCCTCACATTTCTTATATCGAGTTTGCACTGTATAATTTTCTTTAAATCATACACTCCCCGTTTAAGTCAAATGCAGTTTTGTTATGTGTGGTTCATTTAGATTATAACCGAAAAAACGGGAGTGAGGAAGATAATTTTGATTTTGGAAACGACTTTATAATATCGGGCTTCGTTTATATGATAATGAGCATGATTTCTTTTGTTAAGGGTTATTATTAATAAATACTGACTTGTAATCTTCGTTCACCTAACAACTAAACTTTCTCTTACAGAGCAAATTAAATGTTTTTTTTTGTATTATTAATCATGTGTGTGTATGTACCTGTATGATGTAGTCAGCGAGTGCGGCGAGTGCGGCGGCGGCGGCGGCCACAGCTCGTGCGGGCTGCTCCGCGAACCTCTCCCGCTGGGCGCACGTGGCCGCCTCCAGGGACAGCTTCAACAGGGCCGCCTTACGAGCGGCGAGGGGCGAGCCCGAACACAGCGGCCAGCTACACACACATTCACAGATGATCAGACAAGGTAATGTACGGTAACATTACATACGGAGCATGGGCTTAGATTTAACGATTTCAAGACCTCAAGTGAATAAAATAAGTTTATTTTTATTTTCTGTATCCATCCAAATCCTTTCAACATGTTAGTAATATAAAACTTAATTATTTTAAAAATAGATATATAGCTGTTTCAATTCCTAAATCTTGTTTCAGTCTATTGTCTGTGGTGTCCGTGCTGTGTGTTTGTGTTTGATTTAACGATTTCAAGACCTAAAGAGTTTTTTTTTTCATTTTCTGTATCCATCCAAATCATTTTAACATGTTAGTTATTAAACTTAATTATTTTAAAAAAAGATATATAGCTGTGTAAATTCCTAAATTTTGTTTCAGTCTACTGTCTGTGTTGTCCATGCTGTATGTGTGTGATGTCTGTGTTGCCCCTCACCGGTCCAGCCAGCACACGAGCGGCTTGACAGCGTGTACGGTCCGCGCCACGTCAGCCAGTGAGTCAGTCTCCAGGCGCGCGTCTCCGTGGTACCGGAGCGCGCGGGCGAGGGACTGAGCCGCGCCTGACACACGCACCGCTAGCTGCTGCACACATTCACGGGACGACTCATAGTGCTGGATATGATACAAACACAACACATATATATAGTAAAAACAATCTATTAATTATCAAGTAAACGAGAATTGTTTGTGATTATATCCACAGGAAGTCCCCGATCTGGTCATTAATGAAGTTGTTATTGTAATGTATTGAGTTTATCTTATTGTATAGAACACTATGACTTCATTTATCAATAGTTCCTGATGTATGATTAATGATTATATACCAGTTTGAAATCACTGGTAGCAAGGTGAAGTGTAAAGAAAGATTAGTTCGACATGATAGGTGGGAATGGTTGACAAATTACATTCATAATGACGGTTAGACATGTTCACGACAACACTGTGTCATTAGTATCACTACACATGCAGAACAATTGATATCGAAACTATAAAGTGAACAGAATATGATCAATAGATTGAAGGAGCTTTATATAACTTCACATGAACCTACATAATAATTTCAGCCGACTCCCGCTGCGGCTGAATATATGGTTTAGAAACAATAATTTTGGTATTATGAATATTTCCAACAATTACATTAAGCAACCACCCTACAATTTTTTTGCATGTACAATCTAATTGTTTAACCACAGTTCACACATTTACATTACCCCATCTTGTTTATCTACATCCTTTCACAGAAGGCTGTCTTTCAGAAATTTATATTAATAATAAAACTACCCTATCATACTTCTGTATATACATATAATAACTTCTATATTTTAATTTGCCAACTGACTACCTCACGGCTACTGTTGACGATACCAACAAATAAACTAATGACAGCAAATAAAATGTTGTGACTCCGCTGCATCTTATCTATTTTCCAATTGTTACTTTACTGTCCATGCTTATCTTATCATTTCTAATTTGTGCTACAATATGTTTGTTAAACTTAGGTTACTACAAAATCAAAACTGTACTTGTCTTCAATTTGGCAAATGCTTAATGTATTGAAATGTTAATATATTATAAATAAAATCAAATTCTTCACTTGGCATGCATGAAACTCGTAATTTTTATCGTCTACGACTGTTCCGTAATGTAACTGATTACGTACAAAGTTTCGTAAGTGCTCCACAGCCTCTAGTATAAGTTCCTGGTGCCCAATGATATGAACGCCCAGATATTCCAAGTCATCACATCGCATCGTCAGCAGCTTCGAGCCGTTGAGAGCCTTCTTCTGTAGCTCCGGCACATACTGGGCTACTTTCGGTCCTAGACCTGTAATAACAAAACACCGCCACTGTGACTCACCACTCAGAATTCAAACGTAATGTAATGTGATTTCACAACAAACCTGTTAACCAGTCCGCTACTTGCTCTGGTGTCCATTCCGCTATGTTCAAACTACCCATTTTGTTATCTACTCGTTTTATTTCCTTCTCTTTTATAATACATTTTAAGGAATCAACAGAGATAATCTTCTCCTAAGTTAACCGAGCAATCAACCTATGTTTATTGTCACAATGTGTCAAACATCAAATGTCAATTTGACATTAAGCATTTAAAGTAAAACTAATACAGATATACACATTTTATTTACGAAAGTGTCTCGCTTAAACATTTATGAAAATAATTGTAACGTAATTCACAGCGTTTCGAAAGCATTATGAATCTCACAACGATATTTGATTTTAAGAAACAAATCTCAAATGTTACAACATTAGATTTACTTTTTCGGCTGTACACACTAGATGGCGTTCTATAGTATGATTTTAATATTTATCTGAAAGTAATATCTACGGCTGCTACCTTATTTAAAACATAGCATGTATAATGTATTTTCTAAAAACTATTCTCTTGGTCAATTAGATAAAGTTCACACTTATTTCTAACATAAATAATTTTCCATATTACATTTATCTGAATATTGAACAAACGACTCTGAATCCCTATGTTTATTATTATGAATGTATATTTTCTTTTTAACATAATTAACATTTATTAATAAGTAAAAGATAAAATCTAGTAATTATAAGTCTTGTTGTCAAAATCTTTCCTGTAAAAACTTTTTAATACAAAAATGTACATACCTACTTATTATTTAAAAAGAGAACTCACGCTTTATACTTTTAAGTATTCTTTTTAGTTATTTTTTATGATTCTTAATATATGTCTAAAAATATACTGTTTTCTGTTAATATCATATTTATTATTCATCATGCTCTATCTACTTTAGAACAAAAAATATTATTATAATTTATCTTCATTTTTGTCGTCCTCTAAAGAGTTCATATTATACCTTTTAATATAAGTATTTACATACAGTCAAAATGGAACTCACTAAAATAAAGTAATTTATTCATTTTTAAAAATAATGTTTCAGAATAATAATTTACCTTAAGAATAAATTAATAAAAAATATTTCTCAATACCATATAAATATTAAACATAGGTACCAATAATGTAGATAAATACATATGTAGATAAGTATAGCACTATAATACATATTAGTATAAAGAGGCGACTGATTAATTTATTTTAAGACCTTTATAAAACTTTGTAGTGGAGTGAAGAAAACAAAAACATAAATTCATAAATACGGTTTTTTTATTTTCATATCAAAATAAAAATCAACTAGGTATAGGTAGGTACCTACAATGATAAAACATATCAAAACAATGAAATTTGACTTTGAGATCAGTAATTAGTTTATTTAAAATATGTATATACACATTAGTTTTCTGATCTAAAATATTTGTTTAATATTATTAAAGAATGTCATTTATCTGAGAAATACTGGAAGTCGAGTTATACATCGATCAAAATGCATTTAGTTTGGTCAAACATTGACGATACCTGTAATGAAGTGTGTACACTCAACAACTAAATAGTCTTAAATGAAGACCAAAAGCGAATATTACTATTCTAATCAGAACTACATATGTGTATGTATATGCCCTGTATATATGTATTATGAATAGCTCCTCGTTGTCTTGATTGAACCCTCACAGACCGCGTCATACAAGTTTTTGTCATTTTTGGCAGAGGCGCGTATCATCTAGTTCCTCCCCTCGGAATGTTTCACAATACATAGCAACCATATTTTTCGAGTGTTTTAGATTCCTTGTTCTTACTTGTAATAAAACAACAGACTTATATATACAATAAATTGCCAACAGTACATTACAATAATCCTAAAAAAGTACAGAATTAATTATGAAAATTATATGTATTATGAGACATAGAAAATATAATATAAAAAAAATGATAATACTCAGCTGTAATTCGCTGATGAAGATTAAAAATGAGTGTTGACAGTTTAAAGAAACAGATTTCTTATAAAGTATTAATAGTCAAAAAGATTTCAACAATGGACATCATGAAACGTGTTCCGTCTCAGCGTGACCAAGCAAATCATCGTCCGTCTCTAAACACACGTTTTCTATATCATAACTGTATTTTTTACAGTCACCTCTCCTAGGGGCGGACCATCTCTGGTGACACTACCTGCTGTAAGAACTTATGTTATACGAGCATCACGCTGACGATGACTACTAGGTAAAGGAGGTCTCTGTTAGATAACAAGGCACAGGTCAGGAGTCAGGACTATATCAATTACGTGGATCAGCTTGGAGAACAAGGATGAACAAGGGATAACAAAATAGACAAGGGAAATTTTTACTCCTACATACAGCAAGAGACAGGTCATATTCAACATAAGTCTTTATTTTTATTATTAATGTAAAACATTTTTCACAACTTCGCTGTTTTATCCACCTGCCTACAATTGTAAATTGTCATAAAATTAGCATCGTTAATGTGACAAAAACTATCGTGAAAATAATATATAGGTATTAGTATGTAGGTACGTAGCGCACAATCTGTTCTTAGTAAGCAAGAGGAATATGTAACAAATAAATGAGCCGTCGTTAAAATGTTTAACAATGTTTACATAATTAATACGTCAATGTACGTATAAGTCGTATATTTTAGTCTCGCGGAACAACAAACACAGTTATCAAATATGTCAAATGAACAACAACACGGCGGAAATTCTCGCGGTTTGTCTGTGAAACTTTCAAAATGAGTTATTAACACCGCCTGTTGTCTTTGTTGTGAGCAAGCAACAGACAACAGGCAACAGACATGCTGTCTAATAAATTGACAATGAAAGTTAATTTAGAGACTTTAAAATGTACCTTCACGGAGCCGCTACCGATTTGTATCTTGAGTTTTTATACGAGTCTAAGTTTAGGAAGAACGGTTCTTGGCGGTGATTTATACTACATAAAAAATATAGATTGGCTTTAAATAGTTCCATATTTTTTGTGTAATGAAAGAATAGAACATTGTTACTTTTGATAAAGGTCACATAACTGTATCTCTCTGTTTGCGTATGTTTTTTTAATGAAAGAAAGCTAATGTAATACCTATAAATAATATAAAAACTTAATATTTGCAATATTTTTCTTTATAAACTTCAAGAAAACTGTTTGTTTCCGTTCAAATATTAAGAGGCTTATGAAATTATTCTAACAAGGAATAGATGACATATTAAAAATATAATGTGTACCTATTGATATCCAAAACACTATAGAGATACTATTTATAGTACAGTATTGTATAATATTTTCATCCAAGAATTTTAATGACCGTGGACCGAAGTAAATCAATAACTATTACCTTTAGTATGTCTACAAATAATAAACCATAATAATTATACTCCGACTATAAACAGTAGCAGGTAAATAGTTAATTTAAATATATATTTCCTTTTGAATTCCGTTATCCGCTATCAAAATTTCATCGAACCTAAACTTCCATCCAATAAAAGAGTTGGGACCGACCGCTCTTCTAAATACCTCTCGGTGACTCACACAGCTCACACCGCACACGTCTAATCTCCGTCGATCGTCAAGTTTCGCGTCTTACTAACTATTAACGTTATTTAACTCACAATTAAAACGAAAGGTGACAAATAAGCGCATACCTCCGGCCGGTCCGTCTGCACGAGTTACGCATTTAGATAACTGTATGTTAACGAGCCAGGAGCGAGTCACTAGTAAGAGAGCCGTGGTGGGTGACGAGAGGTGGACAGGACCACGTTACCTGCGACCCACCGGCCGCCGCTGATCGTATCTACTATATTTATTGGAACATCACCCGCCACTCCGCCGCTCCGTGGCCCGGTGTAGTATACTGTACTATACTGTAGTATAGTGTAGCGCGGTAGCTCTCTTAAAAGCGACAGTTTAATACCTCTCATAAACCGGCGCGGCGGCGAGGGACCGCTCCCCGATAATTTTTCTTATTGTCTCGATAAATTAGCTTAATTAGGGTGTAAAAAACGTCGAGAGCGGAATCTAGTGTCGGCTGGTGGGTGGTCTCACACACGTCACCGGCCCGACGACGAGGTCTGTGGACGGACGACGCGCGGGACACGTTACTGACCGACTACTGTATGATATACATGTACCTACCATGATGTACTTACTGTACAGGACATACAACACGCTCCATCATTAACAATACTACAGTAGGTCGTGTCTACTAGTACTAGTAACCTCACCCGGCCTCTCCCGTAGAGACGCTCGTCAGCGGCCGCGGCGGTCAGAGCGACCGCTATCACACACTTTATCTACGAACAGCGGCTCATAAATTGACTTCGATGTCCCGGAGATGTCATGTTGATATTTTAAATTCGGTTTTAAAAGTTAGTTACAATAAAAGCTATCGGAATACGTAATTTATTATAAAGTGGCCGACGATAAATGTTTTGTTTCGTTTACTAACTAACCATATTTCATGACCTACCATTTGAACATACACCTATTATAAATTAATATGATACATATCACGAGATAACGACGTTTATATTATAATATATATTTGTTAACAAGTTATACTTACATGTGTGTGTGTTGGTGATTGAGAGTTTTGATTGGCAACATTGAATATTGTTACTGAACTCAATGTGTAAAAAAATACTTGAACTTGGAATTAAGCAGGTACTCAATAAATACTTAGAGAACACACTACAAGCTTTTATTTATAAATTTTATTGCAGTTCTAAAACAGGAAACAATAACAAGTCTATCCTAATTATATTTACCTACATACTCAAAGAATGTGAAATATGTATTAAATTTAAATCACAAGACAACACGATCGTTAATCATTTAATAAATATTTATCAAATATTTTAATATTCAACTCGTCCCATTTATATTACAATGAGCTGTGACACATGTTGAGCGACGCTGATTCAAATGTACTTACATAAAGATTCAAAATTAATAGTTTATTTCCAGATATGTTATGATATAATATGTAGTTAGTTTCCAGAGCGAGGTCATTGCATTCATCTGAACATAGTTCTTGTTAGTTTGTTTGTTTGTATGTATGTATGTTACGGCACCCCGGGTCACTTCCTCGGTCATTATTCAATGTATTATGATAGTCCAAGTTATTTTCATCGCCGGCCGCCGCATCAACACGCTGTAATTCATGAATGTATTAAATCCGTCGTCGTTCCAGTACTGTTCGTTCCTCCACCAGATCTCGTCCGTCATTCATCACTCGTCACCAGTGCGAGCGGGCGAGGTGTTCAATTCTCTTATCTCTGTGATAAGACGAACGCCTCAGCGCGCTAATCGCGTGATTTACAGCTCGTTTTACGACTCCTCATATTAATGCGTCCTAATTACCGACAATTTACGACCCGGCCGACCTCTCTCCTACCGAATGACGTTTTTTTAACGAGCTCCTACGATATGTATGGAGATATAATAGTTATGCGACGTTAATACTTAAACTCAGAATTTATTTAACTGTCAGCACTAACACCTTTTGTCATAAACAAATGATTTAATGGTTATACAAATAATTAAAAGCCCGCCGTTACATTAAGAAATTATGTATTTACCTACCTCAAGTGAACAATGGTGGGTTGAGATGAGCAGATCTTGAGGGGAGAGTAAAGAATAGATGACGCTATAAACATGATGTATTGTGAAGATTCGTCTTATTTTCCGCCTCACAGTTGGTTGACTTCCGACAAAATAATGATTTATATCGGTTCATTCATACAACGTTATAAAGAGAACATTTAAACACGCAGACATACATATATACATACATACTGTATATTATATACAAAACAAACCACTCAGTTCCCCTGAACTTCTGTAATACTCCCTGTGTTTCCAAATTACATATAATTCAAGATTTTTTCCACTACCTATGTTAACTTCTATTCCAGCCATACACTACTGAGTAGAGAATGGCGGAATCAACTTTAACTAGATATTAAGCAAATTATTCAAATAATTAAATTCTAATAGGTACGTAGTATCTCTTCAATAGATTTTATCTTTGATTGGTTAACCTAAATATTGGATTTTGTTTTTATAACTAGCGGCTTCCATTCCCGCGTCTTGGAAGAGTAAAAAAATAATAATGTTCTATTGTATCGTCAATATTTAAATATGTTATTATATATTATAATGTATTTTTATTTTATTCCTTTTTTGTATTTTATTATTGCTGTTATGTATGTAACGAGTTGTTTATTTATTGTTTTTACATTCAATACGAATCATGATGATTCACATCTTAACAATCATTATACAGAAAAAAAGGATAGGTGAACATTATCGAAATTAATATCGATTGATAGCAACTTACTTAGTAACCTTTTTATATACATATCTCATGTTATCTGTAACTCACGTATCATGTAGGCTAACTGACTCACTCTATGCACCACTGACCATAACAATCGCCTCAACTCAACAACTTTCTTCCACCGACCATCCATCAGAGGATGATATTAGTATAGTAATAATGAAGTTCATTATATGTGTAATACATCTGTAGTTCTTTAATTACATACATTCCACATTCTGCTGCTAGGTGCGTGTGTTCCGGAACCTCTCGGTATGTTCACATATTATTATAGTTATTACGTTCGACTTGCTCGTTATGGATCGTTGTTGTATCAACACTCCTTATACTGACACATATTACACACGTCTTATACACACAGTCCGTGGATCTGATCTCCAAGCCCTCCTGGACAGGGTCGCCTTGTAAAGGTCACTCTGGACACACATACATTATATTTAAATCTAATTATTCTTAATAGTCTAGCAATTATAACGACGCACACATTCCGTTAAAGTTTACCTCAAACGGGTGAATTCCTCGTTAATTAGAGATGAGGACAAGTTATGAACAATCGTACAATCGACTGCGATCTGAATCACATTTTAATGAGCTCGCTGATTGTTCAGTCCGCGGCCGACTTCCCAAACACCTCCGAGGAACCTCCTCACTCCAAGTCTTCGTCGTGAGAACATATTTTCCGTCATTATAGTAGGTAGGTGTGTCCTATGTTATGTGTGAGAGTCGCGTAATCCTCATTACATAGTTCATTTGTGTGCATTTTTAGAAGTTTTTCTCTCCATTGTGATAGTAACATAGAAAAGAAAACATCTTAATGAAACGAAAAAAACTATAAAGTAAAAATCTTCTCGAAAGTTATTTTGGATTCGGAATCTTGGTTGTATAATGGTTCAGAGAGATACGGAATAAAAATATTTATTTACTTTATAGTAACTAACTGACGAGTTGAAGGAAGTAACTCGTGATTGGAAAATTTTTGATTGTTAATATAAGTTATAATTATAAGATGAGGAATCTTTGATACAGACATCCGCGATACACGGCGACTAGAGTTATTACTGATACATAACAAGACATGTGTGACAACACTTTAATAAGATGAAATAAATATAAATAATAATATATAATAGTGTTATAGTTTAGCTCTTGTTCTCAGGAACTGTGTTGTTACACTCATCATATAACCTGCGTTATATTCATGTGTTTAACTCACACTGAGGCTGCCTCACTCACCACATAAACTATACATGGATACGATGCCATTAGACTAAAAGCATTTTTAAATAAATAAAGGTAGAAACTAAATTAGTAAAGCACCGTATTATAATAAAGGCGGTGTCAGCTGCGTGGACACGATGTTGTTAGCATTCCACGCGTGTTTACTCTAATAGTGTTAATAAAAAGAAAAAACAACAACATATGCAGATTCCGGAATAATTATAATACATATAAGAGGTCCGTACATACAATGTTTATTATATATTATAAAGTAGCTTTCCGCCCGCAGCTTCACCCGCGTGGAGTTCGGTTATATCGCGTTTCCAAGAGAACCTTTCAAAAGTCTGGGATAAAAACTATTCTATGTTCTTTCTCAAGGTCAACTCTATCTCCGTACCAAATTTCATTAAAATCAGTTCTGTGGCTTAGGCGTGAAAGAGTAACAGACAGACAGACAGAGTTACTTTTGCATTTATAATATTAGTAGGGTTATATTAACTGGCTTTAAACAAGCTGTGTGTAGGTCGAGACGAGGCGCTCCGGATCATTATAATTTATAACATTCATTATTTTTATGATTCTATTTTACTCGATGTTATGAAAAAATTAATATTATGTGAATAAAACATATTGACGTAATCGGAATATAATAACAATTTAAATTTTTTCCTTATTGATGCACTTGAAGTTATAACGATTGAGTTATTCAGAAGTCTTCAGGATTTTATCAAATGAAAGAGTCTGAAGAAGAAACTTATCAATGATTAATGCTTTCCAGTAGTATGTAATAAGCGAGACTCATGTTGACATTCAAAAAAATAATCTAATAAGTTATTAATATTGAAATAAATATAATAATTAATGCAAAATTATAAACACTGACGCGGTTCGGGAAAATTATAATGACATACATAGTTTAGATAGTTAGCTATGATTACTACAACCTGTGAGGTGCGAGGAGTGTCAGTGTTGGTAGAAACGGTAGCTGATACTTGGAACACATACATAACACCTTGTATGATGAATGTCACGCGGACCTTACACGGAGACTAGCGAGAATGTAGCGTTGATACGTGTGGTGACGACAGACATACATACATGCAACAGAGAGGTGATGAACTAGTGATGAGCGTCCTCTTGGATGGTGTGGATTCATCACAACCCTTACCCATAGTAAGGTACTTCCTGGTTCAGTTCATTCATACCTCACGTGTACTGTGTACCCACACATTAACATACTCGGCACATATCTCTTTGTCTCTGTAACATGCAATTAAAATGATTGATTGTGTTAGTAGATATATGAGTATGAGACAGAAACATAGTCACAACACAATGTAAGTTTTTTATAAATAAATTATATTTACCGCGTTTATCTCCGGCCTCATAAATAAAGGGAGGGATTTATTTGATAATAAATCACAAATACTTCCTGGTACTTTTAAATAACAGTCCGTGTAACAGGAGTTGCAAGATTTATATCGAAAGGGTGCCGTAATGAAGCGGGCGCGATGTTAATTGCGTTACCTCCTACCTCCTGCCTCCTACCATACACCATCTAACTCCTACCATCTACTTCCTATCTCCTACTTCCTACCATCTACCGCTAGGCTGCTGGTCGTCATTCTCATGCTGTACCGTCTCTCTACTCTTCAACCTTGCTGCCCCCAGTGCTGTATATGATGTCCTAAACCTTATATTTATATAATTGTAGACAATGATATATGAAATAAAAACCTTGTTAGTATTCAACATCTAGATAATGTTCAGTAGACTCACCTATTAAATTAATTATTCTTCGCCTGAATGAACATATTAAACTTTAATTTACATTTCATTATTAAGAAGAGATATTTTTTGGTTAAGTTGAAAACCAACATCAACTTTACTAACATATGGTAAGAGTAATCAATTTATTTATCGGAATTCTTATTGGTATTGTATGTTAACTATTGGATCTATTTGCCTAATAGTGTTTTTCTATTACTTTGATACATTTATTTTAAAGTCGAGAAATTTATATTATTCGAAAAGATTTTTTAAATATCTTAAATATTTTACCAAATTTATGTAAGTAGGTATATGGTTTTCTTTAAGTGGAGCTCTTGTTATACCTATCACCAATTTTTTTCCTTTTTATAACTTGTCGATTTACCTACCTAAATTACGGCTGAGTAGGGTTAAAATCAAAAATCTTCGTCAGAGCAGCAAAAGTCAATATGTTGTGAGCAATGAGTTTCATTAGGTACTGATCATGAAGCGTTTATATTCTGTCACTCAGGGGCGAGGCTCCGCGAGTACCCTGTGTTGTACTCAAATTTAAATCAATAGTGTGTTCAGTTTATAACAAACGTGTATCATTAAGAATATTGTATATGTAATGTGTTTGTTGTATATATGTATGTATATATATATATATATATATATATATATATATATATATATATATATATATATATATATATATATATATATATATATATATATAAATTTTTAAAATATTAATAACTCCATATGTTGTCTGTCAATTGTTAATTTTCTAAGTCATTATTTAATATTGAAAACATTACATATTTTATTACACTACCTATATTGTATAATTCTTAACACTTTTCCAGTTAATTGTCTCCGAACCCAAAATAACTCATCCAACCAGAGCACCCTTTTTCTTGATGAAGATAATATTATTAATTCTTTTGAAGCACTTTTATTTTAGTGTGTGTTCTAACATCTGTCTAACAACAAATGTATTGTAAGACGACCACTAAGAGAGATTATAACATTTATACATACATTTTCAGTTTGTTCCTGACTAATAACATTCTTTCAATAGTTCCAAGATAAACTAATACGCAGAATATACGAACTTTCGTGATAATATTCATATAAAAAATGTATTTTATACCCAAGTAGAGTCAATGACTTTGAATTCACATTTCGTCTCTCCGTGATCATGGTTGCTGAAAAGTAATCGAAACGTCGGGAGTATGTAGTTTTTCAAAATAATAAAGGTACTCCGAAGTAATCTGAAAACCTTAGTTTCATTTAGAGTCAATGGCTACTTAAAAAATGCTGAGAATATAACGCCAGTACTTCACGGAAACTCGGGAATATTACTTTATATAGAAACTTGTAATTATATTACAAAATAACATTACTCTCTGGTTTTGATGAAGTTTAAATATTATTTGTGAAACATAATCCATTCAATAATTAATTTAATATATAGTCATTCCTCAACCTTGTAAATTCCGTAATTGTTATGTATGTATTAAATAATATTTATTTATTGTTTTTATTGTTTACGACTCTTAGTATGTATTATGTATTCACATGTATATTTATATTTTTGTTCACAATTAATACTCTTTTATCTTATGTTTATCTTGAAGAGCTCCCTATTCAGTGTTAACAGATAATTTGAGAAGCATGTGTTTTGTATTCATGTACCTACTGGAAATGTGAATTCTTATAATGTATATCATTATTATTAATACATCTTCACCTCATTCAAGGAGCCGTAATACAATAAATGTATGAATTTTGTATGAAAAAGATGTATTAATAATGAACTTATAAATAAGGTGTTGTGGAGTGTGAGAGGGGGAGGAGGGGAGGGGTGGCCGTGCTACGAGGAGTTCTTGTAAGTTACTCCGAGGACTTGTACCAACTCTTCAAACTCTGCTAATGAAGTACATGTTAATATTCCACACGCGGAGTCTTCTTTAATATCGACGATGATCTTTCAAAAAATTAAACACTGTATATAGAGCGTAGGTTTATTACCGATGTCTACAACATTACATATTACTAAACGTTGAAGAGAATCATTAACCGACTACAACATATAAGGAGTGTTATGTTTTCATAACGTCACAACAACTCGAGTCTTACTTTAAACCCACCCTGCTATGTTTCAGATGAAGTTCGTATAGTGGTCCCATTAATACATATAATATTAGGTATTCGTTGTACATGTTTCTAATACATATATTTCATCAAGTGTATCAACCTTATATAAGTGGGATCCTGTCGCCTGTGAGGTCGCTGTACATGGAACTATCATATGACGTTCCGTGAAATGATCGGTGAGCTATTTCAATTAGTATTACGGGCGATCCTAAAAGGTTAGGACGTGGTCATAAATCTGTAAACTCATTCTATAAATGACTAAGTGAATGCGATAGGCGCATTATACTAGGTATTACAAGACAAGCCGATACGGCTTCGCTTACCATAAATAAAGGTACCTACGACTTACAAACTCAACGCTAGCTCCACCCGGCCCGCTCGGCCCGCTCGGCCCGCTCGGCCCGCTCGGTCCGCGCGGGTAGGGCCCGGCCGGTCTCAGTTTGGCACAACATGTCTACTATCAGAGTCACTCCAATGAAATATGAAGAGAGGAGTGGCCCGAGGTAACTCAATGCTCCCTTTAAAGTGAAATGCGTGCGAGGCGAGCGACGAACGGAAAGTTTTGTAACTTGGAAACTAAATGATTAATGGAGGCGAAGTGTGTTCGCTTATCGAAATTACCTTCCTCGAATGTTCTACATGCCGCGGCCGCCGTAAGTCACGCTCGTAAATAACACAACAGCCATATTACAATCGATCACATTTTATCGCTACATTTTATTTGTTCCTCGGAGGTCGAATGCCACAGTAATAAGCGCACTGTTACTACAGCGACTTTTACAGCCCATACCTACTACTTTCAAGAAACCTATTTATTATTTCATATTACGTACATTAACAAATGGAAACAAGGTTTTCGTATACGATTTAGGAGCTTATAGTATCAGCCTACAGATATTTTTTTCTGACCCTATTACGAGGACCCGACCCGAGTATGCCATAATTTAAGGAAGTGTCGCAATATAGTAAAGTAGCTTCCCCCTCGATCGGCGATGACAAACAGACAGATACATTATTCATCCGTCGGACACGCGACAAACACAAAAACACAAACATACCGGAAGCACTGACCACCGACCACTGACCACCGACCACCGACCACTGACCACTGACCACCTACTACCCACCACCTACTGTCGTTACACTTCCCTACTGCATGTTAGTAGATTATACTTTCAAATTGACGATTAACGACCTCCACACATTGTGATATTCAAAATACATAAATCAATCAATACTGAATTATTTAGGAGCATGTGCTGTTTATATTAATAATTTTAGATTATTGCGATCCGATTGTTTTTGTGAACTAAGACTCGTTTAGTTTAATGTTTACTGTGCAGTTAGGTACAAGACAAGCAGCGGGTACAGGTCACGACACACGGACGTACTGATGAAGATACTCATACACAGATAAATAACATCTATTTAGATTTTGTATTTATTTTGTGTAAGGCAGAAAACAAACAATCATAATTAACAATAGTATTATACTACACACCTACATATATAACTATAAGTCCTTTAAGCCGCCGGAGCTGTAGGAGGTACTAAACTAATCTTGTCGTATATAGTTCTGTAATAACTATCGTATGATCTCTGATTTAATAATGCATTCAATGCGCTCGTCCCTTCTTCGACTGACCACCTGTCATAATAAGCAACTCCGTTGTAAAAACCGGGGAACCTAACAAGGTGGTAAATTGTCAATTAATCAGGGTCAGTCTCCTGTGAGGGTCAAGCGGCCTCCTCCACCGCGTACCACTCGCCGCTATCTGATAACAAACATCTGCACCATTGTGTGCTAATGTCTACCCTCACCCCCCCCCCTGTTCCCCCCCGCCCCTCAGTCATCACCACTCACTCCACGGTTCCCTATCGCTCCATGTCGCTGGTTACACTGACGGCCGTCAGTCCGGGCCGGTCAGCTCCGTCAGCGGCAGTTGGAGTAAAAACGAAAGTTTTTCCTCTATTGTTTAGAGAAGGAATTAGAGGACGTCTCCTTTTGTTACCGGCAGAACTTCCACGGAATGTACTTTGGCTTTTAATAGATCGTTTGTCGGTATGTTTGGAATTTATTTTTTCCCCGGTACATGTTAGCGCGCTCACTTTGATATGCGTTCCTCTATAATTTGAGCGATTCATAAAAAACATTTAAGGAAAAATTCACAAAAGCAAAAATATATGCACATGAAATTAGGTGTACCTGCGGAGATGTAAATTGATAGTAATTATTTTATTGTTTTGATGATTTTTTTAAGGAATGTATCTCTAATCTTTAGATCATAAAATACGTTAATTTGCTTGATATCCATACTATAACATATGATCACATAAAAACTATATAACATTGACGCCAATCAGCTCTCTTGACAAAATTATTTTTATCAATTTCATATTTTTTATAACATTACTATATATTATGACGCTGCTTCACTCGAGGGTTTCAAGTTTTTATTTTATTATCAAGTTGATAAAACGGCCCAGCGTCTATTGAAACCACAAATTTATGAAATGCCCTCGTAATAAATATGTATGAGCGGGGTCATCGAACTCACAATAATAGTAAACGACAGCTGCATCTTTTGCGAATTCATGAAATTTAAAAACAATAGAGTTCCGTTTCCGACAAGACACACACACACAAACACCCTCGTACACACACACACACAGAGACACCGCGACGACGACATCTGGACCTGTGGACCTGCGGACCTCTCGCACACGTCCGAGGATATAGTGAATAAACAAATAAACAGAAAAAATACTATTACTATGTGACTACATGACGACCTTAAGAAAACTCACATGTGGCTTTGTAATGTAAGCCGCGCATCTTCATATGACGTGTAGGTTTCAATTAAAGATTCCTTTACGATACATTTGATCACCTGATGGATGGAGCACCCACTCGTCTACAGTTGATCATCGTTGAGGCATATTTAGCCAACATAGATAGAAAATTATGTAAATATGAAATAATTTATTTTCTAATTACTCTTTACGAAAACAGCTTGGTTGATTTTCTGCTGAGTCGAGTCGTAAGTTGTAAAAAAAAAATCTAACAATATAAAACATAATCTTATACTATCTTTAATCAACTGGTCTTCAATGAGTAGACGGTCTTGGCAACTTCGTCCACAGAGCTCGCCTCGTGACTCAAACAATATTGTAATAAGTCGCATCTCTGAAGAGATTCCTCAAAATCCACTGAGAATATTTCTCGTGATTACACGACAAACATCCACCCGCCAACTGTACTAGGTATACAATACATACAGGAACATACATTTATGATATGAGCAAGGGCGGGGACTAATTATTACACAGAAATAGTTGTTATTTTAACTAACTTTTAATAGATAAACACACTTTTAGCTTTAAAGGCTTCCTCCCGTCCTACAGGAATTATTAATATTATTCCGTTTATAATAGTTACTTCGAGTATATTACTGTACGAATATGAATGAGCGATGACCGCTCCTGTTCCCACAACAAGCCGCCCTCGTACTATGCCAGTTATTTTCAGTGTATTCAATTAATAAGTTAGGTTGGAGATATGTTCCGGGCTAACGATTAGTACGACTCGATAAACACTCGATATACACCATCGATGTTAGGAAACATTGTGTAGGATACTAAGAGACGACATTACTGAACATAAACTAAACTAAACTTTTCCAGTGTGTTGATAGTGTGAGCTTGTAAAGTTTGTCTTATAAATAAAATCTATATCTATGTTTGTGTCTACTCGACCCGCGCCTTGTCTCTTTATAACACACATTTTATATAATATAATAGTACATAATTAATAACATACATTTATAAAATCTTTCTAACAGTATCTAAAATATTATTCGTCGGTGTCTGTCAGGTCGCTCGTTGTGGATCGCGGCGGCGTTGAGGTTTTAATTCTTAAATTAATATTGGAAATGATATTTTAATCTTCAAATTCTAATAATTATCAAATTATATGAAAAAAATATTTGAAGTTCGTTAAATTCTGAAATTCTAAACCAAAATTAATAGTTTAATGTAACCACCAAAAAACGACATCCAGTTGTACGATGTACATGTAGGTAGATGGAAGGGTGGTACATACATACACATATAAACGGTATGTAGTTTAAAGGAAAATAAAGATCTCGGAATTGTTTTCGCTTTATGTAACAGGAAATATGATCTCTCATGAATGTATAATGTTGTTTAATACGTTGTTAAAGAACCCGCGTGTCATGACGACGAGGTCAGGACAAGGGTGGACCGTCGAGGGGCAAGGGTCGAGGGGCGGGTACAACAAACAGTAGTAATAATTAGATTAGATCGTATTTTTATGGCGTTTAGTTGCAAAAAGTCGAGTGCATTGTCTTCTCTGCCTATCATCTGATACTACATTTACTGGATTAATGAAGCTCAATTTGTGTGATCAGTCTGCGTGCCGCATCGTGCACGTACATGTGTGAGTGGCCATCATTTACTTTGATCATAACCAACGATACCTCCACACGATACTAGTTCTTCTTTGTTGGTGTTAAGGTCGATTGTCGTTTGACGGGGTGGTAGGAGCACGTAGCGGCGTGGTCCCTTTGAAGAGCGCGACGGGCGTGTAATGCCGCGCTCTCACCAATGATTATGAAGTATGAACGGATCAATTTCACAGTCACCGCGCACCCTCCCCCCCCCCCGCCCCCCGCAGACCCCAGCGACCCCTACACCAGCCCTCCATCCCCACACTCCCCACACGGCGCACACCGCCCCAGCGGGCCGCGCCACAGTCTAAACACTTCCCGTGTTGTACATTCCGTACGGAGGCGGTACCACCATCTCTTGTTTAATCTGTACACTCCGTACAGTCTGTAACACTGCAGGTAGGTATAATTTCTGGCCCCTCCCGGGAACTTCACTCAATTTGCTGTGTTAGCGGCTCAATTTTTCACAGTTATCGAACAATTTCGCGGAACGAAGTTAAATAAGAGTTGGTTCAATTTCCTCTTTCACGGTTTTTATGACGTTTAATACAGGCGAGTTGACGGCTGAGTTACACCGAGTCATACGGTAGATACTGTTTATGCTATAAGTGTGTACTATTATTATTATAACAAGTCGTGTAACAAAAGCCTGTTACAATCCTTAATGAAGACAAAAACCCAACCGGCGCCGGGTCGTAGTGATCGTAAGCCGTGTGTATATCGACCGCCGGTCACACCACCGCGGGACATACTCGTCCTCTCAGTACATTCTTCAATGAAGCACAGTCCGAGTGACCCGGCTCTCATCCCTTAATGTTCATTACTTACATTTAATTACATGAAAACCCGAAGAAAACATATGAATTCCTTATTAATTTTTATTTCCATTATTTTCCTTGAAGTATATTAAAGCACGATTACTTATTTTTCTTTGGGCTCACGATTTCTCTGAACAGTATTCCTTCTTTCATATAAATAATGTTTTTTCTGTGTCTCATTAGTAATTCGCGTTCTCGGTAGATCAGTCACTATTAATAACATGTATGTACGAGGGCTGCTATATATATTTCTGGCCTAGGCAACACTAAGTGTTGCCAGGTGCAATCTGGCATTTCCATTGGAAAGTTTGACATTTTTTAGCATAAATGTACTCAGAACTTTTTGACTTACGACAATTTTTTTTTTCTTTTACAAGTACTTGAAGAAATCAATTTGGCAAAAAAATGGAATTAACTCGTGAACATTTTCGTGCGATCATTTTTCACAACTTTCGACGTGGATTATCACGACAAGAGTGCATCGATGAACTTAAATCTTTGTATGGCGACGAAGCACCATCCTATAGCACTGTGAAAAACTGGTACAACGAATTCAATCGTGGCCGACGCTCGCTCAAAGACGAATTCCGTGAAGGTCGTCCAAAAACAGCCGTTGTGCCAGAAAACATCGATGCCGTACGTGAACTGATAATGCAAGACCGTCATGTGACTTACCGTGAGATAGAGGCATGCCTAGGCATTTCTCCCACCAGCATACATTCGATATTGCATGAACACCTGGCCGTAAAAAAGGTTTGTTCTCGTTGGATCCCGCACAATTTGACAATCGCTCAAAAGAAAGCTCGTGTGGATTGGTGTAAAGAAATGCTGAAAAAATATGATCGCGGTGCTTCAAAAGACGTTTATAAGATCGTCACAGGTGACGAATCATGGATCTATGCGTATGAGCCCGAAACAAAACAGCAATCGACCGTGTGGGTCTTCCAAGACGAGCCAAATCCAACGAAAGTTGTTCGTGGAAGAAGCACTTCGAAGCAAATGGTCGCCTGTTTCTTCGGCAAAACTGGTCATGTGGCGACTGTTCCGCTTGAGCAACGTAGGACGGTCAATTCTGAGTGGTATACCACCATTTGTTTGCCTGAAGTCTTCGGAGAAATTCGAAAAATGAACAAGAGAAGACGAATCATTGTGCACCATGACAATGCGAGCTCTCACACATCGGCTCAAACCAGCGCCTTTTTGACCGGCCAAAACGTCGAAGTGATGGGTCATCCGCCGTACAGCCCTGACTTGGCACCCAATGACTTCTTTTTATTCCCACACATCAAGAAAAAAATGCGTGGACAACGATTTTCGTCGCCAGAAGATGCTGTTGAAGCATTCAAAAACCATGTTTTGGAGGTGTCTCAATCGGAGTGGAAAAAGTGCTTCGAAAATTGGTTCGAGCGCATGCAAAAGTGTATAAATCTTGATGGAGAATATTTTGAAAAACAATAAAACCATTTTCGTTGATAAATATTCGTATTTTCATTATTAGGCCAGAAATATATATAGCAGCCCTCGTATGTGTGTATGTAAATGAGCCCGGGTGCGTACGTTTCGTATTCCTATAAGGTGATCACTGCACGACTCTATACGAGTAGCGGCGGCGCACCCGCTATGGACGAGGTATGCGCGCGCGCCGCTTGTACGGTCAGCATCATCGACAACATTCAATATTACGTTGAACTATATTTAATATTAAGGAACCGTCCACTCGGTTGTTGTATCTTTCTAAAAGTCGATAAATCTTTGATGATCCTCTTGTTATGTTGTATTTTATACAATCGTAGCTCTGTAAACGTTCTCTGATTGTGTTGTCAGTCGCTAATCGTCGTCGCAGCTCTGCATATTTCCCAGATGACTCCTCCTGGTGCCGACTATCGTTACTAATGTTTCCCGTTCTCTTTTTTAAATCACATCAAACAATGGAAACACCCCAAGGTCCGACCTCGACACTCGCCGCACTCGCCGCCAAAACTATTTACAAAAGCTATTATTTAATTTGAATGTAAAGAATTTTTATTAGCATTATCTCTGTTCGTTCATTATGAACCGGGTATTAATTACCCAACTCTAATTTTATTAACCGAAATAGCCGATTTAATCTGTGTCGTAATTAGCGTCCAGTATAAATAGACACGCACCCACTGATTTATAATAAACAGCTGATCCGTCGAATGGTTTAGCTATTGTTTCGTGTGTATCGTAATATAATATGTCAATCGACGAACTGGTTCCGTGTAGGTACCTACAGCGTGCGGCTCACGTGTCGATGGTCACTGGATGTGTATTTGACATGTCGTGTAATGTGAAAGTTTCCGAGACATATATGTACGCTACTAATGCCCCCCCCCCCCCCTGTGACAGAGCCGGGCGTTATGAGCTATTGTGTTCGCGGAGACAATATGGCTGTCCTCACAAAAACTGTCCGCGCTCCGACACACTACTGCGAAGAATCTCAAGGTTGTGATGACGAGCTACCGTGATACTGAGCTCCTGAGATACTGTCCTACCTGTATCCAGGATCGTGTGTATTCTAAATATCATAATTCGCATTCCTTGAACGGTCATTCAAATTTTAACAACATTTGAGATCTACCTCTAAAATCTAGACAACATCCTCGATTTTTTTCACACAATATAAGGCGGTGCATACTGATTCTTTTCTACAATTATTGTAAACTTTATTCTATAAGTACATAAACATAAATTTCAAACATTTCAGAAGAAACATTATAGACTCATCTAAAAATAAAATAATTTACGATCCTCTGGATGACAATATATAAAGTTTAAAATACTGTGGCCGATGTTAAAACAATGTGAAGGAATTCCTCAATACAGCTAGAGAGAGCGGCTTCCGAACAGTGTCGATCCCTGTCACTGTGTAAATAGTAATTGTCGCATTGTCAGCGTGTGACTCATCAAAATGGCGCGACGCAGCTCTTCCGGCTTTGATACTTTAATTAAACGAGCATAAATTACCGACCAGTCCCTCCCCCCTCCATCTCCTATTCCTCTTCCTCCTCCTCGCTGTTCCCTCCCCTGTCCGGTCCGGTCGAAGTCTTCTCCGGACAATAGACTCTGTTATATATTTAGAGCTGGCGTGCGTCGTCGTGTGTACATCGACGTATAGATTTTTTAGTGTTATTTTAAGAAGAGATTTAATGCGCTCATTCAGTTTAAGCGTCGTCGAATTCCTTTTTCGTTTCATAACGACTGTTACCGATTCAATATTTATTTTTAAACGTTCAATAAATAATTAGTCACAAAAAACGCTTTGTACGGATGCCGTCTGGACGGACGGGCCGGGGCCGGGGCCGGGCCGGGCCTGGAGCTACACGACGAGGCCTCATTAATATATGGCTCACTATGACAGTTACCGACGGACCGGGCTCTGCTATTAGTCTAGTGATTACTGACGAAACACATGCCTTGTTTCTCTACACTCAGCCCGGAGGTCGCTCGTCTTGTATGACCCTCAACGGATAACAAGACGCTATCTAAGTCGACTATCACACTAATCATTCGTGTCCCGAACCAAATGAATTTCCAATAAGCTTTTGATAATAAAATGCAACCAGTGAGAACTGAAATAATGTGAAGTAATAAATCAATCGTCGGCGACGCTATTAATACCACTGAATGGAGGCGAGCGCTCGGCGACACGACGCCGCGACGACACGGACACGGACACGACACGACTTGGACCTGGCTCGCATACTAGACATACATCACGAGCCTCGCCGACCAGCCGGCCGGGCAGCACTGGCCACTGATTGATACATACATACATACATTGGGAGACTCTCATTATCATTCATTAATGATTAACGAACCAGCGGACATAACGACGGACCCTTAAAAACAAAATACATTAAACACTTGTAACACTCATACTGATTACCTTTCTAATAATTGAAGTTGACGGTTCGAGAATAGTGTTATGTAGTAATGAATGAATGTGCCAATGAAGGCCTGAGTGTACGCTCCTTACATTAATAGATATATTTTATACGCCATATAAAAGGAGGTATTTAACGAGCGCCGCTCACGGAAAAACGTATAAGGCGGCCAGAAAATAGTGCGTAATTAAAGAAGAGGTAATTACCAAGTCGGCTATTATGTCAGTTGGATGGACACATTGACGTACTGGGGAGAGAGATACAGGAGCTCATTGTGAGCGGACACACGGAGATAACGACTGATGCTGGACCGGGACTGGGACAAATAAAGGACACCACGGATAATATATAATAATATTGACGTAGGATCGAATATAAATAATATATTATGAGAAAGAGTTACACACTATACATGAACTTGTTTCTCTTTTGTTTTGTTAATGTATTAAAGTATCAACACACCGTTTTCTGAACATACACATGTAATAAACAATGAATCATAGAACTAAGTAGAAAAGTGAAAACCTAAATGAAAAACAAAACAGAATCCATGGAAGTAAGTTAAATAAGAACCAGGTGAATGCTCGTGGAGCGAGGAGTTTAATTTAAAAGGAATTTAATAATGCGAGTTGCAGTGAACGTGCCCTCGCACAGAAAAAGCCATTAAAATAGTTAACTGACCCTCCGCTGCTCCGCTACCCGCCTCCATCTTCCATCCTCCGTCCTCCGTCCTCCCAGCCTCCCGAGAGCCGACCTCTCAGCCTCTCAGCCTCTCAACGACCCGCGTCCCTCCTCTCAAATGACCGATCTCTTGCGATCCAATAAAATTATACGGTCATGATCTCTCAGCACTCTCTCTGGTTTAACGATAATATTTGAATCGGCTGGTTCATTCTACAACAACCATTAAAACGCACGTTATATTGAAATATGTAACACGATGTATGTATGTATTACTATTGATATTTACTAAACTGTTTGATATGTTGTTATGAAATAAAACATTATCAAAGTTCAATTGTACATTTCTAGAGAGGAATATTAACATATGTAATAGTTTATAATTCTCTTAATGTAGTTCACGTTTCGTAACTGAATGAACTGATTCAAGTATTTTTATATTCTATTATTTTTAAAGACAGATTCTACAATAGTGTATGAGTGGTCCACCTGTCCGAGCCGAGTCCTTGACCAGGAGACAGTAGGAAGGACCGTTCCAGGAACCTATTAATATGAATAGTTTTCCTCAATAAATAAATCTAGCTGTTTACACGCCAAATACATAATATATTGTATAATCGGCATCTTAATAAAAAGACATTCAATGTCCGCTTTGTAAACTTGTGTTTTTTTTTAGATAATTTTATTTTCATTCTTCATTGTTTTATAGATTTTTATCACAATTTTGCTAAAGATGGATAGGTGACAATAATTTAAAACTTTTTTAGTATTTTATGTGTTGGGTTAATTTAACAAGAGTTACTTTCAAATGAGAAAACTACGTGACGCTAACTTGAAACGGAAAACCCCTCAAAAATTAATAGACCGATTTCGATGACATTTGTTTGAAGTGACGCAGGTTTTTACAAGAAAATCTTAAGACTTAGTAGCATCCGTGGAGTGATTCCCAAATTAGCTCAGATTTTAGAAGGTTTAACTCGATTTATTGTCACATCCTTAGTGGGACAACTCTTTTATCTTTTTTCGAAAACAAAAAAGTCAACGGGATTGCTTCATAAAGGACAAATTTATCCTCCAAAACATATAAATGTATAGATTTCACTAATTAACTTATTCTTTTTTATTTTTGGTCATGTACATATATTTATTTTATATGAATGTAATTAGGCCCCCGATGTTTAATCTAAAGGGTATTTATTGCCACTTGGTCAAGAGTCATAAAATTTGGCAAATACACCAGTATATAGTCTAGTACCTTGACGTAAGCAGAACTACAAAAAATATATTAGTAACTTTAAAATATAATTATAATATCGCTTCTAATCGTTCACAGACTGGTCATAAATGACCAGCGATGTATGTGAAGGCCCTCTCAGCTTTACATTTGATCCCGTCTTTTTGCAGTTTGATGAACGTTTAGTAGGTACTTCAATAATTTACCCCCGAATTAAACAACCAATTATTTATTTATTTATTTTGTTAGGAAGCCAACATAATGTACAATGATCTTACAAAGTACACTGCAATTAAAGGCTAACTCAGCATTTGTGTGGATCACATAACATGCTAACTCAGCATTTGTGTGAATATATATATTTGTATATACAGGGTGACTGGTGAATTATTATCGATACTTGAGGACGTGATATTTGACGATCATATATGACAAAATAAAAATTAATATAACATAAATATTAATAAACTTCTAAGTAAAGTTAACCATAAGTTATGTAATTAATTACGCATCGTGTGAACACCCTACAGATTAGGTATACACACACACACACACACACTCGCGCGCGGCGGCGTGGTGTTGTATCAGCACGCCGCCGCACGCGTCCACACTTGGAACACTTGGAACGTGTCCACACCTTATTTATTTATATTATTTATTTATACGGAAATTTGGTCAAACATTAAGTACCTATTTTTTTTACATAATTCGAATGAGAATCATCTACCGAGTATTCTCCTTAAATATTGATAGTAATTCACCAGTCACCCTGTATATATTAATAAATAATATAAAATAAAGTAGAACTATTCTGTGCGAGGACTATGGACTATTTCGCAGATATTATTTACAATAAGACGTATATTACATTAAAAGTTTAAAGTTATTTTTTTATTTTTGTTTTATATGATTTTAGACTATCGTTATATATATCAATACCCACTTTTTTAGAAATATTATTATAACTTCTAAAAGCCCTATTTAAAGGTGCCTTTATTCCTAAATTTGTTCAAGAAATTGTCCAATTAAATGCAAGGAATCTTCTCTTTAGAAGTTAAACATCCAGATGACCTTCAATATACATAATGTTTATAAACTCATATAATCCGTGGCTTCCCAACTTCTGTGTTATGAGCCAGGGACACGTCCTTGGTGCTGTATGAAGACCGTGAAGAAATAAGAACGATCTGAAAGATGTTGATTAAAGTCGCGAGCCATTAACAATATATTTCAGTTTTATTTTCATATGAATTTAATCTCAACTCTTCTTGTATTATTTACATAACATATTTATATTGTATAAACCGCTGTTTAAACTGTTGTTTATTGTTATGGCAATTAAAATTACGCCACAATTAAATTGTGAAGATGAATAATTTATCAATCAAATTTATTCAAAAAAAATCTGCTCGTTAGGGAAAGTCTATTCGTCGTTTTATGCCACGGTGTCGGCGTGTGTAGCTCCTATTAACATTTAATACGTATCTACGTTTGGGAGATTGTGAAACAAAAGATTGGTGATGATATCTTCAAAGGGCGGCGGCTGATATCGACGATAGCAGTTCCCGGAACAGAGACACGTCCGAGCCGAGCTTCCCACGGACCCTGGACCCCCTCCCCCTGCCCCCTCCCCCCTCGCCCCCTCACACTCACAGCGGCTTACATTGTTGCCTCGTTTAAGACTCATACTGCCTATCATTCGTCAATAGGTCCACTTTTTGTTTTACATACACACGGTACACTACTGTAACCGGCCGCAACAAACACAAAAAACATCCGGAACACGCTGAAGCTGAACTGTAGAAATACTTAGAGACATCTTGTGATAATATTAAATGGATAATGAGGAACATTAATAATATAAACAAACGCTGCCCTAATGTGTACCTACTGCAATAGAGTGATAGAGTTAGTTCGAAGGTCCGCGTCGTTACATCTAGACTCATACATAAAGCGTCTGAGTTTTTTCTACTGCAACCAATGTAAGTGGATCAACACATCACAAGTAACCATAATCTGTGAGCTCATCAAATATTTATGAGTCCAAACATATTCTCCGCTACAGAGTCGTTAACTGTCAACAAACATTTCCTAAATTCCTGGTATTAAATCGGACTAATCGTTTTACGGGTGTATTGTGTCGTAGTGTCGAGGGTGCGTCCCGAGCCGGATAATGAATTCGAGAACAATGACAATAAATGGCCCGAACGTCTCCATACAGAGGGGCCTCGGATGTGGAGCGAGGAGCGAGGCGCGCGGCATCAAAGCAAATATGCGGCTCGCGAGGGTTGTCGCCGAAAAAACTAATAAAAGCTGATATTACCCGCTCCGATATATGGCACCCCCCCTCCCTCGGCCCCTCCCCGCGCCGCCCGCAGCCCGCAGCCCGCGTCCCCCGGCCTCGCCCGCGGGTCGCTTCTTTTGCCACATATTTATTTGTCATGCTATTTTCATTTTCGCCTTCCTTCCTTTTTCTCCGACACGTTTTGCTCGTTTCTGTTACACCCAGCGAACATCTGGCCGCCGCAGCCTCCTGTGAGGAATTTGCATATCTTGTATATATCAACATATATTATTACGTAACGAATGACAAACCAGTTTAATGTGAACTCTGTAGTGTCTGTGAAAGATTAAATAGTTTTGAGATAAAGAAAGGCATTAAACAACAAATAAAACAGACTTGACATGATAATAATTATAAAAACACGAGTACAAAGAGAGTCGGAGGTGAGTGGGGTGAGTGAGTGCACCGGCCGAGACAAATTTAAAATTAAATAATGTTGTGTGTAGCGAATTAAGAGAGGCCCGGGGACCTCGAGGACCCCTCGTGTAACACACGACTGACTGACTGACTTTTGATATTACTTGTGTTGTCTGCGCAATTTAGACACCCCTGTAGATTTTAATCTGCAGAAAAATATTAAATATAGGAAGACAAATAATAGAGGAGATTAATAGGTTAGGAAATAGCTCGGTTCGTTGAACATCTTCAAGTGTCAATACTTTGTACTCCTATAAGAACACGTATTTAACAGATTTTTAATGAGATCGAAGATTTTCGAGAGTTTTATTCATTTAAATGAAACTAAAAACTCGTCTCACCTCTCATTACATCTCGCCTGTCCGTGATCACGGTTACTAAAAAGTATCCGACACGTCGGGTGTATCTAGTATTTCGCAAAAATAAACCGCGGAGTATATCCGAAAAATATTAGTTTAATTTAAATTACCAGATGTTTATTATATGAACGATATGGTCCGGCGTCGAGTGTAGTCGTCGTATTAATATATTTAAATCAGTGTACTCGGCGGAGGGTGCTGCAGGTGGCTGTGTCTAAAGGGCCCGGCTGATGTACAGCGGAACAAGTGCGCGGCGCCGACAATACGAGCCACTAATGAAAAGTTTAATATGATCGCACGCACGTGGCCGCCGCCGGCCGCCCTCGTCACCCTCTCGCCTGCTCCGAGAGACCGCTCATCAACTATTTATTGAGAGCAATTTCGCATGTCATAAAATGAATTCATATTGTCCGGGATCACCCTCGACCCACTTTGTTCTCCTCTCCGCTATAGATAGGAACTTTAATATGAGGAGACGGGTCATAGCTACTATAAATAATAAGGTGACGTGTGTACGTGTCCCTACACCGCCATAATAATAATAATAACATATGTGCTCTTTTTATTTATGTCATATCAATATACAGCTTGAGGTGATTTGAGTTTCACGCTGATATTATAATGTGAATACAATTAGTTGTAGGAATTTTTACAAACATTAACAACTTTAATAATGAGTGAAACACAGTGGCTAACTATATAAATATATTATAGTAATAGTTCAGACATGTATATAAACTATGTATATAACGGCTTTATCAGCACCGAGCAGCATCATCAATAAGGAATATAGTTGTATGTTGTATGTAACAGTTAGTCATATTTAAAGTTTTAGGGAGACGACACGAGCATCAAGTGACGAAGTTAAAGGATCACACCCGGAGACTCATTATACACATATCTACGGTTAATGATTGTTCACGAAACTGTTTAATACAGAACACTCGGAGAACAGCTCATTACAGACATATTGTGAAGGCATTGAATATTATAAGCATACTATTAAAACTATTACACTTATATCATAGTCGAATGTTAATAAATAAAAAAGTGAAATTATGTCGAAACAATCGTTGTAGAGATATTAAAGGTTATATAAATAATAGGTTTATTTGGTAACGTCATGTTTCTACGAGACAGATTCAAATGAAACTTAAATTATAATGTTTATGTTTAGGTACTCCTTAACAAATCTCTTTAGTCTTTTTTACCTTAAGTTACATGGACGTCAACTCAATCTCGTGAGCTGAGCGAGTTTAGTATTGGATGTCACTGAAGATATTAACACTGAGGATCGAAGTTGCTTGGAGATGTTAAGAGAGTGTTCTTGAATTGAACTAATAAAACCATGTTTGAGAAACAACTGCCGTCAACGATTAGTGTATACCTATGCGTTAACAAAAAGATTGGTTAAACATATCGTGGAACGAATAACCTCCGATATGATAGTCAAATTTATAATTCATTGCCAAATTATATAAAAGACGCAAAAACAATATATATTTATAAGAAATTACTTAAGGATCACATTTTCAAAGGTAATGTTATTAAATATGTTTAAAAAAATAATGTTTTGAAAATTTTCTAACAACATGTAAGCCGGCCTTATACTCAATAACAAATGTAAATGTTAAAATATGTATAATTTCAGTAGACAATTATTGAAATGTACCTGTACCATGTTCACAAATGTTTTTTTTGTTTAGCAAGTTTTTTCTTTTTTTGTAATACTCTCTATTTGTTTGCGCACACTATATTTTAATTATAACTGATTTGTTAAGTTTGTTTATTTCTCCTCGAAGTGATTATATCTTGAGAAATAAAGTGATTTTTAAACCGTAAATATTATAAACAATCAATTAATAAATGAATTACCTCAAAGAGGGGGAAAGTTCTTTACAATTGTAACAAAATTGTTTAAAATGTACTAAAACGCACTTTCCCTAATAATGTGTGTGTGTTCAGCGTTCACTTAACAAGATGTGGCCTCTCTTGAATGATATGATCTCAAACAATTATTTGTGTATAGTATATCACACTCGCTTTGGAGGAGGCCTTTACCCAATAATGGGGTTCCTGCTAAATAAATATTTATAGGTACAGCTCAAATATATATAAAAAAGAAAAATATTTAAACTCTATTTAAAAGCAAACAAATATGGTTCAAAAGTAATAAATAAACGTAGATTTCATATAAATATTACATTAAACATGTTTTAGGTTAAGAATATAAGTTAGTACTTAAATTTTGAAAGTTAAACTGTAAAACTAATTAGTAGGAAATAAAAGGCTTTTTATTTTATTTTATTTATTTATATCACACTTATTATCTCTGTAACATCCTCTCTTTAATGTCACGTATTAGAGGGTGTTGTTATTAAAACATGTTCAACAACAATTAATATTACAGTCTGTTGAATTGAACTACATGTAGTGTGTCCCATAAATACATATATATAGTTATTAGTCAAATCGAGAATAGAAATAAATGTATCTAATGGTATAACCTTATCTATCCTACTCATCATCTCCTCACCTCTAGGTATGAGGAACCCCTAAGATGATATTCGACCACACGACCATCTCCATATCATTAATTATTTTTGGTGACTCCGCAATTATTTCATTTATTTCATTAAATTATAAGTATAAACTTTTCTCAAGTTTGATATCATTAAAATTAAACTTATTTAACTTAATTAGGTATTCTGCCTACAACTTCTTCAAATAATTATATTAAATAATAAAAAATAAATGTCGTCTACCTCTCAGTTATAATGATGAGAGATTTCCTTTAATAATATTAATTCTGTGTAATGTTCCACTTCCCCGCGGTTCATTACTTCAATAAGTACAGCTCCTGCCAGTAGGTACATCGCTCGCGAGGCGGCGCGGCGCGGCGCGGCGCGGGGCGCGGGGCGGGGAACGATCACAATTGATCTAATGAAAAGTGTCTCGCGTCGAGTCGTCTTCCCTTCACTCGTCTCATCACCACTTTGAGATCACTCTAATGATATTTTTCGCTGATTTCTTTGATTGTCATTCAATGTTATCATTAGTCTTATTGAATTACAACTGTATCACACAACACTGACAGGTCAAAAAACATAAAACAAATATCAGTTATGTAACAAGTCAATGTTTACATCAAGGATGAGTCTCAAACAACATCTTTATAAGTACTAAGCTCCCGTTCCTCCCGCCTCCTCTCCCTCGGCATCAGTCCGACCGTAACGTAAGTACCTAATATAATCGACCGGCGCCGACAATTTGCTCTTCAAAAGAACTCGCCGGAGAATTCTTCAAATATTTTCATTATCAATTTCACCCTTACACTGAGTTTGATTACACGTAATGGAGATTACAAGGGTTGAGGGCGAGAGGGTTCCGGAGAGGTCGCGGGGGGGGGGGACGGGAGAGGGAGGGGGTACGGACCCAGGACCAAGTAGACATAATATATCAAACTTTATTGTTACCAGTTACGAAGGTACACCACATATATTAAAAAAATATGACTTATACAGAAAAAGACAAATGAATTATAAACTCAGTAAAAAGAACCTGCTTGTTTAATGTTGATAGAAAGGTGTTAGTCGATAACTTCGTATCAGATTACGAGTCATTAACGATGTTAATATAATTTAAACTATGGGATATTAGAGTCTTTACATATTATATTATAATGTTATAATGTTATAAAGGTCATCAAGTCACCTCTGTTCCCTGCTCTCTGTATGTATGTATGTGGATGTGTCATAGTAAACGTAAGGTGAGGTGTCTCTCCACGTGATGTATACAATTTCATAGACGATTTAAGACATCATCCCCTCGCCGGAGGGCTGGTGACGTCACGCGTCACGCGTCACGCGTCACCAGCGAATTAATGGTATTTATTGGATCGGAATATTAGCGATTACCAGACACTAGACACCCGGCCGAGCGGGAGACGTGAGGCTGCGATACAATGACAACGAGAGGCGGGTGAAGCGATCCATTTAATATGTCTTCTATAATACTATTCATATAACATACAGACAAATTAAAGGTAGTCAGTGGTTCGATCTCAAAGGTTGCGATACTCATGATAGATATGCATTATCTTCTTCATGTGCTCGTCCTTGTCATCGTTTAACGATCATTGACAATATGTATTGCTCTACATATTGTTTGTTGTTTATTATAAATGATCCTTCTATTTAAAATACTTGATTATTTCCTATAAAATTAAAAACATTTAATTTTCCTATATCTGAACACTAAATTAAAAATCTCCCTTCATTATTTTACATAACAAAGAGTCATCGTGTTTTTGCTTCTTAAATTTTTATTTTTCTATGCCTGTACGGGTTATACATTTTTGTTATCCGTTTGAGATAAGAAAGTATAGAGACATTTAGATATCGTAACTGGTCAGTGAGTGCAATAAATGTTGTAATAACAGTATGAACATGTTTCATCAGTCGATATAATCTGTCATGTGAGCAGCAGGTCGGTGGTCGGTGGAGGAGCCGTCCTTGTACTCGTAGTGTTGTCTTATAACGGTCCACGTGGTGACAGCTGAAGACGGATGTCGCTGACGGGGCGCCGGCCGTACCCCCCGGGGCTCGGGACGGGCACTCACTACGACTAGATCGGTATCGCGACCCCCAGCATCAATCTTCGTGTCGAACATAACCCCCCCTCCCCCCACCTCCGACCCCTCCTCCCGCCGCAACATGACAACCGATCATTTGTCAATCTGTCTTAAAAAATTATCCTCTCAATGAGATGTCAATAGTGGATGGCTAATTCACTCTTTAAAAATACCTTGAGAGGTGAGAGGTGAACGAACTGTAAGTACGAGTTTCATATTACATATATTAATAACAGATACATACATAAAATAAGACATTAACCTACATACAGTAGAAATATAATATTTTGTTTACAATCATTAGCTCTAATCCAAAAACAAGCACAACCGTGAATTGAGAGATTTGGAAATTGAGGGGGATTATCGAGGAGTGAGGCATATGTAAATTAGAAGAGATATTAGAGGTTGGGAAGAACGGAACGTTGAGACCTGGTGGAGGAGGAGGAGGGAGGGGGGGCACGTCGTAATGGAGCCGCGAAAGAGAGAGGTAACAGGCCGATCTTGTTGTAGGAGGTATCTGTTTAATTCTATTGTATCATATAAGAGATGCACCGCCTCTCGCCTGGCTCCTTCTAGCCGTCATCAGACGGACCCTCGGCCGACCGGTCGAAGGTCGTTTGAGTGGGGACAGTTCTCACGGACACATAGAATCCTAAAAATGCGAGGTGGTCCTTGGCGGGCGCGCTCGGTTCCCACCGCGGGCTGCGGCCGAGATGAGAACTGATAAAGACGATAAATTTAATTAAAAGCAGCCTGGCGGTGTAGGGGTTACGATCTGTTGAATTTGTTTGCTCCCGATGTTGAAGTCGTATTAATTAAGTGTCGGTCAGTGTCGGCCGCTCACAAACACGTTGCCGGCCACTCAAACGATGCTCTGCAAAAAATTTCGCGCATACTTTGTCGGCCCGAAGGTTTATGTGTGAGTGTGTGTGTATGTATGTGTCTGTGTGTGTCTGTATCTCGAACAGTCCAACTCTGCGTGTGCGTGTGTTCGTCCTTAAGGCGGCTGCCGGCAAATACCTTCTCTTTGCTATTACAAATACCATTTTTTAGTTAGCACCGAGGACCGAATTTATTAAATTAATATACTTTCTTAGAACATAGATTCGCCGGAAGATTTAAAAATGTATTAAGTAGATACTTAACAAAAGTAAACAAAAAAACAAGCCGAGGTCATAGTTATGGATTATTTAATAACATTAGAATACATGGCTTACACACTTAACAATAGTAGGTATACAAGCCTGTGTAAATTGTAATATGTTTTATTACAACATTCAAAAACAGAGATGTTTTTTTATAACTAACTAGTTTTTGCCCGCGACTTCGTCTGCGTTAATTTCGTCATTAGTAATATAGGTATAGTTGACCGGGCAAACTCTATTCCGTCTTCAATAACCCGGTATTGGTATTTATTAAATTTCTACTGTTTCAATCGAACAGAATGATTGACATATTAGTTAGTTGTCAAGTCTTATGTCAGAAAATCGTTTGTATGGGAAATAGAAAAGGGCTGTTTTTAGGGTTTTCCCGGCAATTTTTCCAAATTTTCTCACCTTTTAAACCTGTCCTGGACTTCCAGGAGTATTTCAAGACTAAAATTAGCCAAATCGGTTCAGCCGTTCTCGAGTTTTAGCGAGACTAAGGAACAGCAATCCATTTTTATATATATAGAAGATTAATCTCCGGTAACAAGCCAGTAGCTACATGTCGTCCATACATATGCTCATTTAAACATTCCGATTACTTTTCATAATCCTTCTGTGCTTAGATTCAAATAGAACCCGAGTCTATACAACTATATTAGTTAACCAAAACAGATTAACAAAATCTCTACGACAATATTATACGTATTAGTTGTTCATAGTGTTGTAGGTTTTAATTAATATGTATATATTAGTTACAGTACACAGAGGTCGGTGCCGGTCGACCAGCTCGCGATGTACGTATACTTATTACTTCACAGTATTAATATGGCATCACTTAGTGTCGGAGGAGGCACGAGCTTCCAAACAAAGGAGGCATTGTACAGTCAGCAGGCAACAGCCGGCCGCCGCTAATATATGATGAAGATTGTGTCGAAATATTCGCTGCGTTCGGCCGGTGCAGCGAGGAATGTGCCGCGCTGTTCGCGATAATGACCCTTCGGGCCGAGGGCCGTAGGGCCAGTGTCGTTCACAAGAACACATTGATATGTTTATTAGAAGGGCGTGCGGGGGCAGATGTCGAGCCGCCCGCTGATCCACTTCCCCATATCTCGGATATCTGAATAGATAGCTCTCTAATTTTATTGACACTGTTAGGAGACATTTCATTCTTTATGTTTCCAGGAACGCGCCCGAGCCCTCGTGAAGGTGCTCGTGCTGGCTCGGGTCGGAGACGGCTCCTGCTCCTGACAGTAAACAGATCGAACCATCGATACATTACAGATTCCATTAATACCGGTACGTAGCGTGGTGTGCGCCGAGCTCCGAGCGCCTCTATAAATAACCGATCAATAAATATTACCTAAATATTTGTGTTTTTTACCGAGCTATTAATCTCGGCGTCATTGGGCGACATATCGACACTAATTAATACCCGTTAATATCCGCGTGGGAACCGACCGGTCACCGGTGGCGCTCGGCTTGAATACTTTGTGAGCTGGTATTTCAATACGACTCTGTTTTTGCATAATATTGACGATGTTCGCATTACACGCGGCCATTAGCATCGGCTTAAGGACGGACGATGACGACTTACAATGTGACCGAACACACGACACACACGACACACACGATACATACGATACGGCTCACACCGACTTGAAGCGGGTCGCTGAAGACGGCTGGGTAATTAGTTGGTTCATTTAATATAGCTAAGTTAAACACCGTAGATCTAGATCATTGGAATGGAATTCTTAAAGTTGAATAATATCAAGCGCTGTACACACACACACACATATATACACGTGTGATACAATGCGACGCGGATAGTTTTTTAGCCCGGCTTGTTATGTAAAATAAAAGAAAAAAACAGTAGGCAGTAATTGAATTATAGAGTAGAATAAATAAATATATAATGTTATAGTGACAGAGACAGTCAGATAGAGAATACTCCTGGTAGGAGCGGTGAGTGGATGTTGGTGAAGGAGGTTGTATGGAGCGAGGTCGGGTCGGCCAAGATGATTTATAGAGGAGACACAGGCCGGGAGGTAGCGGAGGGATGGTGGCGGTGGAGGCGGGTGGTGGCGGGTGGTGGCGCGACAGGGACCAGATGAATAATGACGGATAATAATTGATAAATAGAGGATCCACTGACACACGGAGATGTTATCACTACTAACACGCGGCGGACGAGGACTCAGGACACTCACGAACAGAAATATAAACTGAGACAATGAACGTTCCTTTAGTTATAGTATTATACATTTGTCTTGAAATATTACATTTAGATAATTAGGAAGAAATTACAAAAGTATAAATTTAAAACCAGAATCGAGGTATGGAGAGGGAACATCTGGTGCAGTGAAAAAATTTATCATAGAAACAAATATTTGTATCGGCACACCTCATATAACAGACTAAGATATATACTGTATGGTTATTGTAATTTTATTAAAGCATTTAAACCAAATAAAACTCCTCGTATTGGAAAACGAAACACATAGTAAGCGATAAAAGTGAGCTATTAAAGTTCACTTAAAGTATGTGTGTGTGTGTGTGTGTGTGTGTGTGTGTGTGTGAGTGACTCCGGCCGAGACTGTTGTTCTGTGTCGTCGGAGCTCACATTAAACTATGAAAAGCTATAAAACAGTAAACGACCGTTTAAACTATACTCATTATAACATTTATTGTAAACGCATTATGAAGAACATTAGTTCAACAACTACACGTAAATAAAGTTAGTGCGTTCATTAAAGAACCAACTTAATGTTACTGGTTACAATTATTTGTTAGTAAGTAGGACTTTTCAGACTAATTCTTTATACTCCTAATATTTTAAGACGTCACAGAAGGCCGTGTGGGGGCAGCGGGGCGGAGAGGGGGGGAGGTCTTCGCGGTTCGTGATTCACACGAATTTTTCGGCAACAGTGTAATTAATTAGTCTAATTTATTATATGAGAGGTCCGGTGAGGCGGGGTAGCTCTAATTAGTACTAAGAGGTATTTTGATTGGTGACCGTTAAGTCGCTATAAACCGAGGAATGTCCGAATTGTTTAAAACATAGCTCGATAACAAAGCGTGGTATTATTTATAACGAACAGCGAGGAATGTCACGCTCTCTAGCATTACATTACGTACACTTTGATATTCATTAAAATCATATAAATGTAGTTTTTATCAGAAACTTCTCCATCGCATTTGTTTTCGACACTGATTTGTGTACCAGCAGAGTAATTATAATATTACGACCGCGGAGTACGATCCCGAGTAACGAATACATGGAACAGGGACACGGACGAGCCCGGGGGTGAGGGGAGAGGGGGAACTCGCGGCCGGGGGACTGTTAGAGGTGATCGTGTAATCTTATCTAAGACATTAAAGGACTCTCGATGATCACTGATGTTATCTTCAGCCGCATCCTTCATAATGAACCTTATGTCCGTGACACAAGGTGCAGTATCGCCAGGTCCGGTCCGTCGCAGTCAATCCGTCGGTAGCTAATGAACCCGCGGTCCACCTGCCGCCTGCCGCCTGTCCGCGCGGCTACCGGACCTCTTCCTCGAACTCCTGCGCCGCTCCCACTCACCTGACGGCTTCAAACAATCTTCTAACACAATTACATTTCTTTTATTGATTCCTGTTTATCGTCCCATCGACGAGCCAGCTCCGGAATACGGATTCTTAATTATCAAAAACTCCAGGTGATAGTATTTTTATGATGAATTAACTGTTCAAACGAGACTCCATCCTCTCAGTGCACGTGGACCCGATACCATCTACACTAATGTTTCATCGTCAATTCATTACGTATAAACGTTTACAAATAATTCAAACTCGAACTGTTTCTGTGAGTGATGTGAGTTTACTATTGTTTCTTGCAGAGGAGTCATAAACAATCATGTCCTTTAAACTCTGGATGTTAACTAGTCATCAGCCGCCAGCCGCCGTCATGTCCCCGTCATGATATTAAACAAACGTTTCCTTATATAAGTGTACATCGTATATGTTTTAATTCGGCCGCACATCTCTCAGTATGACTCTCTCGTCCGACAAAGCCCGCGGTCAGGAGCGCACCCCCGGAGGCTGCTCGTTCAGAAGCTATTTAAATTAATTGCCTATAATTGTCGGTGCTCATAAGTCACCCGCAAGATGGCTGCGGCGGATGCGGTAATTGCTTTCGCGGAATCACCGCCCGTCGCTCGCCGCATACAGATTGCAGCGAGAGCAAAAACACCCTCCGCAATTAGAGCCTCCTCTACAGCCTCCCCCCCCCCTCCTCCGTGTACCTCCGGGGCCGACACGCCCCGCCAGGACGGACGCCGGGAGTCCATTACACGCGAATACTAGGAACGTGTCCACACAAATACGCCGGCCATCTATGACGTAGGACGAGCGCCACTACAAGTACACGCGCACACACACACACACACACACTATGCCAGCTATGATACAGGAGGTGTCGTTGTAATAACTAGGACCAGAAACATATCGTGCGTCTTATGTATGAAATATTAGGATAAAATGAAGCGAAGTGAATCAGTGGATTATAATATAAGAAGAGCGCACGCGAGCGGCAACACGGGAACTGGATCCCGGGCCCGAGAACCAGACGTAGGGAATGTCCCTCGGCGCAGGCGGGCCCGGGCCGCATTCATATCGACGCACTTTACACCAGCGTCAAGTTTAAAGCCAACACAAAAAGCTCATTCGCGTGGTCCGCGGCGCGATAAATATCTCGTGTAATGATCGACGCTCCAACTATGTATCGCCTCGATGTTGATCATTCAGTGAACCATCGGCTGCTCCAGGACGAGTGACTTGAACCGAGTCTGACACGTCGCCGCCTCGCTAGGTCGAGGTGTTACCTGAGTTTTAATATCCCAGTATTTTTCTGCCCGGATCCCTTACAGTCTATCTCACGTACCCACACAGCTCTCAACTATTTTTTCTATTTTTTCAGTCAACTATTTTTTCTACTACAAATGTTCTTAATCAGTCTTGTTTTAACCAATCTATTATTAAAGTACTTCAATGTAAGTGAACTGCAAAGTAAGTGGCTGGTTGATGCGAGGTTCGGGAACCTTGTTCTCAGTTCTACATATTTCTGTTACGTTATTTTTATAACGTTCTGATATCGATCACAAAGCCAATTCTTTATCATCATTTCATTTCTATCCAGAATCACCTACAATGTCTATAGTCCTGAATGTTCCTTGGTTTTTACTCTCAATACTCCGCGAATTGTCCTTTCACAAGAGTTTCTTCCGGGCCTATCCGGGACCCAGTCTTCCCAGGTCCTCTTACTACATACCTGGAGCCCGGTCTAAAGCCAGCCGACTTCTTTCTAACTTCATTTCTATCTGTTTTATCGATGTTGTTCTGTTACTAACCGTCAGTATGATTGTGTCTCGTGTTGACAATCGTAACAATCGTTTTGTCAGTTGAAGTAAGTCGCCCATGTCTATTAATGGCCGAGTGTTGGCGCCGAATTGAAAATAACATACATCATTAGAGGTAGAACAATACAGACACGGACCGGGCCCAGGGGAGGAGAGGCAGGTCAGGGATGTTGTGGTGTTGGATGGAGACGAGACACCTCCCCTACGTCACATATTGAATAAAATAACCAAAATATTATATATCTCTACAAGAGCTCAAAAATTCTCCGTTATATAAATGAATAAAAGAAACGGTCAATGTATAAACTCAATGATCTTATATAAAGATAACTATTTATAATTCCGTATTTTACTTTTGAGTTTGATAATATTAATTTATTTATGCATATAATAATATTACTTCTATGATCCCAGCCTCCATCTGATCTAGTGAGGAGGACGTGCCTCTTCAAACTACATAAAGCATCTCTACTACTACCTATTATCTACACACCAGTTTCTATTCCCTGGTGCCTCCAGTCTATATATCCTCTGTTCTGTCTCTCATCCTCATTGTCTCCGACCCTGGCGGCGGCTGATGTGTACTAGACTCTCAGTACTGTGAAGAGTATTTCATTAATAAATCTCGGCATGTCTACGTCTCGGTGCAGATGGCTGCAGGGAGGGAGGCTGCGAGCGTGACGTCACGGGCTGGTGCGGTGGGCGTGTCTCCCATCGCCCCGCCCACAACACAGCCTCTCGATGTATACGTCACATGCAAATCGTCGGTGGAGCTGAGAACACTACATCCGAACTAACGACCAGACGTCAGAGGTCACGCGATGTTCATATGAAGTGACCGCCGGGTCACTGGCCGCTACGTGACACATACGACACGAGGAACTGCAGAACGATAGAAAAAATTATGTGTTTAATATATCAGTTAGAATATTATTCTCTAAGTAAATTCATGATCATCTTTCACGTGGATGTTCAAATCACTGAGACATATTGTAACTAATAATACTGTAAATGACTTCTCAAATAATCTCTTAAATCAAATTTACATATCTTTGGTACAATCCATAATAACATACTGCTTACCTATTTGGGGAGGTGCACGTAAAACACGATTCTTTGAAATTGAACGAGCTCAAAGAGCATTGATTAAAGTAATGTTCTTTAAAAAACAACGGTTTAGTACTGAAAGACTCTATAAAGAAAGTGGTTTGTTAGCTGTACAGAAATTATATATTGTGCATACAGTTCTTAAAACACACAAATCTTTAACCTACGATATATCGTTACTCAATAAACGTATAGCATATACTTAATATTATATCTATCCCTGATTCCCTGCTACTAAAACAGTCTCCGCTAGGATTCAGTATGACAATAGATCTGCTTATTTATATAATAAATTAAATATATACGTTGATATACCTATATTCAAAAACTTGTAAAGAGTATAAAATTAAAATAATAAAATGGATAAAATCTTTAGGTTTTCAAGAAACGGATATTTTTTTAGAATATAGGAACTAGCATTCATATCCTACACACACCAACATACACATACAACACATACACACACACGCATACACATACACACACGCACACACACACACACACACACACATGCGCACGCATGCATACACATACATTTTAATCCCACATTTGCTTCCTTTTTGGTAATTACTTCTCTTATTATTACTTTTTTATATTGTTTCTTTATTATTATTATTCCTTAAATATCTTGTATACTTATACTTGTACCTAATTCGTGATATGGAAGAGCGGAGTTTCCTAGTACAGGCTTTTCATATGCTTAAAAGGAGACTCCAATAACTTTATGTTTAAGTACAAATTTGTTAAAGAAAATAAAGAATTTTTATTTTGAACATCTTTAATGTCTTAAATGTTTGTCAATAAGAGAGGCACGTGTGTGATGTATGTAAGTACATGACTTTACATTAAATCTCTGTATTAATCATTGAATTAGTTTACATCTAAACCTCCGAGGACGTATGAAGCGTCCCTCTTCCTTCAACTGTCCACGTCCAGGAGTCAGTCAGTTAGTCCGTCCCTCGCCACGGTTCATCATCTCTCTATATAAAGCCATACCTTCGCTGAGATCAAATTTTATTGAATAAGTACAGTGTAGGTGTTGTAGACGAGCGGATGCGGGCGGCCCAGTATGTATGTATGTATGTATGTCACAACAGGTCGTATGTAGATGACCCGCTCGCCCGCTCTCTGTTCGCATATTTACTATGTGTTATGACTTACCGATATGCTCTGAATAATTTGCTACTGATAACATATGACTGCCGGGCGAGGGCTTACACTCATACTGATGGGGGAGTAATAATACTTTCAATACTTATAATAATCCTTTTAATTAGACGAGAGAGTGGCTTAATATAATGATATAACTGTCAGATCACGGACCAGGGGTCGGGAGGGGGAGAGACGATTTATGGAGCTCCGATACAAGAGATTTATGAGAAGCGACACGTGACGGGAGAAGTGGCGAGGGATGCCACATGATACGACCAGCCACCTCAACACTGTACGAGTTCAAGCACCTATCATAAAGCATCATAAAGTTTTGAGTTCAATTTAAAATTGTCTCGAGTATCATAAACGTACACCCCTACAGCCAGCGACGTCGTCACACGTATGTTCCAGTACATCCTTCCTCATCCTTCCTCTCAGAGGAAAGTGCTATATGAACACTCCGCCTGACTACAAAGTAGTCACCGATCGGAGAGATATAAATCCGCGGCGTCTTCAATAAACAGATCACGAGACTCGGGCGACTCCTTCATTTAGATTCACTTATTCGCATCAACTATGCAACAAAACGACACGAAGCTGAGAGGAGGAAGACGACGGAGGGGTAGGGGACGGAGGGGGGGACGTGCTGGCTCGTAAATATGTCACGAGAGATGGATGGACGGACGACACGCCCGCGGAGACACGGCGGCACGACCACGACACGATCACAACACGTGTTACAGACGCGGAAGGAAACGAGCCTGGAGGTGGTGGAGATGACTAACAGTGTGTCACGATGACACTACCCTGGCGAGGATGCCCGTGTGTACTGACATGGAGCGAAGCTGTACAGTAGTGAGAGCTCTTTATAATAAATGAGTATCGTTGAAGACTCGTCTCTCGTACAACGCCTGAACATATGTTAGATTCGTGTAATTGTGATTTAATGAGCGCTTTAGGAATTGCGATCATTGGTAGCGAGCCAAGCGGCTTCAAAGACACTACACACGCCGAGATAGACGAATGTATTCATAAACTAGTGTTCACTAGTGACACCAGACGCTCACCGCTCCTACACAGAGGGACGGTTCACACTAGGAGCTGTCAGTGGACGGCCACCGAATTAGTTCGGATTAAAACAATGTTAAATATCTCTGACTATTTTTAGTATGGAACCGATCCCCCCCCCCGCCCCTCTCCTCTCCCGCCACCCCCCAGCCTCTCCTCCCGGTCGCATCTTGTAAGAGAGCCATTAACCACTAATAAAAGCTTTGTTTAAATCACGTCATTAAAGTTCCTTCTAGCAGTGGGCCCGCTGAGTAGTAAAACTCCATCTAATGTGATGTCTCCGGAGCGGGCTCGTGTTGTGACCCGCGACCATTAAACACTATTAGTTGTATCAATAAACACCTCCCTCACTAATGGACACTCTCACCCGCTCCTCTGTATTTTTCTGTTCTATTTTGAGGTCGAAGTGCACGGACCGGACGAGCAATATACATATAAAGTGGACAGCGGACGAGCTCGCCGCGAGGACCGCGCGGACCGTGGAGCTGATGTAAAGAATCTCTTTATAAAACAATATTTATAACAAAGGCCAATGTTACAATCTACTTATGATATTAAATAAATCTTTTATATAGTTATAGGAGAGGTTCTTGATAATTGTCCATCGAGTCATTGTTGTCGCCTGCTTCATAAGTATTATCCTCTCTCTATATGTATGTATGTCAGTATTATATTAATTCTCATTCGTATTTTACTGTATTAACTTCGCTTGTTTTTTCTCAGCCACTTTCCTACCACTATCTTCTATTATTTTTATATTACAGTGACAACCCGCACAGTCATTTCTGAGTTATCTGTAAATGTATAAATTCATCCATTTAAATGCGTTTCCAAAATAAATTATTTACTCTAAATGATTTTAATTCCCAGTCTGATAAGAAATAAAAAAATAAGATAATTTGATGAACGAAAACTGTAAAAAAGTTTAGTGTCTCGTATGTCTGTCTGTTTGTTATTTTGATAAGTATCTGTTAAGCCTGAGCCGATGTTAATACAACTCTCAATGAACGTTACAGTGAGCAGCCTCCTGCGTCATTTTATCTCAACATTAGCATAACAACTTCACAGTAACATTGTTCACTAATTACTGTTTCTTTAACATTAATGACATCATCGATACATACATAGCTTACATTCAATATATATTACACTACACTACACCGTACACGTCACTTGAATAATTTATGTTAATGAGGAAAAAATATAGTTTTATGAATAATTTCAAAAATAAGTCGAGAAACGTGCGACCGTACCTAAGAAAAAAGACATGGCTCTCTCAAAGGATTACTGACATTTAAAGCAAATTATATTTATTAATTGGTTGCAAATATTTACATTAAAAACTTGCTATTGATAAGTTCCACACATAATTGAGTCACAGCTCGGACCCGTCGCATCTTATTATATGTATGTATGTATGTATGTATGTATGTATGTCTGTTCCCTGTACAATGCTAGTATTCATTAACTCATTATGTATTAATATATTGTTATCTATTAACACAGACCATTACAACATGAACACAATTATTTTTGATAAAACATAATGCTTCAGATCGTAGCGTGACCTTTTTTATACGAACCTAAGAATGAGAATCACGGAAGAGAGACTCGCTTAATGAGATGTAGTCATCAGTTGGAGTCCATGGAGTGTGTCCTACACCTGGCACCTGGCACCTGCACCTGGCTCCTCCAGTACTGACTATCATGTGATATGATAACAGACGGATTGTTGTGTAACCGTCAGATACAGAGCACCGTCTATAGAACGTGTTCCGTACATAAGATAGGTTCAGTACATACACCGATGTTACGGACTGTTAGAGAGCGGGCCTCGCGTGTCGGCGCGCCTGTGATCCAGCCGACTGGCCGCTGGGAGTGAAACAAATACAAATTAAACTCCATTATACTAGGACAGGAAAAAATATAAAAACAACGCCTAATTAAATATGTAGTATTGTTAGCGTGGACTGCTCCGTGTGGGTTCTTGAAACAGACGGAGGAAATGATACTTCGGTTTGATGAGGATTTAGACGTCAGATACGTTATACTAACCGTTGGTCAGTTAAAACTCGTCACTCATCACTAGGCAAGTGGCGAGGACGTCCTCGGGGTAAGTAATAAAAGAATACGAGAAGGACTCACGAATAAAATGATTTAATACAAAATATAATACACTCATATTCATAAGTAATGTCTGTTTTTATAAGAACGATCAGGTAGTGAAGTCCATGTTATAAATATTATATTAAATTATATCAAAGTTTATATCTTTCTGCTGCTTACAGTTTACAGTTTTCATAATAATATTACGAATACGAAATGAATGACGAAATATATAGCAAGGCCGCAGGGAAGGCTCTGACACCTTATTGGGGATGAAGAAGAACAAGAATACCTGCTGCATCTGGAGACGAGCAGCGGACCCTGACCCTCTGAGAACAACTATTATAATGTACTGTGAACCTGTACTACCTTACAGGAACCAATGAAACAGGAACACACTACTGGGAACGAGCGACTAATGAATATTAATACAGTTTGAATTAAACATAACAAATACACATACCTTACAGAAATACTACAGGCGACACTTGTTTAACATACACAATGAAAAATATCATTTGAGTTACAAAAAAAGAGTCCATCTTATAATGGTGTAGGTGTTCAATGCTGTGTACCCAGCCACCAGCTCCCTCTGTGTTACATTTAGAGATGATTTATTTCCCATTAAGAAGAAAGTTCACTTACATAGGAAACTAAACTAGTAACATAATAATACACATTTACAAAGTTAATGGTGATCTTATTTATACAAACATTCAAATATTATAAAGTTTGACAGTATGTTTTTAATTTAGCCTTAAATTTCTAAAAAGATTTTTCGTTAAATATTTCTTTCTGTAGATTATTGTACATTAGCGCTCCCTCAAATTGTATAGTTTTGTTACCATAATGTTTAGTTCTAGACTTAGGTATTTGTAATTTATGTATATTTCGTGTATGTGTTGGTCAACTTGACCTAACATTAACTTTTTAGTGTAGTTGTTCTCACGAGTCACTGCGGACATACATAGTATTCTATCATCATCGGCTGCAGGTACCCTGGACATCTCTATATAATGATGTATGTATGTCCGTGTGTGTGTGTGTGTGTGTGTGTGTGTGTGTGTGTGTGTGTGTGCGTGTATCGACTCGCCGAGCGAGTGCCGTCCGTCCGTGTCGATGTCGCCCCATCTATTTCGGGTGACATTGTTGTCGCGAGCGTTTAGTGCGTGTTTTTCTAATAGCTAGTATTAGTAGTGTAGTGCGCCTGATAATCCCGGGTTAATCCCGTGATGCAGATGTCGCGGACGTGAGAGAGAGCTTTACACCGGGATTAACACGTGGCCGGGGCGAACTCACGAGAACATTTATATTAAAATTAAAACTCTTCAACTGAATTTAATTTAATTATAATATGTACCACCAGCCCGCAGTCGGGAGCCGCCAGTGCGAATATTATTAGGGATCTTTAATTTATTATTCTGTACTAGTTGCTACCGGCGGCTTGGAATGCGTTTTATCCGTTTTTTTGACCCATTCATTTGAATTCTCGTAGATTCGTCAGATTTTATTTTGGTATCAGTGATACTACTTAAAATGCTTTCAAATGAAGAACAACATTTTGTAAATCATTCTTCTTATTTTTACTAAGTAATAACATAACGATCATCTGGACACATTGAAAATTTCTTCCTTTAGGTAGTCGGTTAAAAGACTTGGTCAAAATAGGCCAAGTCAAAAATTTAATAATGAAACCATTATCCGTGTATATCATCACTACATACTATAAAACAAAGTCGGTTGTTAAGTCCCAATATCTCTGTATGTTTAAAACTACGCAACTGATTTTAATGCGGTTTCTTTTAATTAATAGAATAATAGAAGAGGAAGGTTTAAATGTATAGTAATAAATACATTATATAGTGGAGAAATACTGTTATTTTAGAGATTTCCTATGTGATGTTGTAAATAGGTATTACATTGTTACCTCTTACATTGCAAACACAGCCTGAATCCTACGGGACTTATAAAAATAATGATCTGAGTATGTATTGTACATATTGAAAAGTTCTACAGAAAACTCCGGTATGATATATGTATATATCTTATGGATATCACACAATAACATTTTTTGTCAAATTTTCGAAGCTATTTTAACCAATACAGCATTAATCTTTATCTATTAAATAAGTTATGGATTTAATATAATATATCTAAATGCTTTTTGTGTAAATGTACATGATTTATATTTTAAACAGGAGCGGGTCGATATGTTTTTATACACAACGTTCACTGTTTTTCTGTAGTATATTTCTTATGAGCTTTACAGCCGTGAGAAGCCGGGGCGGGTCGCTGGTGTGTTTAATGAAAAGATGTTAATTTAAAATTTCAAACAGTCTTCAGTTTTCTTTACAGGTAACTAAACTTACTCAATTAAATTTAAACTTGGAACAATTTTCAGTAAGTAATGTCTTTTTCCTGGCAATTTCCCAGCCTTAGCCAGGGTCTACCCGGTAATTTAATTTTCAGTAAGTAATATAAGTTATTGAAATTTTCTTAAGTTTATATTAATACTCCATGGACCCTGCAAGCCCCCAACCCTCTGTAGGACAAACAATACTTAAGTTAGCCCACTGTTTGTGTGTGTGTGTGTGTGTTAGTTACTATAACCTCTAGCATTGAACTAACGACTGAACTAAACTAATTGAACTAAATAAGAACCAGTAACATCACTACACACGGTACAGCAACGTCGTAGTTACGGCTGCTTTGCTAATTTGACATGATAAAAGCCGTTAGTCCACTCCACTCTCCTCCACCGTATTGTATTGTAAGCGATCTATTTCGGTCCAATCGATGTTCCTTCGCCTCTTATTGTAATGAGCGGAGGGCCGGAGGAGCACATTAGTTGAGACCGGCGCGCGGCGGTGAGCCGTCACTAGTGATTTAAGTTAACACGTAACTTTTAAACTGTGCCTGGGGATTACGGAACTAACGTTTACAGAAATAGATCACTTTACGTTTACTGACATTTGTTATATTACATCGGCGACACCACGACGACTGAAAACTGATGTATCAACAAACATACATACACACATACATACAATAACAACACACTATACTGTTTCAGATCTTATTAATAAGAAACTGCAGTAGTAATCTTAATCTCTAATGTATATTTATTTATTTCGAACAAAAATCTAAATTGTGTGACGAATATAGAAACACACATAACAACGTTAAAAATATTAATTAATATAAATTACATGACTTATAATATGTACTATGTAGTTGTTTACCAAGGAAGGTCGGGAGTTGATACGATGTCTTCAACTTCTGTGTCCGCGGACCGCAGTGTGTAGTTTGGTAGAGTTTTTTTATATGTTCAGTTCTAAGTTTATAATAATAATAATTCTTATGATCCCTCACATATCAGTAGACCAGATTCTTGTGTACTAACTGCTCGTTAATGCTACACAATAAAAAACATTATCGCATTCCTACATTTGTTCCGCAATGAATTAGTGAGCCGATAAAGACAGTTTACAACAACCACCAACTATTAACATGGACTTCACAAACTGAGTCTACATACTACACAACACTATAGTATAATAATTAATATAATGTTCTCCTTCAACTATCTCTATTAACATGGTCCTAGTTGTCAATCATAGTCGGTGTGATAAGAATCATTAGCGACACATCTCCTGGCCGTTTAATATCACCAGTTCACTGACAACAGTGTATTGACAACTGTTGAAGCGTGACGTCACCAGCCCCTCCATCAACAGTTATATTTTATTGTTGTCCAACCTACAATACAGTCAGTCACTCTTGCCTCCTGTAGGTGGAGCTCTACAACCAACTACCACTCACCGCCACTCACCGTCAGCGGCTGACCACTCTTACAACTCTTACAAAAACAACACGCAATATATTATGTTACTGATATTAATATAAGAGAACACACGCCTTAATGTATCACTAGTATATGTATGTTCACAGCGACGGGGTAGTTTAAGTCGTATTGTAAGGCAGTAGGGTTCAATATAGTAAGATGCTCCCGTAACCATCACATAGGAACTCAGTTAATTGATTCCTAGGAACACAAGTCCGAGCCCAGCCTTCACACTCCCACGTGTTAAGAACAATGTTCACAACACGACTTCACTTATTTATTTGTACCTGGCTCTGTGCGAGTATTGAACTCAAAACTAAAGATTCAAAACTACTTTACTTGTATTTTAATTATTTTCATGATTTTTGTGTAACTACTTACTACGCTATTCTTCTAAATGTAAATTGGCTAAAGAATCAGTTCAATACATAATGAGCCCACATACTGTACTTCAAACTACTGTTATATTTTTCTGAACTGGGACAATTTTTTTTAAGCTAATGGATGAATTTACAAATCTGACATAAAACCTGTGTACTGTAAGTAAGGGTCGGAGAGCTTAGCCATTGAAACTTCGAATGAAAACGATTGGATTAGGACGATGTACATAAGACTGAGGAGACGAGACTAGAGGGTCACACGACAACACGGGAGCGGGAAGAGGTCAGGAAGATGAATGACCACATGTACGCTCCTGGATTATACTACTGTGGCTACATGAGTCCTTATCCTCCAGATTAACGAACTCAATCATGATACGTGTCTCGTAAGAAGTGTTAGCATCATGTACTCGTCGAGGTAAGCACAAAACACATTAGTATATGTCCAATATGGTGTCGTTAGAATGGTTCATGATATTGATTTGAACAAACAGATATCATATGACAATCAACTTTAATACTGTTCGTTCGGTTAAAGACCTGGTTGTTATTGAATAGACTGACTAAAGACATATCTAAGTGTCTCTAAAGACTCTCACTCACACACACACACACACACACAGATGTACATGTTGTACTTGCATCGTCTATTGTCTGTTGAGCGAGCGCATTAAATAAATAATTGAGATAATTGTTATACAATAACAATCATTATTATGATGATCGTTAATCATATACATATTATATTACACTTCCTCATATTTGTAACAGGCACGTTACAATGTACATACACATAACAGCGACCTTGTGTATACTCCACTTTATACTATGCAGTTAATTGCACTCGCCGACTCCGCCTATAGCACACCCTCCCCCGGAACAGACACACACACACACACACACACACACACACACGCACACAGACCGGCCCCCCCTCACCCCTCACCCCGTCACCCCCCCGGCCCGTCACCCACACCCTCCGGACCTCACATCACAGAGGACACACACCACACTCCTAACACACCTACTGACAGCCTCTAATAAACACGACTTAGAAACAGAGCGACGAGCTTAAAAGAAAATTCTTGTAAAGTTAAAGAAAAAGCAACTGAACAAGAAATAGCACAGGTAGAAATAAACCTTCAGAAACCTTTGTTTGTAACATGAACGTTATAAAAATATACAGAGCTGAAGAACAACCACACTCTCTTCATGATTATCATTGGTTTTGAGTCATTGTAAATAAAGTTAAAATATAATATGTAAGGTGGTCAATTGTTTCGTGCGTGTCTGTACACCGCCTCCTCATTGACACAGGTCACTGAAGAGGCAAGAAAAGATTATTTCATTTGTCAATGATGATTATACTTTCCAAGACACCCTGAGTGAGGGTGACTGTGCTCGGGGGTGCAGTGTGAGCCGAGCTCATGTTAAAACGTCCTGAACACATACATTATACACAGTCAACAACACAAGTAACATTGAGGACAGTCGTTCGTTGTCATTATATGTATATTACAACACTCGAGTACAAATTCAATTCTGCATTTACTTCCTGTCTCTTCACACTGCCCTATGAGGAGATTCAACTAGTTGGTTAATCTTTAACCCGACGTCGACTTTGTTAGCCATCATCGATACAAGCTATCTTTATATAATATATAAAACATATTGATGTTCGGAAATTAAAAGGCATCAGTTTTGTGATAAACCAGTCTTTATTTTGAAATTTGAATCAATACAACGAGTACAGTTACGAAACTGATACAAAACACTAATTCTAACATTGACATATGAATGACATGTTCATTGTTTTCATCGCTATATCAATAACACATAGAAATATAACTCCCACTACATATCTAATGTAACTCTAATCCTCGATGACGTCACATTTAATGGTCTATTCGGATGTCCTTCATTGATGTTTTCTCTCCCGTCACTGTTCCTTCACAATACATATATTCTCAGTCTACAAGTCCATTACTCAGTGCATCTTGTCAGTCGTGACGCCCTCGCTCCCTCACACCGAGGGTGTCGTGTGCTGCCTGCAGCTGCCTGTTGTTGTAGCTGGTGGGGTCAGTGTTCCAGCTACACTCACTCATATGTTATAAAGCATCACTATTATAATCATTAAGCCCAGACTCGAGTTTATTCAATGTAAGTTATACACATGTTATTGTAATGTCGATGTATTGTTCAGTATCGTCTCGTGTGTATGTTCCTCTCTACTCGTCACACAGCTCCCAGCGGAGTCTGTCTCACGTCTCCAATGTTATCATATTTTGTATTTAGTTCAGTTTAGTCAATTAATATACATACATATATGTATAAGTATAATATGTTGACAACTAAGTGATTGTGGATTTCCCTCATAGACGGCTTTAGTTGAATTTTTAGTTTTGTAAACCTAGTAAACTGTACAAATGTAAAACGCATTCTGTTTAGTTGATTTGTTTATTTGTTTTTTTTTTGCAATTCATCTGCTAATAAGTAAAAAAGTTTAAATAAATTCAACAATGATATCAAATTACACCTGATTCAGTTTTTTGCTAATAAAAACTTTAAGTTTTATGAACGTGGGATAAGATGCGGCCTGAAAGATGGTAAAAGATTATTCATCAAAATGTTCAATTTATTAGAAAATAAAGTTATTTAGTTCCATGAAAAGATTGTTTTAGATTTTCTATTAAAAATCTGCAACAACTTAGTTACCAACACAATGTATACCTAGATATGAAACTGTTGACGAGGTGTTCACTATCAAAAGAATTACAAATATTAAATTTTATGGTTCATAAAAATAACAAGAATGCAAATTCCAGAAGGCAATAATAATTATTATTATAAATCTATTTACACTTTGATTATAATGTTTTTTTTCCGTCTTATGTGTCTCATGCTTATAAACAATACATCGATAAATAAACTTTAACACGTCACATGTAAATATTTCCCCCTGTGACTGTCCCTCCCCCTCCCCCCTCTCGCGACATATCTCCTCTGCCTCTTATTGTCTCATTCCCGACCACCATTTTAAGACTTCTGAAAATTATCATCCAGAGAATCATCAGACAGCCGCGTGAGAGGAGGCGCGATCTTTATTAGTCCCCGCCTCAGACACACAGATGTAAACCTTATGACCGAGCGGTTTAAGGTTGAAGGTCGCGTGTGAGGTGCTCCTCCGCCTGATGCTATCTCGGCCCTAGTGTCCGCGCCGCGGTCCGTGTCCGCGTGTCTCAACTAATTACTGCTCGTCCTCGCGGTCCTCGTTACCGCCGATCATCCCTACTAATATTATAAATGCGAAAGTAACTCTGTCTGTCTGTCTGTCTGTCTGTCTGTCTGTCTGTCTGTTACTCTTTCACGCCTAAACCACTGAACTGATTTTAATGAAATTTGGTACTGAGATAGAGTTGACCTTGAGAAAGAACATAGGATAGTTTTTATCCCAGACTTTTGAAACGTTCTCTTGGAAACGCGATATAACCGAACTCCACGCGGGCGAAGCTGCGGGCGGAAAGCTAGTTGATTATAATACGCGAGCCGTGAACTGTTCGCCGCTCGTCTCCTCGGCGCGGGGGTGACGGGTCGCTTCCTTGGAGCTTCATTAGCATGTTGTAAAGTGATAAATCATAACCGCGGCTCGTCATCAAAGCTCAGCGGCCGCGCCCCCTGACCCGACACACGGACATGTGCTGCACGGACCAGGACCACTAATGATGGAATGACAGGAGGGTGGAGGAGGGTCACAACACGTTGAGGTCTCTCAGCTGACCCTGCGGAGATGTCATTGACGCGGGACTACTCTGAATAGATCGAAACATAGAGCGGACGAATAATATAACAGAGACAGGGACAGAGACACGGGCGAGACACAGCGAGAGGCGACGGGACGGGTACATGTGATTTATTACTAGGAAAGTATCTGTCTTATTAAATAGGTGTCTCTTAATGAGATCCGAGATAATGACATCGGATGGAGCGGGGAGGAGACGCGCCAGGTGGAGGACACGTGTGGACCGGCCGGGGGGTGCGGGACGTGTTTAGGGAAGCTGAGTAAAAACGAACGTTAGTCACGCTCCGTCGCCGATGACGGTTTGTTTGTTGTCTGCGGGCCGGGTCAGGTTACACACGCGCCGCTCACAGGAGCTGGACCCGGACAGTCAGCGACACACACCGTGCATACTGTATCACTGTAACTCACACGTGACGTGTGTCTATAAACACACATATACTTGTAACGTGTCAGTCTGTGTGTTTACATTATATGTCATAAGTCATTCCTCGCTTCCTAACATGTTCTGTAATCATCCCCCGGTCCCTCTCATCCAACACAATGTATCTCTAATGTCAGATCAACGCCCGCCACACTCCTCACGAGCCTCCTCCATGTTCAACGTGAACCCTCGACCACATATGTTCACTTATTGACTACTGAATGTATTCTAAGTTTCCCAGGAACAGTTACAAAGTGTCAATGTTCAGTCTCTTATTAGAAGGATCCCTCCTGTTAGTGAACGATCTTTCCAATAACAGTTTTATAGAATTCTTTTCCACCTTAACACCTGAACACGGACCGTCGACTGAGTAGTCTGGTCGGTCGCTTCAAACCTCAAATATCTATACTAATACTAGAAGACCTGGCGAACTTCGTATCGCCCTATAATCCAGAAATATCTATATCGTTTTTTTATTTATATTTTTGGAGTTTACCTGTAAGCCATAAATCTCCGTATTTTGAAATGCGACAGAATGATTGACATATTAGTTAGTTGTCAAATCTAATGTCAAAAAAAACGTTTGTATGGGAAATAGAAAAGGGCTGTTTTTATGGTTTTCCCAGTAATTAATCAATTCTTTCAGCTTTTATACCTTCCCTGAACCTCCACGAACATTTCAAGACTAAGATAAGATAAATCCGTTCAGCTGTTCTCGAGTTTTAGCGAGACTAAGGAACAGCGATCCATTTTTATATATATAGAAGATTATAAAGCTGAAGAGTTTGTTTAAATGAAACTAATATTTTTCGGATTTTACTTCGCGTTTTATTTTTGATTAGAGTTTGTTTGTTTGTTTGTTTGAAAGCGCTTATCTCCGAAACTACTGGTTCGAATTGAATAATTCTTTGTGTTGGATAGTCCAGTTATCGAGGAAGGCTGTGGGCTATATAACATCACGCTACGACCAATAGGAGCAAAGATATAAGTAGTGGTAAATGTGTAAAAACGGGAGAAATTATTTTATCTTTGAAGCCTTCCGTTGCGTGCGCCGTGAAAACGGTTCAAGATACACAAAAAATATGTATTAAAGAATAATAGCTCTTTTAATGATCTAAAAAACAGTCCGCGACAGTATATGTCTATCTTTTAAGATTAACTCACAAAAACCCTTTTTATGGTACCTAATTTGGTCGAAATAATTTTATAAAATCTTTATTCAAATAAACAAATAAATATATTGTTGGTTAAGAGTACTTCATTGTGAATAAAAAAAACATAGGTTTTATCCTGAAAACTCTACGGGAACTCGACCATTCCGAAAACCCCGCAAGAACGGGAACTATGTGGGAAGAACCAAAAATCTGCCGGAAGTCACTATTCCACGCGGACGAAGTCGCGGCAAAGCTAGCTATATACATTAAGTAAGCTCTTCGACAACGAAAGAGACAACCCTCAGTGTCTCCATATGACTTCACTCGCATACATTAAGATAGATTTGACTCCTAACCCTGAGGAGTGTGTGAGGAGGGGTCGAGCTGGATCAGGTGAAATGAAAATATAGTTTATTGTGAAGTCCTCAAAATATGATACTAGTATTTTGATAAATGATTCTATAATTTATTTATAATCTATTGTATACGGTTTTACAACAGGATCCCAGAAAGCGTTCAAAATGCCTCTGTTGCTAAATTTAAAAAAATTATTAAGGAACGCCTGTGTGCAAAAGGTTACTATACAATTAATGAGTTTATGATCGATAGCACACCTTGGGAATGAAACGATTGCCTCCTGGCTATTTCATCTCATATTATATAGTTTATATAATATACTAGACAAATATATATTTTAAATAAACCCGCTGAGTTTCTTTCGCCGGTTCTTCTCAGGTCAGGGTATTTTGTTTTCCGAACCGGTGGTAGTGTCTCAAGTGACCATCAATAAGAAAGTGTAATGCTTCTATGTATATTGAATAAAGTAATTTGAGTTTGAGTTTGAGTATATTGTTTAAATCATGTTAGTATTCTGATATCGAAAGCCTGGAGCTGTAGTGTCATCATTAGTATTCGTCGCCTGCGCGTCTGGCGCGCTACAACACTTACTGTTCTGATATGAACTCTATTGCTATACAAATAAGAACCTATTCAGATGAGAGGAGTGTGGTCGAGGGAATTATCAATTCAATATTGTAAACGGAGCATGTTTCAGATCTACACACACACACACACATTCACCGGCTCACCTCGGTCGTGTTATCAGTTCATACTGATAGTGTTATCATTCGTTATCAGCTCGTGACCGATGTGTCGTATCAATGTGTACAATAATTGATCCCCGTGTGTGGTCGTCAGGTCGGTTCATGAAGTACACCGCGTGTATCGTGTACGAGCAGCTCATTGTTACATGATCCAACTCTGTCCGTCTGTGTTAACCGTCCGTTACATTTATAAACACTAATCGGGACGAAGTTAAATCAGACACCCCCCCCTGCCCCGTCCCGTCCCCCTCCCAGTCCCGGGCCCGTGGTCGTGATGAAGACACTTTTATTGTCCCTGCATACTAATGAGCCGCTGTCTCACGACTCATTTAAAACAAATTAGATCTGCCGGGACGCTCTCTGTGCCGTCTCTAACGAACCCCCCCCCCCCCCCGGCCCCCCTCGTGTCGTCTCTCCATTAACTCCTCAAACCCCCGGCCAAGTCTAATACGTCCCCGGTGATGGTGTGTTTACATTAACTTTTATTTATTTATTAGTAACCCGTAACAATCGTCTCCGAGCCGCCGCCGCCAGTCTCCGAGGGCCGCCACTAACGTCTCTATTTGTGTCGTCCCTCGCTCAGATAATGGCTTCTATTGTTTGTTTCTTCACCGCGACGTGATTTACATGCTCCTGAAATAACGAAGAGGCGCGACACGCGACACACACGACAAACGACACGCGACACAGACTACTCCTAGCGCTCCGGGTGTCAGCAGCTAACTGTGAAGGTGGAGGAGGAGGTAGTAAATAAAAGTCGTAATAGATAATGTTTGTAACATGTTTATTGTTGTTGGTGGCTCGTCTCTCACTCGCTACAATATGTACGTTACATCCGGCTCTACGGACACAATACAGTATACATCATGAACACCTCCAGCCGGAGACTGAGCCGCGGCAGGTGGAGAGGAACATATTGCACAGATACAATCATTATCATCATATGTATAGTATCGGCTCTAGTGACGCGTTTACAGATCATCGATACACTCACTCACTCACTCAGTCACTCACTCACTCACTCAGTCACAGTCACTCGTTACTCTATTACATTACACTAACTATGTACATCTGTTAGGCTACCTCGAGACGTGCTCCGTCTCATACAACACAATCTTCTTAACATCTATCTTATTATATCTAGAGGTTCCTACACTTGCTATACTACATGTGTGTGTACGTGTGTGTGTACGTGTGTGTGTACATGTGTGTGTGTGTGTGTATGTTTGTTGTGTCCTCTACGATCACTCGAACGAAAGTATCACAGACGATTTATATTCAAAACAAAAATACTCATTTGTTATAATAAAAGAATAAACAGAAGACTACATTAATATTTACAGACAGAGATACAAGCAGCCGCCGGGGAAGAGAACTGGCTCGCGAGTCATAATGTGTGTTGTTGAGGGTGTGTGTGTGTGTGTGTGTGTGTGTGTGTGTGTGTGTGTGTGTGAGCAGTAACTGTATAACAACCCCGTGTCAATGTTCGCCACACGTAATGTTCACAGATCACATCCAACGGTGTGGTGTGCTGGTGACCCCTCTCCCCCTGTTCCGTGTGAGTGTGCGGGGGTCACGTGTGCTGGTCGGTCAGCGTGTATCACAGCTGTAGCTCCGCGCGTGTGTGGAGGAGGCTCGAGCGGATCAGAACCAGTACAGGTCCTTGGAGGTGTCCTGCACCTGCGGCTCCAGACCTGCCACGACAGACACACACATTAGACAACTATACGATACAGGAATGTGGTTTGTGAGATTATGTATAAATGATCTGTCATATGAAATGATTTGAAATATAAGTTTAAACAAAAAATGTATTGGTTGAACTTATTTACAAAAGTTTGAGTCTACATATTATATACCTATTAGGTATATATTCCATAGAAATAGTAAGTATTGTTATCCTGGACATTCTCCACTCGCTGGACTTATACAAATATAATGTGTATACAGTGTGTGGGTCAGGAGTGAGGTGGGGTGAGGGGAACTGGCTTGTGGTAGAGGTTAAAGGACGGGGAAGTCGACCTAACAGACTGTGGCCACCACGATAACATTGATGCTCACATTAAACACAAAACAAAAAAATAGGTACTTAATTTTTGACCAAATTTCCGTATAAATAAATAAAGTGTGGACACGTTCCAAGTGTTCCAAGTGTGGACGCGTGCTGATACAACACCGCGACGCCGCACGCGTGTGTGTGTGTGTGTGTGTGTGTATACCTAATCTGTAGGGTGTTCACACGATGCGTAATTAATTACATAACTTTTGGTTAACTTTACTTAGAAGTTTATTAATAATTATGTTATATTAATTTTTATTTTGTCATATATGATCGTCAAATATAACGTCCTCAAGTATCGATAGTAATTCACCAGTCACCCTGTATATATGTATATACTGGGACATTATAAATGCAAGGAGTTCGATGAGTTCAGTATACAGCATCACTTGCGGTACACGTTGAATAAGACTTATGCATATTTAATGCTTCATTGTTTTTTATATTTTATGAATTACATATTTGATAGTTATTGTTTGTGGTCACTCCTCTCGTCCACTCATCTCCTCGTCTTCCACGTCTTCCATCTCTCTCTGATGCTCTATGTCCGTCTCGCTCCCTCTTCAGTCGTTTCTTTTTCTCATCTTAGCTCACTCCAGCAACGTGTTCTAGACGAGCACCATTAAAGGATAAAGATAAAAGAAAATCCAGAGAAGGTGTGTCTCTGATGAGCACGTCGCGTCGCTTCAATAACATACATGACCTGTACAATATGTACCGTATTCACAGCATCATCATATCTCCTCCTCATTCTAAGCTCACGTCTGTGTATGTCTTCTCCTCGGTAGGTCTCTACTCGTCCTGAATGTGTCACGTCTCCTCTCCTTGCTATGACCATTTTTATTTCCCAAAATAAATGAGCAACATATTGCGAGGTCTGTCTAACTCATTCATATAGTAGGTATCTTCCCTCAGTATCACAGACCCTCCCTCCAGCCCGTCAGTTTGTTTCCATCACCCGTCTTCCTCAACCTCTGTTGGTTCTTCTATATTTCAGTAATGTATGTAAGTCAGTTTTGTTTAAAATTCATTTGTTTATTTAAATGTTCATCAATACATAACATTGACCACAACACAACAACAGTAAGGAGCTCAACATTTATACGACACGTGATACAAACAATATAATAATTGAATTTAATAGTCATCATTGTAATCATAACAAAACTTAAACACATTCAAATTAACTGATTAAATGGAGAAACAGTAGAACTCGCACCCAATGTGATCCTCGAGTCACACCGGAGGAGGCAGTATGTCTGTCTGATACATAACCATTGATGTCAACAGCACACGGTTGGACACATATGAAGTATACTAATTCAACAGGGTCAGTTGTATACCTATAGGTGCTCGGGAGGTAGTGGTCGTGGAGCTCATCACTGACTACTGAATGATCTACAACATCGATGGCCCCGGAGACATCAGTGTGGACGAAGTATATGTGTAAGTTGTTGTCCGTTCCGTACATTGTAAGTGTTACATAATAATCTAAGTTAGTTATCCTGTTGGTTCCATGTCGTATCAACTCTTACTATCTCTGTCTCTCCTAGTCATCGTCTCTCTCTGTCCTTGTCGGTGTCGTCCTCCCAGTCCTCTTGTTCTCTCTCTATATATCAGACTACATCTCTCCCCCTGCCCTCTCTCATTGACTCTTCTAAGTTCTGTATTTCTGTAGGTACATGTCTCTCCCCCCACTCATCAATCCCTCTCTGTTTGTTGTCGTGTTCCTTGTCTCATGTATTGAACTCAATCAATGTTCAGCGAGCTCTCTGTCACGTGTAGTTTGAGACCTTAATATGAGTAGCGTGTCGACATAAAGAATTGGTTCGGTTGGTGACCTCTCTCTCTCTAGTCCCTCTAGAGAGAGAGAGGTCACGAAGTGTATTTAATTATTTTTTCTCCAATGTTAAGTAAGTTCAGTTTGTCACGAGGGTGTCCTGTAACAGTCTCCTGTCTCATCTGACGCCTGTCATCCATCCCTCGTGTTGTTCCGTAGTCTCCCCCCACCCCCCACCCCCTCCACCTCACTACATGTTATGTATCTCACTACATCTCTTATTGTAGGTATATTAGAATACTTCTTTATTAGTAGGTACGCCTTTATTGATATGTAAATATATTTTAGGTGGAGAGAGTGAGTGCGATAGGACACAGTCAGTGACGTCACGGTCATGACGGAGATCACCCGCGGGTTGTGTAGTGGTTAGAGGGGGGCGGGGGCAGCGGGGGGCGGGGCGGGCGGCGAGGCACGCCGGCGATCTTAATTGACAGCCTGTGTGATTTACTGTGCGCGCCCTGCCCCCGGGCGGCCGGTGGTCAGCGGGCCGTCATTGGTCGCGGGGCCACGCCCCGCCCCGCCTCCGCGCCATTGTATCAGGTCGGGCCGGTACGGTCCGTGTCCGCTGTAGTAACCCCAGGTGCCACATGTGAGTGATGACGTCACCAGCGGTCCCTACCGCCGCTGACAGCTGACGGGGGACATCCATCACGACAGGATGAGAGGAATTTAATTTAGCATCAACCCTCCCCCCCCCCCCTCCGTCTCCCAGGTCCGGTGCGTGTGTGTCGGCCGGCTCCTGGTCCTAGGTGCATGTAACTCACTCACTGGTCATTATCAGCACCGTCTCAACTTATATTGTAATGTACATGTAGGTATGTCTGTATATACTATACTCATATACAGTATCACGTTCGTAACCCCCATGATAGTCGCGGTGAGAAACACATAAGAATAATCATTTACTGATCAATTAGATCTATTGATATGAGAAATGAATTTTAATCAAAAAAAATATTGTTATTTTATCATATCCAGTTCTGTTAGTATAACAAGGCCAGTAGTCTTAACAGCTACCTCCTACAACACTCAACAACAACAAATAATAGAATTGGCAAAAATACCTAATACAAAATTTTAAAAAAATCTTTATTAGATACATCCACAGCACCAATTGAACTCTAACTGGTGACGTCTTTCAATCCTATTTGTTCTCATTTCAGATTCTCCTGTTAGATCGTAAGGCTACTGGCATAGTTATAGTATGTAGCTGTATTTGATAAGAAAAAAAGTCACAAAATATGTATACTTATATTACAACACACACACACACACACACACAGCGACCACATCGTGAGACGAGTCAGTCATTTTTTTTTGTGAACTATACATATCATAAAAACGGGCTAAAAACCTACAATATTTCGATATTAGTAAAATCTTCTATTTTTTTAGCGGCTCGTTTAGTTTTCAATTTTTTTTCTAAGTTTCTTCGTCAGTACTAACTGAGTATTAATTATTTTCTGTTTTCTATCATCAATACTGTTATCACATTCATCTTATATGTGATGAGATGTGTGATTGTTCGTGTCGTTGTGTATAATCAATCTGTACCTACTAAAACACCAAAAATAATACTTTTCGTAATATCTGTTTACTCATACATATATTTAACTAGTAAACCTGGCGAACTCCGTTTCGCCACCAGAAGGCTTTTATATAACATTTCGTTTGGTGATTAAAAGATGAATTTTTTGTTTTATTTTTGAAAAGGAAAATTTTTATTTCATTTCACAACAGTAATGAATTCATTTCGATTAAAAAAAATGAAGTGGCATTTAGTTGAACTTCTCTAAGTAAATGAAAGTGAATCCAAAGTAGATACCGAATCGAAGCGTTATACGTGTCCGCAAATTATCCGTTTCATTGAAGTGCTCCTTTGTAAACCACATTTTTTGTTTTTTGGTCTAACTTTAACACAAATAAAGCGTACGGTTTCCAAACTCGTGAACACGCAAAATATAACTGCCCATGTGAAAAACAATGATTTTCTAAATTTATCCCGCAAATACTAAATGGTTTTAAGAGTTCAAACTACAAACACAATACCTAAATATTTTTATTTTTATATAGTAGATTTCTTACAAATATCTAATTGTCATCCATACGTCATTACATATCTGTCATTATACGTCAATTGCATAGCTGTCAATTGTGTTATTCCACGTTTTATAGTGACTGACGTTTCATGTCAGCATTTCGTTGACGTTCGACAGCATTCCCACGGGAATGCTGTCGAACGGGATAAAAAGTATCCTATTGCAATTTCCTGGCTCTAAACTACCTCCCTGCCAATTTTCAGCTAAATCGATTCAGCCGTTCTTGGGTTATAAGTGGAGTCACTAACACGACTTTCTTTTATATATATAGATTACTTATTATCTTATGTATATGTCACCGTGACTGTATCACACGTACATATGTTACACTGATATCTTCATTAACAGTTAACAGTGTTCTTAATAATAATATATAAACGAGAAATTCTGTCGAATTAACCTTTCCAACTTAACAGACGCGCGGTAAACGGTCACCTCATCCGTCCAAGCTCCTCTCCCTATCAAACACTATTTGAACAGAACCTAAGTACCTACTACATATGAGTAGTAGGGCTGCCTTCGAAGTAGGTTCTATTAAGAACGCAGTGTGATTGTGGCCGGACCACGACTGACTATATTGTACAGATTATAACATAGCATACATATAGGTATATTATTAGGAACTAATAGCTATATGTAAGTAGTATATTATATTGTTAGTAACATGTACGTATGTCGTGTCTCCTGTCACCACCTCATCACTGTAAACTGTATACTATGGACAAATACCTAACACTAAACGATATGGGTGAACTTACAATGACCCCGACCTGGCTGAATGTTGCAATGATTATACACTTATATGTATAAAGTTTCCCTATTATAAAGATAATGTGAAAAGCTCTCATCGATGCGACGTGTAAAAAAAAAATAATTTCGAGGTCAAAGATGACAAAAACAAGTTTTTGGCGATTTTAAGCAAAACGATAAGTTTTATCATAAATTTAGTTCAGACAATGATTAAAGATCAAATAATTATTATATATACCTACTAATATTATAAAGCTGAAGAGTTTGTTTGTTTATGTAAAATTGTAAATCTCACGTACCTAGGTACCTACCACGGGTTCAAACTGAAGAATTCTTTTTGTGTTGAATGAACCAGTTATCGAAGAAGGTTTTAGATTAAATAACATCACGCTGCTACTGATAGGAGCGAAGGAACAATGGAAAATGTGGAAAATAAACGGAGAAAATTATTGTTGTGCGCTACGAAAACAATTTAAGATAACAAACAATTATTTCTCTTGAAATGATCTAAAACAATGTCCGCGACGGTATGTAGGTATGTATGTGACTATCGTTTAAGATTAATTCACTAGCACCGTTTTTATTATAATAAAGTTTGATCGAAATTAATGCATTGTTAGCAATAATTAGTTAGAGTTGTATCAACATAATACCTATTACCTAATGTTTATACAAATAAATGTGTTGTGTATTAATAGTATTTTATTAAGGACAAAATTAACTTAGTTTCAATGAACATCTTAATCTATATACCCTAAATATTTTAAAATAACTCCGATATATAACTCACAGGCGCCGCATCAAGTTCAATTATGTTGTTTTAAACACTCAAATACTAATTTCTCTAAAATACTAACAGGAATTGAGGCGAACGAAGTCGCGGACAACAGTTATAGTTTAAAAAGCTGATGAGGTTGTTAGTAAAAATTAATATAATGACTAAAATAAGTATTCAAGGCGGACGAAGTCGCGGCCACAGCTAGTTATAAGTATATAAAACATGAGTAAATGCTTTTTTTCGTGAGAGTCACCGTAATTGAGATATAAAGATTCATAAAGTTCAATGTCTAGTAATGATCATATGACGTCCACCTCGGAGGCGGGAGGTGTCATCATCATCAGTAGATGTTGTCTGCGTCGTGTTGTATGAGGAGGAGCATGGCCAACTGACACTATGACCTTACAACACGAACAACGACACAGAGACCTAAGACTTTCACGACTTTTATTCATTTAATTGAAACTAATATTTTTCGGATATACCAACCGGTTTATTTTTGTAAAAAAGGAACATACTCCCGCCGCACCGTGGGAAAATCGCGTATGTTTCGTCTCAAAACTCCGTATCTCAATTATTACAAAACTGAATGATCTGTAATTTTAAATATACATACGTGAAAATATAAGGCTTAATATAGAAATAATAATGTTTGATGTTTAAAAAATTATTAAAAAATATATTTTGAATATGTTTTAGCACCGTGTCAGAACAGGTGGAACTTTTTTTCTCCTTGTGTTAACTAATGTATAAAGATCGTAACACAACAAATATCTCGTCAGCGGTAAACAGCGGTAAAAAGTAAGGTCTAGTTAAAAAAAAGTAACCCGAAAATTGTAATTTATTTATTATACATAATATTATTTAAGAAATGTTATAAGGAGATTATAAGCATTCCAAAAATATATAATACTTATACATTTATATAAAAAAAATTCGAGTAACGTGACGTTGAATTATAGTAATGTGTTGTGCAAAATCACATCAGTTAGCTTTGATGCCTTTTTTATATACATTATGGTTAGCAACAAAAATTAAAGAAATATAGTAAAGAAAGCTTATTATAAAGAGTACATATATTAATTAATTAGTTTTACTGCATAACAAAGACTTTCACGTGAAACGGTTCTGAGACGGCCTTGTATGGGGCTTTTCCATAGTAGACCAGTGCCGATAGCTTTTAAAACATAATTAAATTATAGTAGAATGAAACTCATTAGAAAAGGAGGGGAATATTATAAAAATTAAAGAAAAATAATTTACGGGCGATCTGAGGTCGGAAAGGGTATGGGGGTGGGTATTTAAGGGTAAAAAAACGGGTTTTCTCGATTTCCGGCAACATTAAAAGTCCTACGGAAAAATGTTATAGAGCAAAATTGTAGGTAATAAAAAGACCTAAAGCTTTAATACTAAATTTTTTTCACATAACCTCAAAATTCATGTGAAAAATGCAAAAAAAACTAGTTTTTTGTTTTTTATTTTTATCTCTCCCAAAAAACAATATTTTGTCACAAAATTTGGTGAAAACTTTCCATTTGATGTTCCAAATCTACTGTAATTTATTTGATAAGAAATATATTTTTTTTCAGTTTATTTTGAATAATTTAATAGTTTTAGCAGCTTAATGTCAATTTTCTGTAAATTACCTAAAAGAGGGACTATCTGGAGAACTTCCAGAGTACATAACAATTAAAAATAAATTAGAAAGAGCGTTTTTAAAACGATGTCGACTGTCATTTCATTAAAAGAGACATGATTATTTTATCCAAAAATGGTACTATAAGTAAGAAACTTATATTTTTTCTTCACCATTGGAATATAGAGATTCCAACAAATAGAAAACACTCCAAATTTTTGAAAAAACCTGTTATTTTGACGGGTGATTTTTCGATTGAAAATGAGACTGATTTTTCGGTATTTATTAAAAATAAACTGAAAAATTAAATATTTCTTATCAAATAAATTACAGTAGATTTGGAACATCAAAAGAAAAGTTTTCACCAAATTTCGTGATAAAATATTGTTTTTTGGAAGAGATAAAAATAAAAAACAAAAAACTAGGTTTTTTTGCATTTTTCACATAAATTTTGAGGTTATGTGAAAAAAATTTTGTATTAAAGCTTTAGGTCTTTTTATTACCTACAATTTTGCTCTATAACATTATTCCGTAGGACTTTTAATTTTTCCGGAAATCGAGAAAACCCGTTTTTTACCCTTAAATACCCCCATACCCTTCCCGACCTCAGATCGCCCGTAAATTATTTTTCCTCTAATTTTTATAATATTCCCCTCTAATGAGTTTCTTTCTTCTATAATTTATTTTCACTTTTCATTGTTTTTAAAAGCATCTGCACTGGCCTATATAGTGCGACGTGTCGGCTACTTCTCATCAACCGTGATCACGGGCAGACGAGATGTGAGTGTCTGTCAGTCGGTCTTGTTATATATCTACCGCCATCGATTTCTTAATTTTCTTGATTACCGCTCTGGATGGTGGCAGAATGCACTCACGATGTCCCGAGGTTCTGCAGTGTGGTCACGGACATGGGATTTTATATTTTTAAGAACAGGATCCCAGGTGTTGGAAACATTCCAGCCACCTTGTCTATTGAAATCAGGGTGTTTTTTAATTTCAATACTCTCGCGGATTAACTCGCTCGTAAAGACAGGTATATACCTACCGAGGTCAATAAAGGTCAAATAATATGTCAGTGATTTTCAAATTTCATTGTTTGAATGTTCAAACATGCGGCCTGGTGGAGGGGAGGTAGATTTATTGAATCGTTATATCTTAAACGGAGCCTCTTAAAAAAAAAGTATTTTAACATTTTCAATAGATAATTATCCGATGCACAATCATTATCTGAGCTAACTTTATAACGTTTTGTTGAAAATCGCGAAAAACTCGTTTTGTCATCTTTGACCTCGAGAATTATTTTTGGTGCACGTACAGGATCGATGAGGAATTTCCACATTTCCTTTATAATAGTGAACTGAACAATCATATCAACATTCATCCAAGTCGGGATCATTGTTACCTTGAATATCTGTATATAATTGACCAGTCTAGTAAGAACCAACCTGCGACGTGTGTACAGTATACAACTATTGATTATTTTACAGGTGAATGACCTGAACGTTCATTAGATGTGTCGGAACAGAGAGACACACCGACACTGAGCGTAGTAGGGGACTGTGAGGACGAGGTCGGCTCAGGAGAGAGGAGGGAGCGGGTTGTTGTATGATGAAAGGTTGGAGAACAGTGAGACTGACCTGGCGGCGCGGGGTAGGAGTAGGGCGAGCAGGCGGCCGGGTCCAGGTGCGGCGAGGCGTGGTGCGCGTGGTGAGCGTGGTGCGCGTGGTGCGCGGCGTGCGCGTGGTGCGCGGCGTGCGGCCACTCCACGGGCTTGTACTGGTGGTGCAGCGAGCCGCGGCCCAGCAGCAGGTTCCCGTACTGCGCGGCCGCCATGTTGTGGTGCGCGGCGGCCGCGTGGTACTCGGCCGCGTGCCGGTGCGCGTGCCCGTAGCCCGCGTAGTGCTGGTGCCACGGGTCGTAGTCGTACAGCTCCAGGCCGCACGAGGGCGCCGCCGCCGCGTTGAAGAACGACGCCGGCAGGTTGCGGGACGCCATCGGCACACCCTCTACACACACACACACACACATTACTATATATATATATACTCCTGTCAGCGGTCAGTCAGTCATGTTATGCTCTCGTCTGTAAAGAGCTAAGTGTTTCTGTCGCGGCTAGAATGTCAGTAAATTCTGATACTGTTTAATCAGACAGGGTTTTTCATCATACATATACATACATAAAATATATACATTTATGCTCCTTACTATATATACATGTGTTTTATTAATATTAATAGGTACACTTCATAATGATATAGGTATGAATCTTTCTGATTCTCAGTTTCTAGATGAAACAATAGAGTATACATATTCTCTATATAATATTCATCACGTGTCAGGAGCGGTGGAGTGAGGAGACACTCGCTCCTGGAACCAGCACCAGCTTGATGGAGGATGTGGGGCTGTGTGACGTCACCATGAGGATATGTACCTACATATATAATATATATAATACATATATAATATATATCTTATAGATATAATTCTTCTGTGAGTGTGTATGTCACTGAACTTCACTCAAACGACTGGACCGATTTTGATGAAATTTTTTTTGTGCGTCAAGGGGATCTGGGAATGCTTTAGATTCACAATTTTGTCCGCTGGACAATGTTTTTTTAATTAATTTAATTTATTAGTAGTTGTTAATACAAACGTTTTATTTATATTAGATTTGACAACTAACTAATATGTCAATCATTCTGTCGCACTTCAAAACACGGAGATTAATGACTTTAATGGGTAAACTCCAAAAATATAAATAAAAAAACGTAACAGATATTTCTTGATTATAGGGCGATACGAAGTTCGCCGGGTCTTCTAGTATTATATACATATGTGTGAATGGTTGAGAGTGGAGCGCGGACGGTGTAGTCTAGCGTTTAATGATCTTTACAAAAAGTCGATAAATAACTTGTAAAGAACCGGAGCCCGAGGAGAGGACTCGAGCTGCAAAAAGATTAAAAGAAACGACGGGCCGAGGAGCGGCGAGGAGCGGCGAGGAGCCGACAAAGGGCCGGGAGGAACAGAGGCGGGCTATTAGGAGGACAACGAGTTGACACCACGCGAGGAGATACGAGATCACGGAGAGGGGAGCGGGCGGCGGGCGGCGGGGAGGGGGCAGGGGGGGTCGTGTGTGACGGCAGCAGCGGGGACCCTCGCCCGCCTCCTCTCAGCTCGTGGCGGCGAGCGGCGCGCCTCAAAGAGTTCAAGGGATTCCTGTCAGTCCACATTAACGTAATGCTGTCGTTTTTGTGTCGCGGCCTCGGACCCTCGGTCCCTCGCTAAACTATCTCTAACTGCTCTCTTCCATTTGGCACAATTTTTCGCGTCGCCCTCCAACCGGTCCACACACACACACAGACACACACACACACACACCCATCTATCACCTATACTGAATTACTATTATAATACGTTAAATTAATGACATGTTATCTCGTCTGTTTGTCATACTCTGAACCCTGTCAGTATCTGTCACGTCCCGCCTGTGGTCGGTGTCCGTGTGTTTGTGTCAGATATCATTATATATTATCATCGTGGTCCGCGTCAGGAGCGGGGCTGGTGGCGAGGCGCCCCGTGAGGACACACTACTTACTGTAACACGCTCCTCATCAAACATTAACATAAATGAAACGAGCCCGGCGGCGGACAGAGGACTAGTGTCGCCCCTCACACCACTGCCGCGGTATCACTTGATGATTAATGAGGGGTGAGGGGGGCGGGGGGTGGGTCGGAGGGTTTCGCTTCCCGCAATGAATGCAGTTTAATTAAGGCGAGCGATGTATCTAGCGAGTCGGGTCTCTGCGGAGCGCGTCGCGGACGTTCTACGAAGTACAGCGCGGGTTTTTGCTGACGGTTCGCGGTATCGGGATCGGACGGTCGTTAAGGAACGAGTCGACTGGACATTAACACATCCTGGAACAGCGGGGATGGACCTCATACCGGGAAACGCGACACACACACACACACACGCACATACACACACACACACACTCACACATGTGTACCTCGTACTACTTGATGGAGCTCCATCAGTCAGCGAGGTTACCAGGATCGAGCTTCAACCTGCCCGAGGTTTTGTATACACACTCTGAGGACATTCATAGCTCGAGGGTATATTATATTGTAGGTATGTGTAGCGATATATTGAAAACATTGAAAGAGGTCGGTGTATGGAGTGTTGATTACAGATGACAGGTACAGATAGGTCCAGGGAGGAGGTGAGGTGATAGTGACAACAAACACGTCCACGTGACGAGTTCATGAGAACAACACATGTATGTGGACACCGGACACTCATAACTAACATTGTTATAAGTTCATTGAGATATCAAACATGATTCAGTCTTTGAGGTCATCACCGGTCTGTGTGGGACGCTGCCAGTGACGTCACACGGCCCTACTTCAATGAGAGGCTCGGAGGTCGGAGGTCGGAGGTCACCTACAGCCAGTCCACTATCATTACTACTACTAGTCCACTATCATACTGTACCTGTACGTTTGTATGTATGTCCTTAGTTTGTAAGCTCTGCTGTCGCCAGTCGTCACACACAAGTAAAGTATGTTTGTGTAAAAATAAAATATAATATGAGAAGTGTTTACTCGAGAAATGCTTCATACGAGCTGTGGCAGAGTCGGTTATAGATGAAAAACTCTTTATAAAAAAACAGGGATGAAGAGGGAAGAGCGACGGACGAAGCTGGTGATGGAAACACGAGACACTGGTGTCTGAGAGGAGTGACGATGACACCAGTGTCACAGAGAGGGACTCACTCACTGTACTTACAGGTGTATAGAAGATAAAAGTACATATATGTTCATAAGTTGATAAATACATACATATGAATACTAGCTGACACTTCAAACGTTGTTTTGCCATATAAAAAATAGGGGTTGGTGGTTAAAAGGTAAAAACTTAGGGTCGTCTTTATCTACTTTTTAATGCCACATTATAAAAAAAAAAACACAAAAAAATGGTCCAAAATTCATAAAAATCACCACTTAGGGGTATGAAAAATATATAGCTGATTCTCAGACCTACTGAATATGAATAATAAACTTCGTAAAAATCATTACAGCCGTTTTGGAAGAGTAGGTGGTAACTAACATTGTGGCATGGAAATATATACAGGGTGACTGGTGAATTACTATCAATATTTAAGGAGAATACTCGATACATGATTCTCATTCGAATTATGTAAAAAAATAGGTACTTCATTTTTGACAAAATTTCCGTATAAATAAATAAAGTGTTGACACGTTCCAAGTGTTCCAAGTGTGGACGCGTGCGGCGGCGAGCTGATACAACACCACGCCGCCCCACGCGTATGTGTGTGTGTGTGTATACCTTATCTGTAGAGTGTTCACACGATGCGTAATTAATTACATAACTTTTGGTTAACTTTACTTAGAAGTTTATTAATATTTATGTTATATTAATTTTTATTTTGTCATATATGATTGTCAAATATCACGTCCTCAAGTATCGATAGTAATTCACCAGTCACCCTGTATATAAGATGATTTAAAAGATACATGACAACACCTACAACAGTCTGAAGTGGATCCGGTTTTTACTGAATATAAAATTTTCATATTAAGAAAACTTCGACGCGGTTCATAACCTCACAGGTCACAAGAATGATAGAACCGAATTAAAATTACATTCACTATGATACTCGCGAAGTCGTATATATCGTTTTAGAGTGTTGTAACATGTTCTCTATGTAGGTGGCGGTGGTGGTACCTTTCTGTTTGTCGAGGGACAGCGCCCGTGTGAAGTGGTCGTCCACCACGGCCGCCACGTCCCCCGAGTAGTGAGTGAACACCACGCAGTTGGCGCTGACGTACTGCGCGCGGCCCCGCACCCCGCCGCCCCCGCTGTCGCCCTCCGACTCGGAGGAACCGCCGCCTGCACACACACACACACATTATATATATATATACACACAGACACACACATAGACACACGTGTGAGGGACGGCGCGTACCGTCGGCGCTGGCCCGGCCGTGAGCGGACAGGTCCTCCTCCTTGGTCCGCAGGCGAGGCGAGTGGTGCTGCGGCGGCAGGGAGTGAGCGTGCGCGAGGTGCGCGTGGCTCGGCACGTGGCCGTGCGCGTGCTGCGGCAGGGGCGAGCCCGGGGACTGCGCCCCCGACGACGCGGAGCCCGAGCTGAGGGCGGCCGCGCCGGGGGCGGAGCCCGACCCGCTACCGCCGTACTCTCCCGCATTGCCGGCACTCTGCACGTTCAACTGTCAATGACATAAACGTTAACTTGTATTCTTCGTGTGACAACAGCAACAGAAGCCTTCAAGTGCCTTGAAGTGACTTCACTCAGACAGTTTCATTACAGCCTGTTGTATGTAACAACACATCTATAAGAACCTCTTTCTCTCTGTCTTCCTCCATACATTCAACACATCAGTCACTCCTCCACACACAACACACGTTGGCCAACAACCCTCTCCGTCTTCCGTTAACAGAATAAAATCAAACAAAATGAAATCTAAGACTTCCACGAGTATTCACTGAAATAAAATTAACATAATTCGGACCGTATTAAATAAAATTAACATAATTCGGACCGGACCGGACAGTGCGTTATATATATATTATTCTAAACTCTACACAGTCCCAAGGTTTCAGTTACTGTTCAGCGACCGAGACCACAAACAGACGAGGTGTGGATGTCTATGAGTTGGCCTCTTTATTTATCATCTGCCACCAATTATAAACGCATAGTAAATCCAAAAAATATTAGTTTTATTATCAAACGTACTAAACGTGTGTCCACACCCATACATACGAGTACCTACATACATGCACACACACACACACACACAAATACACACACACACACACTGTATCTATTGATGTCAACTTTATTCCTTTTTTTATTATACTCGCTCTGTTTTGCAACTTTGTATGCGCGATGTTTTGACAAATGTTTAACAATCTATACTAATACCAATAAATGTAAGTATGTATTTTAAGCGATTTTTTTCACATCAACTATCTGTCAATAAAAGTAATTTCGGAGATATGTAAGATGGAACAAAAAACAGACACGCGGACGAAATAAAAAGACATTAATATATGAAGTCGTGTATGTTACATACATGTTGATATTACAGAGTATAAACAGACTGGACGTTTGTTATAACATTAGTGTACATATATATAGTGTGTGAAGGTAGCTCATACTACAACCCCGACTGATTGTATCGTAGTGTTTGTTGGTGTGACACAGACAGCGCCGGGGTCCTCAACATATACACATGGTTATTAAATAGACATTCAAAGATAACATACAATGAATGAACTCGCTGATGTTTATTAGACACACGTGACACACGCTCGGTTGATATCACTCGGCTGAGAGGTTAATATTCATGAGGCCGGGCTCCTCTGGAGGAACCTGTCTCAACGACGCCGCTACCCAGATTGATCTTAAATAAAACGAGCCGTATATTTAATAATGTTAAATCCTCCTTGACAGTTGAGACACATCTCCTCCTGTGATGTTCCTTCTATACCCGGAGAAGCTCTTCATCAGACCCTGACTCGATGGTAATACTGACTGTTACAGAATGATAATAATAAGCCTAAATCAGAGCCAGTTATAAACGATACAAACACAGTCTGAGTTGAGAACTTGCTAGTTTTTAAAGTCTTTTAATATGTACTTAGTGTAATAAATAGAGTCTAATTTTATATCCTTATAATATGCTCTAGCTGGCAGACCCTGGCTAAAGCTGGGAAATTGCCAGGAAGAAGAAGAATATCCTCTAGGTGTAATTCAAAGTCGAAATATATCTAGAAATATCAGATAAAGGTAAGTAGGAACAAACCAGACATATGGAGTAAAAAGTTGTAGTCACACTTTAGTTACATTTGTTTTGTAAGAAATGTGGTTATTTAAATTTACAACCAGACCCCGACCTCAATTATTATAAGTTATTGTTCCTACAACATGGTGTTCTAGTATTAATATGAGCGGTATGATGACGGAGACGTCTCCTCTACAACCACAGCTCATAGATCCTAAGTAAAATATATTATATTACCAGTTGTACATAGTCTATACATGAACTTAATAAATTAAAACAAATTGTTAACGAAACAACACGAACTAATGATGATGATACTACTGAAGACAATATAAACGACCGAACATGAAGAGGACCCGGAGATATAGAACACGTGAGGGAAGAGAAACACTCACGAGCCTGGAGACGTCTACACGAGGAGACACTGAGGAAACGATACCTGCTGGAGAGACACGACGACCGACGAACATGTGAGACGACACACAGACACGATCACTGACTGATAAGAACGAGGGGGACTATATACAGAAGGAGCTCACAGGGACTACACCCACAGAGATGTTCCACACTCCTCACACTACTCGTCTCCTCCACACAGGGGACAATCAATGAATTATATTGATGATGGAACTGCTTCTTGTGACATATGAGAAGCTGTGTCGGGGCAGCTCCTCGTGAATCAAACATTAAGAATAACATTCAAAGTCAGTAGAGTAGTGACACTACACTTGTTGAACGAGACCTTTAGGTGAACATTCTCAAAGGTAACAAAACTGTTTTTAATATGACGGGACAAAAGAGATCACAACGAAACTATACCAGGTGAGTCACACGTACCTACTGACTCAACAGACCGGCGGTCACTGTTGATGAGGTGACTACAACAGACACCACCCGGAGACAGGGTGAGTGTGTGTGTGTGTGTTACATGTCATACAACATGTCACATGACAGTCTCCATTATACACAAGTTGTTTTAAACGTTATTAAGTCAGCCGAGGTTCATAATAAAAGATAAGGACGTAATGTCTTCCGTCACGGATAAATTAATATTAGTTATAATTTATAATGAGCGGTGCGAGTGGAGACGGATCCTCCGCCGCCTTAACGGACGGCCTCATTATGATCATAACATTATTAGTGACTCCGACTACACTGAATAATACAACACTCCGCTCTCGGCCTCGCTTATGGAACCTCATCACACGCCAGCTCCAGATAAGGACTCCTTGTACGTCTTAATGTACTCTACTCTAGCGACCATTTAAAATGAAGAATCAGTATACAGGTAATGTAAGTCTCATTGTTATCTCAGTACACCTACCTATAAGTATATTAAAATAGTTTTTGTATAAGATCATCACATTATCATTCCTACTCCTCCCCGCTCACCACACATACCCCTCCATACCAACACTTCATCTCCTATGGCTTCTAACAGGCGCTCCACATCATGATCATTACGATGTATATCTCTATATACAACGTGTAACATAATTAACGCACACCCTGAAAGTAGTTTGATCAGAATCGGATACTGGATCGATTTTGATAGTTTTTTATGTAGGTCATTTTTTTTCTCAAATTTAGATAGAACTATGTAAATTATAGTCACCCTACACACAGTTATCTAAACACTTCATAGAGACGAAAATTAATGGAAACGAAAATGGATAGAAAGTCAGGGTATTAAGATTTTTAAAATGAAATATTTATTTCAAGGCTAAAATAGTATTTAATAATAACTACGCACACAACACCATAGCGACAACCGGCACACAGCAAGGTCACTACAGTGCATATAAGAAAGCCGCGTAATACAAAAATTATTACTTTCTCCTTCTTTCTTCGGCTTAATAACATTACAATAGAGCGAGACGGCAGGCATAATTCCGGGAATCAGAGTAATAATAACTAAACATCGAAGTCAACAAAATGTGTTTTGGGTTAGTTACGCCGCGTCCACCTTATCGAAAAGAGGTCAAGTGTAAAGAGCAAATAAAATCTTAGTCGCGCATTTCACTGTGTCGTTTCGGTACACTAACATTCAATACATCAAGTACCTACGCACGTGTCCATTGACCTCCTAGATCAGCTGATTTGACGCGACTCTACTTTGTTTTGTGGGGGCGAATTAAATCGCTAGTTTATAACACAGAGATAACAAGTGCCGAGGAACTAAAAAATAAGATAATAACCGCCTTTGTATAAGTGAAAAGTGACATTGCAGTATTATCTAAAATAAAACCACAATTGCGAAAACGGTCATTAAAGTGCATTAAACAAGGCGGTGGACATTTTGAAAATGTTTTAAATCGACAACGCTGTGCGAGTGCAAATTAAACTGTAAGTTTGTTTATGATCTTTAAATTATTGTAAATATTTTGATACACACCATTTAAACAGGCCGACTGTGTTAACTTTGTCGTAGGTATTGTGGTGTCTATTCAAATCACGCGTTATCAGCTGTTTAATAATTCTTATTTACAAATTTTATTTAACAAATCAGTAATTATAAAATATTGGCTTCACATTAAAAAGAAAATTCAATGTCAACAATCTAAAGCTTGAAAAGTGTGATGGAAAGAAAAATCATAAATCATAATGTAGTTATTTCGTGTACTTATTATTACCTACTTCTTATTATTGTCGGACGGCACTCGGAGAGAGGGGCGCGGGCGCGGCGAGTACAGAGTGTCGCTGAATAGCGGACCATATTATTTGCACGAAATTGGGATAACTAATTTCACAAATAAAAAAATCAAACGCACATATAAATAATATTTGGTGTATGCATTGCGTTTATATCATTATATACGCATTGGGGTATTTGAGGGTGTGCGTTAATTACGTTACACGTTGTATATGGTGGTGTCAGTCTGTTCGTGTGTCTGTATATGTTCCTCGTGTCTCGTTATTATTATAAATAATGCACGTTTATATCGTCATTAGTCGCTGTATGAGTTCAGATTGTCCTTGGTCCACACCGCCTTATAAGGCTGGCCGGCGGCCCCCGACCGCTCGCTCACTAACCTTATGTACCTATCGTCTTAATGTATGTATGTACATATATGTGTGTACGGCCAGTGTTTATGTATGTATTTATCGATCAGTAAGTCGTTCCCTTCATCACATCATCAGACCTTCTCCTACGTGTCTCCGTCTCTCTGTCCCGGTGTGGTTACAATCCAAGTCGATGTCTTTCAAGTGTTTCATATATAAATATCGCTGTAATGGTATTAAACACATCTGTAACTGATCATCTGAGTGTGGTTATATGCCTAACATCAATGCCTATGATTAAAAATAATTGTGCTAGATTCGTTTCAAACTTAAATGTCGATGCAGCCTTGAAACAACTAGAGAATTGTAATATGTATCCATTACTTTCTTTATGAAATGAAATGATGATTACTTTCTTTATGAAATGAAATGAAATGAAATGATCTTTATGAAATGAAACCAAAATTTCCCTAATGAAATTGCTGATAAGTTATTAAATGTACTTACTTCAGTTATTCAAAATAATACAATTACTACTAAAATTCCTACAAATAAAAGAATTATAAAACCATGGATAGCTCCTGGATTACTTAAATGTATTAAGAACAGAAATAAAATGCAATATAAACTTAAAAAGAACCCAAATGACAACATACTCCAAATAACTTACAAACTCTACAGAAATTTTGGTAATGATCTGTTAAAAAAAGTAAAACGTAACTTTGAGCGCGCGCAACTTAAAAAATCTATTAGAAATCCAAAGGAAATGTGGAAAAATGTTAAATCCATTGCTTACATTACTAAAAAAAATCAAGCCTGTACAGAACTATTAAAAATAAAATCTTTAATTGGTGAATCATTAGATAGTATCAATGATTACTTTTCAAAAATTGGTAAAAATTTAGCTGAAGGAACAACAAATGTGGTTAAATCAACATTTACTAACTTTGAATGTGACTAAAACTAAGTACCTATCTTTTACGATTAGAAAACCATCCCAACCCCCACAAAACTTTCAAGTAAAATACCATACATGCTCCTATCCATATATAATAACTGTAGTTGTCTAGACATCGAAAGAGTAACAGAATATAAATACATATTTAGGTGTTATAATTGATCAACATCTCAATTGGTATAAACAAATAGATAATTTAATAAAAAGGACAAGAAATCTAATTTGGGTTTTTAAAAAACTCCGTCACGTTCTACAACCCGATCTGTTAAAATCAGTTTACTTGGCTCTCGGACGGTCAATTGTTACGTATTGTATCCCGGTGTGGGGAGGTTCATGCAAAACACAACTTATTCACTTAGAAAGAGCCCACAGAACATTATTAAAAGTAATGTTCTTTAAAACGTATGGATGCGCAACATATAATCTATATTCAACAACCAAAATATTAACAATCAGACAACTTTACGTTCTACAAACTGTGTTAAGAGTTCATAAGTCAACAATATATAATAAACCAAACAAGAATAGAAGACGAAATCATGCAGTAATTAATTTACAACATCGCAACACACAATTTGCTAACAGACAATACAACAAACAGTCTTCCTTCCTTTATAATAAAATAAATATGATTATTAACATTTATGACCTTTAATATCATCAGTGTAAACAAACTTTAACTTATTGGCATTATACTTTAGACTATCATGCTACTGAAGAATTGTTAGCTGTACAAACGTAAGAATAATAATATTAATATAATTATTCATATTAATTAATAAAAATAAAAAAAAATAATAAAAAAACTAATAATAATAAGTAAATAGGTATAATAATGAAATTATATAATACACACCCACACTAACACACACACACACACATGTAAAATGTTTTCCATTTCCATTTTTAATCTTAAAAATAAGTTTAATATTTGTTAGTTTGTAATTGTCTGTTTCGATATATGTACCTATATCCAGGAGGAGGAGCGGGTATTTTGTGATACAGGTTAAACCTACTTCAAAATTCCTGTTGTTAACTATTACTGTACAAACTGATTTAAACAATAAAATTTTTAATATTACATATTTTATTATTATTTATTTCTTGTGTGGTATCTCTTATCATTACTGAGTACAACCCCCCACCCCCCTCCCCCTATTCCTAATGTCCCTGGCAGCCCTGCCACCGTCCCGTGGTCACGTCCCTGTAACGCTGCGTGTCGCTTACTTCCTGTTTTCGTGAGAGCGAGCCGGCCCTGCTCTCATTAATGTCAACTACATATTTATAGGAGCGCGGGAAAATGTTGATTCATGAACACTGTGGACTGTTACACGTACACACACACATACACATACACACTCACACATGTACAGACATATACTCACTGACAAGAAAAGATTAAAAAATATATAGGTAGGTATATATTAACCATAACCGTGTGAGACAGGTATCGGGCCCCGACGTGACGCGAGCCGCTTCAACACAACACATTATAATCACGTGTAACATATTAATGTAACAAATGAAGCTACTCATTACACGAGGAGCTGGTCGCGGCACCAGCTGCCGGCCGCGGGCTCTGATTACAACACGATAACACTCACGTACTGAACTAAGTACTATTATATATGTAGGGAAACCAGTTCCGTGTCAACATTGACAGACGACGACGTGGAGTTATAGTGTAACGACACAGACACACACACACACACAGAAGGACGGCCACCTGGAACAAACGGCACGACAACACGAGAACTGATACAGAACTAAACATTACATACAGAAGAATGTTACAAGTGTCAGGAGCTGACTTACTGGAGCTGGTCGTTTATATGATGTGCTGACGAGCATCACTCACACACACACATGATGTACCCTCGGTGTGACTACATGCATAGTGGGTAGATGGATGACCAGGACAGAGACACTAATGATAACATTATATACGTGGCTCGTACGAACAGTGAGGCGAGGAGTGACTGGCGCCACGCGGACGGAGCTGTTACTGTTGTAGGTCAATATAATATATATAACAAATGGACGGAGGACGGTGCCAGGGTTACAGGCACTGACGACGACCGCCACGGACTGAGGCCGGTGTAACAAACACACTCCCTGCACCCTGCACCCTGCACCCGACCACGTGCAGGCTGCAATATTCACTATAATTTAATTTTCAATTTCCATATATCTCAAGTCGGACAAAGACTGAGCTTTATCGTTACAGGTCAGCAGATCAGCAGGTCGTGAGTGAGTAGCGACACCCTCCTACATATAGTTAATAAACAGCTCCGGCTAGGTGTGAATAGTTTTATAAGGAACGAGCAATTAGGATCCCAGGAAGGGTCCTACACAGTAACCGGTCGCGAGCCTCGAGCCGTGAGCCGGCCGTGAGTGTCCTCCTCGTGGACTGCACTCACCTTAAGGAGACCTCAGCGAAAAAACTGACCGCCGCCACACCGAGCTACACTACACATACATATACATATACGACACGCGGCTGGGGACTGGTCTCCAGGGCCTCGCCTCCAGGTGGAAGGTGTCCGCGTGTGTGTGTGTGTGTGCGTGTGTGTGTGTGTGCGCGTGTGTGTGTGTGTGTGTGTGTGTGTGCGTGTGTGTGTGTGCGTGCGTGTGTATACCGACCCGGTCGTACTGGAAGTGCGGCGCGTGGTGGAAGGAGCGCGCGGCGCCGCGGCCGTACAGGTAGGGGTAGTAGGCGCCGTACATCACCTCGGAGCAGCTCACCGCCATGCTGCCTCCGGACGGGCCGCCGCGCCCCGCCGCCCGCACCGCACCATGGCCCTCCTGAGACACACAGACAAACACATTACATACATACACACACAGACAGACAGACAAACAGACGGACTACTAGGTAACTGTGAACCTCTCTATCCTTCTCTTCTTGTCTCTACTTCTCTCTCTCTATCTCTAGTATCTAATAGTACCTGGTGCCAGTAGTTCAATGAGGCCGGCAGACGGACACTATTGTACATGTGTGTGTGTTTGTAATATATTTAGTCATCTACATGATGTTTCTATAAGTCACAGATATATATGTATTTGGTTTAAAGGGTCCTACACATCAGTAACGGATTCAGTTACTAAGTATACACAAGTCATCACGTGTAAGTGTTAGTTGTTGGAGCAGCAGGTCGTGTTACAGTTAATACAACAACCTACTAGTTCCCATGTGTTTGTATGGGTATGAACCATCTCTACATGTACCTAATGTTGGTGACAGTGCACACACACATACATACTGTTGCTTCAGTACATGCTGTTCATGTGTGTGTGTGTGTGTGTTTGTGTGTGTGTTTGTGACCTCCTGTAGGTGTGTTATATGTAATACGTTTATAAGATACTAGTTAACCTGGCGAACTCCCTTTCGCCTCCAGAAGGCTTTGTTTTATGTAACATTTCGTTTGGTGATTAAAAGATGTAGAAATTTTTTTTTGTTTTATATTTGAAAAGGAAAATTTTTATTTCATTCCACAACAGTAATGAATTCATTTCGATTACAAAAATAAAGTGATATTTAGTTGAACTTCTCTGAGTAAATGAAAGTGAATCCAAAGTAGATACCGAATCGAAGTGGTCCTTTGTAAACCACATTTTTTGTTTTTTGGTCTAACGTTAACACAAATAAAGCGGATGGTTTCCCAACTCATGAACACACAAACTATAACTGCCCATGTGAAAAACAATGATTTTCTAAATTTATCCCGCAAATACTAAATTACATATCTATCATTACACGTCAATTGCATAGCTGTCAATTGTATTTCGTTATTCCACGTTTTATAGTGACTGACGTTTCAAGTCAAGTTCCACGGGAATGCTGTTGAACGGGATAAAAAGTATCCTATTGCATTTTCCTGGCTCTAAACTACCTCCCCGCCAATTTTCAGCGAAATCAGTTCAACCGTTCTTGAGTTATAAGTGGAGTCACTAACACGACTTTCTTTTATACAGGGTGACTGGTGAATTACTATCGATATTTGAGGACGTGATATTTGACGATCATATATGACAGAATAAAAATTAATATAACATAAATATTAATAAACTTCTAAGTAAAGTTAACCAAAAGTTATGTAATTAATAACGCATCGTGTGAACACCCTACAGATTAGGTATACACACACACACACACACTCGCGCGCGGCGGCGTGGTGTTGTATCAGCACGCCGCCGCGCGCGTCCACACTTGGAACACTTGGAACGTGTCAACACTTTATTTATTTATACGGAAATTTGGTAAAAAATTAAGTACCTATTTTTTTTTTTACATAAATCGAATGAGAATCATGTACCGAGTGTTCTCCTTAAATATTGATAGTCATTCACCAGTCACCCTGTATAGATTAAACTCAGCTCTGAACGTTGAAAACGGTCTGTTATATTTCTTTGACAATTGAAACATTAAAGTGTTAATAGTTCTACACACACATATCTTTATACCTATATATGTAATTCTTCTGTGAGTGTGTATGTCACTGAACTTCTCTCAAACGACTGGACCGATTTTGATGAAATTTTTTGTGTGTGTTCAAGGAGATCTGGGAATTGTGTAGATTTACAATTTTGTCCGCTGGACAATGTGTTTTTAATTAATTTTTAATTTATTAGTAGTTGTTGATACAAACGTTTTTTTGACATTAGATTTGACAACTAACTAATATGTTAATCATTCTGTCGCACTTCAAAACACGGAGATTTATGGCTTTAATAGGTAAACTCCAAAAATATAAATAAAAAACGTAACAGATATTTCTTGATTATACTCGTAGAGCGATACGAAGTTCGCCGGGTCTTCTAGTGTATGTATAAGTATGTACGTATAATTTAACAAACCCAGGAATTACACCCGTCTCTGACAAAATATAATAAAGATACTTATAATGTCTGTGAGGCTGTTATTTATTATGTTTTCAGTCACTCACTAACAATCATTGAGATTCACATTTATTTTCAAAACTAGATTATTGTTCAAAGTGTTGAGCTCTCAGAATATTGAAACGTGTAGGAACAGATTTTGTTTATTTACTGGTACATGTAAGTCACAAACAAAACACACAAATCCCTACTAATATTATAAATGCGAAAGTAACTTTGTCTGTCTGTCTGTTGCGCTTTCACGCCTAAACCATTGAACTGATTTCAATGAAATTTGGTACAGAGATGGAGTTGACCTTAAGAAAAAAAAATAAGATCGTTTTTATCCCAGAATTTTGAAAGGTTCTCTTGGAAACGCGATATAACCGAACTCCACGCGGGCGAAGCTGCGGGCGGAAAGCTAGTATACTTATAATCTTGTTTCTCAACAATATGTTCACAATATCTGTTTAACATTTAGTCATTGTCATGTACCTGCCTAGTATCAGGATCCCTTTCAGTGTAAAATAAACAAATATTTTATAAGTAATGTCGACCTCAGCCGACGCTACTACCGCGGAGACAATAGGTATATAACTATGATATACATGAAACTAATGTCTCACGGATTATAATGTGTTTTATTAAATACTTCATATGTACATAGTCAGTAGTGACACATCTCGCCTGTCCGTCATCACGGCTGGTGCATAGTAACCGAACCGTCGGGAGTGTGTATGTTTGTAAAATAATAAAATATAAATATGTAGTATGTACAGTATAATCCTTATAATATGTGTTTATTACAACTGAATCTTCTCTATAATGTTCATGTATCAGTAACAGTTTGTGTCCTCGTGTGATACAGATGTATGTACTTACTTGATCAGACAAGTTACACAATACAACAGAGACATACATATTACATATGTTTAATATAACAGAAGAGGTGAGAGGTTGTTAAGCGTTATGATGTGTCACTTGGATTGTATACCTATAAGTGAATGAAACGACGATCAACTTAATGTTTGTTAAAACTTATAATAAATGATTTGTTTTTAATTACTAATTACTAAGTCGGTACATGTAGTGTCTGATCGACCTGTCCTGATCATTCTGTTCATTAACATCCACCATATTGACAACTACTTGTACAAGTACAGTGCTGGGACGTGTCCGGGTGCCTCTCTATCATGTATTCATACATATTATATACTAGCTTTTGCCGCGACTCCGTCCGCGTGGAATAGTGACTTACGGCAGATTTTTGGTTCTTCCCACATAGTTCCCGTTCTTGTGGGGTTTTCGGAATGGTCGAGTTCCCGTAGAATTTTCAGGATAAAACCTATGTTTTTTTTATTCACAATGAAGTACTCTTAACCAACAACATATTTATTTGTTTATTTGAATAAAGATTAATATTATTGTGTTGACCCAACTTAAACAAATTATTTCGACCAAATTAGGTACCATAAAAACGGTTTTTGTGAGTTAATCTTAAAAGATAGACATATACTGTCGCGGAGTGTTTTTTAGATCATTAAAAGAGCTATTATTCTTTACTACATATTTTTTTGTGTATCTTGAACCGTTTTCACGGCGCATACGACGGAAGGCTTCAGAGATGAAATAATTTCTCCCGTTTTTTACACATTTACCACTATATCTTTGCTCCTATGGGTCGTAGCGTGATGTTATATAGCCTTAAGCCTTCCTCGATAACTGGACTATCCAACACAAAAAGAATTATTCAATTCGAACCAGTAGTTTCGGAGATTAGCGCTTTCAAACAAACAAACAAACTCTTCAGCTTTATAATATTAGTATAGATAATGTGAAGCATCTTTCACAGATGTAACTAGGTGGGCACTAACAGCCAGCAGGTCAGCCGTCAGATACAATAGATATAGGTATGTACCTATTATATTAATGTTTATTAGAGTCCGGGTCGACTATTAAAGTGATTATCATTACTTATTAGATGTTACGAGCTCCTTCTATAAAGTAAACGTAACCAATTGTTTATTCATAACACTCATATAACACACTCATTCTGTTCTCGTTATTTTTCTGTCAAACATCTCAGTTCCCTGTGACTTGATTGTTTTTTAATGAACACAACAAAACTAAGTAGGTCCATGTCGTGTGTTCCTCCCGGGGTGAGCGTTAGCTACATACATATTACAGGTACTTTGTTTATTGTAATATACATATATTGTTGTTAGTCCTGCGACCTCTACAGCGACACCGGACGAGCGGCCCGGTACCGACTGGGACCGACGAGTTCATGTTAAATAAGGTTCATGAACAGATTGAACAACCGACCGGCGACCGTACGTGTAGTGACAGGGAACACACACACGGGAGGAGAGACAGGACAAACGACTGGCGGGACACGGACACGGGCTGTACCTGGGAGGATGACGGACACCACGGTCAGGGTACAGGGACACGGAGACACGACACTGATGACAGGTCACACACGACACACGGCACAAGACACACGGACAGACACACGACACAGGCCGCCGACACTCGCGGACCGCACTGACGGGCACCCGCTCACACGCTCGCTCGCTCTGAGGTGTCGCGCGACACTGCGCCCGGCCGCCGGGGACCGGCCTGACCCCGCCCCCGCCGCCCCGCCCACACGAGCACGCCCCGGCCCCGCCCTCCGCATTACTCGGCCGGGGATAGCGACCACTTACTATCATGGACGAGCGTGTGAGAGGCGCGCGGCTCCTGGAGTATGTGCTGGAGGTCCTTCCCGTGTGAACACGCACACGAGGACCCGTGAGGGATTGGTCTTCTCTCAAGTCACAGCTTATGAGTGACGTCCGTGTACTCAGTGCCGTCTCCTCCCCTCCCCCGCGTGTCCCTGGTCATGTCCCGGTGTCCTCCTCGCCAGCTGACCGCCTCCCCTTCTATCTCCCGAGCTGCTCCCAGTATGCCAGGTATATGTATCTGTAGGTATGTATCTCGTGTCCCTGCCTCAACATGTCTCAGTATCTCCCCCATGTTCATCCCGGTCCCGCTCCCTGTCAGTGTAACTCCTCCCTGTCACTCGTGTGTTGTAGTCTGTTCCTCCTGGATGTGTCTCTCTCCCCCGGTGTCCCCCGTGTACATCCCGTGTGTGTCCAGTCGTCGTCCCTGGTGGTATCTTCCCCTGCCTCTCATCTTATTCTTCCCACAGTAGGCACCTGCTCGTGTGTCACATCTCCGTCCCCCCCCCCCTCCTCACCGCTCCCTCCTTCAGTCTGTATGTTGTTCATTATATTTGTCAGAGTGTGTCGTGTTTGCTCAGGATCCTCTCCACACGTATTGATTCCTTGTATATATATTTCGCCAATGTCGTGTGCCAATATTATATCTACTGAACTATGTAAAGAGGGATTTGTGAGTGAACAAGGTCGCGACTAGAAGCTGAGGGCTAGGATGGTGCTGAGGACGTTCAGTGAATGATAAAATGATGATGTATCTAAAGCAAACAAAAAAGACGCACGCTCTAGGTATATACAGGTGGTTAGTTGATTAAACGACACACATTCTACAGATTGATGTTATTGAGGTTCGTTTATATTAATAAACGAACATAGTAGGTATAGGTACCTAAAAATATAGGGGACAAAAGAGAGTAAGGACTTGAAGTTAATGGGACGGGGGATATAAGGAGGAAGGAGATCATATAGAGAGGTAGATAGTCGAGGACGAGTGAAAAAATGTGATCTACTGATCCTTCATAAGTCCGCACTCACAGAGAGAGCTATCTTTAAACGGTTTTATGTACTTAGCTCACCCTGTTTGTATAATTTATTCTTTTTTCTTTCATATTTAATTTTTTCTTGGGTCAAATTTAGTAATTCAAATTTCACCCTCTTCCTGTCAACCGATTAATCTGAAATTTTATATACACTTTGGAATATTTGGAATATTTTGTATACACTTTGGAATATTTGGTGACAATACAATTATGTTTATGGGAGGTAGGGGAGGTATGGGCAGTTGGGAGACATGGGCACCCCCTTTTTATTCTGATTTGAGTAGACATTTAATTTTTTCGTTGATTTGGTAGTTTACTTTACCGACTGAGAGCACTGTTCATCCATAGACTATCTGTCATTCCTGTGAGTTGTCAAACACAAACACGTTTGAAGGTTATGCGCTCGTAAAAGTAAATATTTTGTTGGGGATTCGGATCGTAATAAAGAGAAAACTAATGAAAGGTACTTATGTCTATTTTCTATTATTTATCTATTGTATATTTACTAATCGATAAATTAAACTGAAATTCAAGCCTAAATACCTAGACTCAAAAAAATACCGGTAACCTAAGTCGAAAATGTATACAGAGGGAGCAATGGGCATTTGGCGCGAGGGGGGTTTGGGCATGCCCAATGCTTCCTCCTATTATATTCAGTTTAGGAGGATTTTCAATATAGCTAGTGTCCCTTTAGAGGACATCAAAACTAAATTGCCAGTACCAAAGACATGCGATAAAACCAAACGTGGTAGCTCTAAGTACACATTTGATAGTCCTCTATGGGTTATACGGTATAACCCATAGAGGACTATCATATATATTATCTGAGATTGGGTATAAGTTATACCCAATCTCAGATAAGTTAAGATACTATTTAAGATGTTTTTATATTTTGTAAACTTTATTTTTGGTTTCTGTTATTTTTATAGTTTAATAATAGTTTATTTGTTAACTAATTTTTGAATTCCATTATGGATATAAAGTAATTTTTAGGCTGTGCCCAAGCGTCCCACAGGGTATGCTCAAGTCTCCCTACCATAGGGAGCATTGGGCACTTTTGACTTAGTTTATAAAATATCTCGTAATGTAGAAACTGATTGTATTTTATAACAAAGCTCTTTAATTATATCTAGTCAAATGTGTGGCGCAATAAGAATTGGCAATAAAAGTTGATTATCTATAAAATCTGATTTTTTATGCAATAAATAGTGTAAAAGTGCCCATCCCTCCCCTACCTCCCCTATTCATTATCATTATAAATTCAAGATGGCCGCCGCTACAAAATGGCGGATAACGTAGGTTTTATCAATCCCATCAATATGGGTATCAAATGAAAGGGCTCAACAAGCAGAATAAAAAATAGGGTAAGTCCGGGGTAGTTGGCCATAGTTTTCTCTAAGCTGTATCAGAAATCAAATACATACTTATGTTTTTATGATAATACTAGTAAACCCGGCGAACTCCGTTTCGCCACCAGAAGGCTTTTATATAACATTTAATTTGGTGATTAAGAGATGAAGATTTTTTTTTGTTTTATATTTGAAAAGGAAAATTTTTATTTCATTTCACAGAAGTAATGAATTCATTTCGATTACAAAAATGAAGCGTAATTTAGTTGAACTTCTCTAAGTACTTAAATGAAAGTGAATCCAAAGTAGATACCGAATCGAAGCGTTATACGTGTCTGCAAATTATCTGTTTCATTGAAGCGCTCCTTTGTAAACCACATTTTTTGTTTTTTGGTCTAACTTTAACACAAATAAAGCGGATGGTTTCCAAACTCGTGAACATGCAAAATATAACTGCCCATGTGAAAAACAATTTTTTTCTAAATTTATCCCGCAAATACTAAATGGTTTTAAGAGTTCAAACTACAAACACAAAACCGGTTTGTCACATGAAATTAACTGAGAAGAGAACAAAGAGTAACTGTCAAACAATGTATCATGCGACGGCACCATCTACTTAAAATATTGATTTGTAGTACATGTTATGTATGATGGTGCTGTATGTGACAAAAGATTTTCCCCCTTTTCACGGAGTCACGGAGCCCGAGACCTCTCCAACGAATGCAAAACCGTGGAAATTGTTTTTTTCGTTCTGAAGTTATAGCGTCAGGATGGAAAACCGGACTTTTTTTTATATAGTAGATCTCTTACAAATATCAAATTGTCATCCATACGTCATTACATATCTGTCATTATACGTCAATTGCATAGCTGTCAATTGTATTTCGTTATTCCACGTTTTATAGTGAGTGACGTTTCATGTCAAGTCCCACGGGAATGCTGTTGAACGGGATAAAAACCTTCTTTTGCAATTTCCTGGTTCTAAACTACTTCCCTGCCAATTTTCAGTTAAATCGGTTCAGCCGTTCTTGAGCTATAAGTGGAGTAACTAACACGACTTTCTTTTATATATATAGACTAGAAGACCTGGCGGACTTCATATCGCCCTATAATCAAGAAATATCTATTACATTTTTTTATTTATATTTTTGGAGTTTATCTGTAAGCCATAAATCTCCGTGTTTTGAAGTGCGACAGAATAATTGACATATTAGTTAGTTGTCAAATCTAATGACAAAAAAAACGATTGTATGGGAAATAGAAAAGGGCTGTTTTTATGGTTTTCCCAGTAATGAATCAATTTTTTTCAGCTTTTATACCTTCCCTGAACCTCCACGAACATTTCAAGACTAAGATAAGATAAATCCGTTCAGCTGTTCTCGAGTTTTAGCGAGACTAAGGAACAGCAATCCATTTTTATATATATAGAAGAAGAAGATATAGAAGATGTATTATTTATTAAACTTTAATTAATCAACTATGACATAATAAACATTGAAGTAACACAATTGACGTGCCCCAGGCTTTTAGTTTAGTCCAGTCCGTGCAATGTTTATAATTCCCACGGCTGTATCTATTTTATTATTTTTGGTTTTTACTACATTTATCTTAAAAATTGCAATGTATGTTTCACGTAATTTATACGAAGCTTAGCCAACTGGACCGGGGTACACGCGTGACCTAGCCGTAGTCTACACATGCTGGTAGCACGCTTTGGTAAATTTTAGAAATTACAAAACCAAGGGCGGAAAGGAATCAACGTTTGGACATCCGCATAGTATTTCCCCTGGGCTCTCTGTGTTTCCTGTACATGTTCTATGTCAGTGTCAGTTCCTGGTACTACCAGACACCAGTAACCCGTCACACAAGTCTCATATAGTTCATGTAACCCTGCGAGGAGCTCTCTCTTGATGTGTATGATGTATGTAACTTGGTTTTATAAAATACATGATGTAATGTATTAATTACTCTGACTCCATATTGTTAAAATAATATGTCAAGTGTAATAGATGTAGTCATATCACATTAATATAATAGTCTCTGTCACTCAGTGTTGCCACTAACATAATACATACATTACAAATTTTATAGTTTTATTGAGTACTACACATGTTAATGACAACACTTCTAGTATTGGCTCTCCGCTCCCCGGCAGATAGACCTCTCTTATAGTTATATATAAAACATGTTGTTGAGACAGAAGGACAACAACAATTATGTACTAACTCTCCCAACACGTCAATATTGATAATGTTCACGACCGAGTGTTCAGTGTGACAGGTAAAGAAAAATAAATAAAACCAAGTTTTAGTCAAAACCTTTGAATTTATTAAGTTCAAGATCCACAACCGTCAGTGTTGTTCACTCACCCGGAGGACAAGTGTCAATGAACATCAGCTACGTTACCTGAATGGAACTCATGTTACATGGACTAGTGATATACATATATACAAGTTTAGGACCAGATGTACTACTTGTGACATTCAAAATGTATGGTCGCCTGTGCTGTTAATGCTTGTAAGGTAGTCTCATAACCAGTATATAATATAATATAAAAGTACATACAATACAATTGTAAGCAAATTGAAAACTCAGCTTCATAAAAATATCTCAAAGAGAACATTACCCTTACAGAACTTACAACATTGCACATATCTCTAGTAGTGAGTGAATAATAGCGTACCATCAATTAGGTTTACAATGAATTAACTTCCTACAACACTTAACAAATTAATATTTTACACAATGTACATACAGTTGTAACTATCTCATATCTGTATTAATAGATCGTCACTTTATCGCATGTTTCATTTCAATCACAACTTCTATCCTTCTATTAACTTATCACTAATCGTATTGTTCACTGGTCGTCAAAAGTATTCTGGATGGTTCTTAATCTCCGTGGCGATGCCCTTCTCCACGAGCGGTGCTGTGAGCCGGTCCAGCACGAGTCCACAGCCCACGTGTACCGGCCGAGTGAGAGCCGCCGCCAGCCTCGCCGCCAGTCCGTCGGCCGCTCCTCCCGCCTCCACCAGGCTCGTGCACACCGCGCTGCGTCCGTGAGGCACGGCCAGCGCCAGCTCGTCCAGCCGCGGCTCGCGCCCGCCCACCCACACCAGCAGCGAGTCCCGCATCTTCAAAGCTACTACTCGACATATAAATTCACCGCTCCACACTTCAAACTCGTGGACGTTCCATGAGCTCTTAATGTACTTCACATTGCGCTTGCTGGTTGTTATTTTCGGGGAATCGCCGATATTCATGATATTTATGGGCAGTATTGGAAAGATGATTTGAAATTTTATTCGGTTGTTTATGTTATAAATGTAATGTTCTTAACGTGAACGTCAAAAGTCACAATATGTCATTTGTCAAAAGACTTATACTTTATACGCTTTGTTTTTCATTTATTGCTAAGCAAAATATTTTTAAATCATATAGTTGAACGTTTTATTAATAAGGTCAATTAAAATGATACAAAATCTATTTATCTCATCTATTTATGTTTATGTACAAAAGCTATAAATATACACCCAAAATAAATAAGTCTGTCGATTAAAAAATTATTTCATTTTGGAATTCCATAATATGATAAGATTTATGAAGTACATTAAAAGACATTATAGAGAAATTAAAACTTTTCATTACAGACTTTCATAACAAAAAACATTTTGATTATTAGATGGTACTACTCCTTACCATAGTGTAGTCTTTTATATTTTCTACTCATTATTATTGTCTTGTACTACATATTACACCTTAAAAGTAAACAAAAATATAACAATTTTACAAAGTAATTAGAGATTTAACAAGTTAACCAATTTCGCATTCAGCCATTTAAAAAATAAGGTCCTTTATTTTTAATAATACAAATTTCTTTTTTAGTTTTAGTGAAATTAAATGCAATAAAAGCAAATATTTTTAATATAATATATTTAATTTTATTGAACTCTACATGTTTCCTCAAAACATCTTATTAAATAAGGATAAATTCAATGTGTATAATCTTTGAAATGACATTTATTAGCCTTATGTCACTACACTTTTTGGCGAATGAAATTAAGACATTTGTATTATTACATGTTTTGATTTGTTATAATACTGTCGTGTTTGACTGTGATTGGTCAAAGACTTAGCAACGAAACAAGTATAACCAATACCATTGTGAATCGTCAACATTTTTCTTTATAAAATTACATGTAATATAGAATTGGGAGTCTGTTGCTGACAAACTTCGTTTGTTTCATTGTCGAGTCGTTAATTTTGTGCGGCGTCAAGCGCCGGTTTTTTGCATCAAAGATATTTAAATAAATTTGTAATATAGTGAATTATACAATATGAAATACTCGTTCCTGCTAGCGGTAGGCGTCCTGCTCCTTTCAGGTAATACTATAGATTTAAAGAAATATTGCCAACGTTTTAGTTTTAAATCACGCGTTCCTATCTTTTAATCGAACACATAATTATAAGTAGTGTACATTATTACAAAAGTAGGTGTATAACTAGAAAGCTAACGCTAAACCTGCAGTATTTAACAGTGTAAAGATAAATTGGTTCATAAATATAATTTAAAGCATTTATTAATACTAAAGAAATTCAAGAATGAGTTTAAATTCCGTTGGTGCCGTTAGTTATAATAGTATATCGTTATGAAACGTATCATAAATGTATCCAGGATGCAGCCGGGCGCAGGAGGGCGCGCCCAGCGTGGAGCAGGTGACGGTGGACGCCGACCTCGGCGCCTCGAGGGAAGCCTCGCGCACGGGTGAGTGACACATGAGAGTTGTTAGTTACGACTTACGGTAATACATTCATACGGTATTACGGTAGTGTTTTGAGTCAAGTATAAGTGGAATAAAAATAATAATGTTAAAGTATATTGTTATTCTGATGAACATTGTTGTCACACACTATATATTCTGTGAGGCCACCTACTGTCCATCATCACAATGTTATAATCACTTCCTCACAAGGACCCGTTATCTGTAACACCAGTAATCCAATGATAACTCACTCTTTTTATATGTACTGTTATTTAATTCCTTAATTCTTATCAGATTATTAATTCCACTCACATATTTGTAATCAGTTCGTGTTGTATGAAGTGTTCCTTCTTTATGATTTTCTTGGTTTCTGTGTCATGTTGTTTAACTACTATATTCATGTTACAATCATAATATGAAACAGGACCACACAACAACAATATTTTTTCTATCCTTGTATTGTGTATTTTAATCAGGAAATTCCATAACTTACCATAAAATAAGATGTTACCCTTAGATGAGTGAGTGGTTTGCTTTGTGCTATGTTATATTTAAACATCATTATCATATTTATTTTGAGGTTTGACTTACTTCAGACATACATGTAACCAACTGAGTTGTTAATTTGGGGGAGTATCTGTTAGATACAATAACATATCATAAAAGTAGTCAGTAACCTTCCAATGACTAAACTCTACCAAATCTACTGCTCTATTCTGAGTTGAGCAGAGTTGTACACTCTTCATTTTTTTTTATATGTGTATGTGATTAACAATATATCAAAGATCATGAGATAATGTTTCTCCATCATAGATAAGGTCTGTCTTCTTTCTCCCATTCACCTCTCCCTAATATATTTTCACAGAGACTCATAGTCATCTCTTCATTGGGATGTTAATGTGATCATTTAGGACTTTTGGATATAAAAACAAGCCATGTTGTCGCTACTAGTTTATTAACTTTTATTTGATAAAACTGATTCAAACCTAAGTCAGTTAATACACATTTCTGTAGAATGTTTTCAGATGTTTGTTTCTATTATCGTCGTTTGAGTCCATAATCAGCGGCGAGCACCCTCAGGCGCTCCTTGAGCCAGGCCGAGTCAGTGATGCGATGTCTCGGTGGAGCGAGCAGGCCCGTGTCCTCGCTGTACACTCTCTGTCCACTCCACCAGCCGTACCTGCTGTCAGTCTGCTTGTTATAGAGCAACACCTGAACCAATACAACCATAGATGAGTACTCACTCGTGAGCGGAGGTGACGGGCACCCGGTACTTGTCCCGCGGCCCTCGTGTGAACATCTCCTGCACCCTCCTCAACGTACCCTCCTCCCCCTCCTCGACGACTCTCCCCCACTCCTTCGAGCTCACCGCCGCCGCTGGGAAGGAACAGCATTGTTATTGTCGTCATCCTAAGTCATGACTTGTAGACAAAGAAGATTTGTTAGTATTTACGCAGCCCGAGCGGTTTTATTGCTGACACGTAGGAGCGACCGAGCTCACGCTGGGCGGCGAAGCGTAGCTTAAAGGATTTTATGTGTAAATTGTTTGGTTCAGAAGGATAGGTCTCGGGCTCGTGCTCGCTCTGTTCGATCGACATCATAAATGTGAGAATATGAATCTTATAAATCACTCGCACTGGCAGTTGAATAAAAAAAATTATTAGGAGTTTCAATCGTCGCAGATACTTGAATATCTACGATTATTTTATCGATAACACGGTTGCCCCGTAACGAATTAAGTGTGGTTGCAATGAATGGTCATTCAGAGATTGTGTCTGTCGCTTTTGTCAAAGCGGTGTGTTAGTGTGCTCATTGTGAATGTATAGAGGGAAAAAACATCAAAATTACTTGAATGTACTGATCGTGTATCTGGATTTATAATTTTCTGCGATCGATATTGTGTATATTTGTTATTCATATTTATTATATCATCGTCACGGTGTTACAGATGCCGAGGCCGTGCTGCGCGAGGAGGAGGCCATCTCCCCCGACATGCTGAGTGTGGCTCAGCAGCGAGAGATGCATAAAAACGCACAGAACTATACCTTCCAAACGGAGGTGAACCGCATGATGAAGCTGATCATCAACTCGTTGTACAGAAACAAGGAGGTCGGTACATATTCGTAGTGTTCCGTATACAGACCGTAGTGATGATTATTTGTATTCCTTGGAAATAATAACTGCTGACTTCCATCGCTCCACAGATCTTCCTCCGGGAGCTGATCTCTAACGGGTCGGATGCCCTGGACAAGATCCGGCTGCTGTCCCTGACGCAGCGCGAGGTGCTGGACGTGAACCCCGAGCTGAGCGTGCGCATCAAGGCCGAGCCCGACAAGCGCCTCCTGCACATCATCGACTCGGGCGTGGGCATGACCAAGAACGACCTCATCACCAACCTCGGCACCATCGCCAAGTCGGGCACCGCCGACTTCCTGTCCAAGATGCAGGACGCGGAGAAGGGCGGCGCGCAGGAGATGAACGACATGATCGGTCAGTTCGGAGTGGGCTTCTACTCCGCCTTCCTGGTGGCCGACAAGGTGACGGTGGTGTCCAAGCACGCGGACGACGACCAGCACGTGTGGGAGTCGGACGCCAACTCGTTCAGTGTGGCGCTCGACCCGCGCGGGAACACGCTCAAGAGAGGGACGCACATCACGTGAGTACCGAATATATTATATATTGAGTATATTAGAAATAGATGCGCCACTGTGGGTTTCAGTTTAGAAACCTACCATGTACCGTGTACGCCAGATGTCGCGGCATTTAATAGCTAGGACGTGGACGCCACTACATGGCGCTTGATGTTATTCGAATTTAATAGGGAAAATGCAAATTTCAATTTTATTATTAACTTTAATCAACCAAAGATTAAATCTTAAATCTTTGGTTGGTTTAAGTTAATAATAAAATTAAGATAAGAATAAATAATATGCATAGGTTCAAAAATCCAACTTCTGGTGTTTTGCCTCTATTTACAATATTTACTTAGCACACTTAAAAAACCAAGTAAAATTAAAAGCAGAACATATATTCAAATATTTATTATAGAAGGTGGGTTATCAGGGTGGCGGCGTAAATGACGATACGTTATGTAGGAAAACACTTGTAATGCTCGTTACAACGGTTACAATACCAATGCCTGATATATTTAAACTAGCTGCATTTATACAAAAACATCTTGACCTCATTTAATATTAAATTTGAAAACTTAAAAGATAATATTAAACATTGTTTATCTTAATTATTCTAATGATTATTTACGGACAGATATTATTTAATAATACAGGATTATGTAACATTAAATATTAATATATTACACCGGAAGTTGATAAGCAGCAGATAACCTAGCCAGATCAGTAAAATAAGATTCTAGTTAGCTTAATCCTTACATTATACATAATAAAACAAAATTATTATTGCGTTGATTAATCGACATAATTTGAGGAAATATGAATAACAATAAGCACTATTTATTAATTGCGCCGGAATTATTAATTGATAACATTATTTTTTTCTTTTTGTGAGTATTATAATATGTAATCGCTTGGACTTTAACATTATCCTCATTATTTGGACAATTTGTAAATTTTCCCGTATTAACATTCGTGCACCAACTATGAATTATTAAATGTATGATATAATTTAATAAAACTCCTTTAAGGTGTTTATGACTTTCGCAAGAAACGAAAAATCACAATATAAATCAGCTTTTCGAATATTTTTTTCTTTTATATTTTTTGTTTGTGGTTCTACACCTAATTGTGTTTGTAGTACTTAAGTATAGAGTTGGTACAGCATTTTGCGTGAGTCGTTTACTTGAAGAACGGTAAAACTGTTCAAAATGACGATCACATACTCTTACATTATTATAAATGTAAAAATCTTCCTTTTGTTTCATGTCTTCATTTAAAATATTTTTCCATTGAATGAATTTCTCCAAATTTGGGTATTCAGGTTTAGGAAATTGATGAAAAGGACCTGAAATGTTTTTATTAGAAGTCAATAAACTGTTACGGTTGAAATTGATGTAACGTATATTTTTATTATATATGTAGATTTTACTAAATAAGTATCGTACCTTTAGTCGCACACCGAAAATAACACTTCATAGCCGATTTTCGTGGCATTTTTTCAACTTATCGATAATCCAAATTCATAGTTTTGCAATCAAAAATGCAATCAAAAACAACAGTAAACAACGGCAAATGAGCGACGGGAATAATTAAAAATTTGTCCTTATGTCAAATCAATTTGAGAGCTACTTATGCCGTCTATGAAGTTATAAATGAAAATAGTGTCAAAGTTGTTGTACCTTGTTCGTTAGATGCCAGCACTTTCTATAAATTAATTTCCTACACGTTAATTATATGACAGTTTCATCCCAATGCTAGTAACTATGTGTTGTGAGAGGTCGGATTGTGCAAGTAATGGTATATCAGAAGGATGTGAGATGCTTTAGTTCTCTGTTTAAAAATATATAACAATAACGATTGATGTCGTCGGTGGCAGGCTGCACATGAAGGAGGAGGCTGCGGACTACCTCCAGCCGGACACCATCCGCGCGCTCGTCAAGAAGTACTCGCAGTTCATCAACTTCCCCATACACCTGTGGGCCTCGAGGACGGAGACGGTGGAGGAGCCCGTGGAGCGGGACGAGGGAGGCGCGGAGGAAGAGGAGGAGGACGCTAAGGTAGGGACGAGGAGGGGGAGGAAGGAGATGTAGGAGATGATAGGGAGACTCACGACACGCGCTCATACAGGTGGAGTCCGAGGACAAGGCCGAGACCAAGAAGACCGAGAAGACCATCTGGGACTGGGAGGTGATGAACGACAACAAGCCTATATGGACCAGGAAGCCGGGCGAAGTGCAGGACGACGAGTACACGCAGTTCTACAAGAGTCTCACCAAGGACACGGCCGCGCCGCTCGCCAAGTGAGTGTGTGTGTGTGTGCAGCTGTCTGTGTGTGTGTGTGAGTGCGACACGTGTAGTGTACAGCGGCGTGTCGTTCGTTCCAGAGCCCACTTCGTGGCGGAGGGCGAGGTGACGTTCCGCGCGCTGCTGTTCGTTCCCCGGGTGCAGCCCGCCGAGTCCTTCAACCGCTACGGCACCAAGACGGATCACATCAAGCTGTACGTGCGCCGCGTCTTCATCACCGACGAGTTCAACGACCTCATGCCCAACTACCTCGCCTTCATACAGGTGCCCTTCCACCCACTACACATTTATTATATTTTATTTGGATAGCCAACAAAAGAAAACATTAACACATTCATTACATTAACAAACTATCAATAATAACCTAAATGTCCTTTTAATTATAGGCTATCACATCATGCAAAATACATATAGTAATTATAGTGAATCAAAATTTAAATTAAATTACAATAAATATAATAAATTAATAAAACATTACACAATAATCACTAAAATTTACATAACTAATAAAATTATTACAATTTAACATTTCAATACAATAATAACAAAAATACATGTATATACAGGGTGACTGGTGAATTACTATCAATATTTAAGGAGCATACTCGGTACATGATTCTCATTCGAATTATGTAAAAAAAATAGGTACTTAATTTTTGACCAAATTTCCGTATAAATAAATAAAGTGTGTACACGTTCCAAGTGTTCCAAGTGTGGAAGCGTGTGGCGACGTGCTGATACAACAACACGCCGCCGCGCGCGAGTGTGTGTGTGTGTATACCTAATCTGTAGGGTGTTCATACGATACGTAATTAATTACATAACTTTTGGTTAACTTTACTTAGAAGTTTATTAATATTTATGTTATATTAATTTTTATTTTGTCATATATGATCGTCAAATATCACGTCCTCAAATATCGATAGTAATTCACCAGTCACCCTGTATATATATTTTATGTTATTTAAAAAAGAGAAAAAAAAAGCATTTTGTGTATTATTTATAAATGGTCAAAATTTTTTTTCTTGAATTGTACCAAATTGTCGTGGCATATGTCTAGATCATTTAATTCTTTGGAAATGTTATTATATTATAATGTCGCCATTCTGGGTATTGGTGAGTTTTTACCCAATTGAGTCCTGTACGTTGCAACTTGAAGTAGTTTTGATGGATAACGGGGAATCCTAGATGGGATTCGAAATAAAATTCTATTCAGAAGATCTGGACATTCAATTTCGTTGTTCAAAAGTTTGTAAAGAAACATCAATGATAAGATTTTTCTTCTGTTTTCAAGCCTGCAAACGCTAAAGTAGTTTAACCTCTCATTATAATTTTTAAGGTTTAGTTTAAATCTAAATGATAACTGCCGCAAGAAACGCTTTTGAATATTTTCAATTCTTGTGATATAAATTTATTTATAAGGTGGTTTATTATATCTGCTTTGAATGCATTTATTATGTCTGCTTCGAATACCTCAGTCGAACCACAGCGACCGATATGATTTGTAACAGGGCATCGTGGACTCGGACGACCTGCCGCTGAACGTGAGCCGGGAGACGCTCCAGCAACATAAACTCATTAAGATCATCAAAAAGAAGCTCGTGCGGAAGGCGCTCGACATGCTCAAGAAGATCCCCGACGACGAGTACGACCACTTCTGGAAGGAATACTCCACCAAGTGAGTGTCGGGCGGGGGATGGGGGAGGGGGGGGGGGGAGGTTGAGACTTGACTAACTATGGTCCGTCCACAGCATCAAGCTCGGCGTGATGGAGGACCCGTCCAACCGCTCGCGCCTGGCCAAGCTGCTGCGGTTCCAGTCGTCGCGCGGCTCCGACATGACCTTCCTGAGCGACTACGTCTCCCGCATGAAGGAGGGCCAGTCCCACATCTACTACATCGCGGGCGCCAGCCGGGCCGAGGTGGAGCGCTCGCCCTTCGCCGAGCGTCTGGTCCGCGCCGGCTACGAGGTGCTGTATCTCACGGAGGCCGTGGACGAGTACTGCCTGTCGTCGCTGCCCGAGTACGACGGGAAGAAGTTCCAGAACATCGCCAAGGAGATCTTCGACCTGGACGAGGACGACCGGCAGAAGGAGCAGCTGGAGGCGTACAAGAAGGAGTTCGAGCCGCTGACCAAGTGGCTCGGAGACAAGCTGTCGGCGTGGATCACGCGCGCACAGGTGTCGCGGCGCCTGGCCCGCTCGCCCGCCGCGCTCGCCGCCACCGCCTTCGGCTGGACCGGCAACATGGAGCGGCTCGCCATGTCCAACGCGCACCAGAAGGCGGACGACGCGCAGCGGAGACACCACCTCACGCAGAAGAAGACGCTGGAGATCAACCCGCGGCACCCCGTGGTGAGGGAGCTGCTGCGGCGCGTGCGGGATGACCCCGACGACCCGCTGGCGCTGGACGCGGCGCGCACCCTGCACCGGACGGCCGCGCTGCGCTCCGGGTACATGCTGCAGGAGGGACAGGCCGCGGAGCTGGCCGACCAGGTGGACGACATGCTGCAGCGGGCGCTCGGCCTGACGCCCTCTACCGGGATAGAAGAGGAGGACGAGCTGGAACACGAGCCCGCCGCTGACGAGCACGAGCTGGACGCGGAGGACGACGCGCACGACGAGCTGTAACCTGTGACGTGTGTGTGTGTGTGTGAACGGGGCCGGGCCGCCTGTAACTCATTGAGACTGCCTATTTTTACATTTCGTATATAAGTTCACCGACAGTGTCAGAATATGATTTCTGTAAATAAAGAGTAATATTAATTTATTTCGATTTCCTCAATGGACGTGTTTCATATTTGTATATCTTACAACTAATCATCTCTGTCATTAACACCCGCAGTCCTCGTCTCCTTGTAACAAGTGTATTGTTGTCGTCTCCCCACAGTCTGATCTCATCACACCACACTCATTAACACGAACATGTATCATAGTACAGGAGCTAGTCCGTATATGTTCGTAGGGTGCGGTGCGTGTTGGCACTTCACTTGTAGCGTCCTCAAACACTAATTACAATAATGCGAGGACAGCAGGAGTTGAGAATGTCTACCTCACACCACACACTACCCTACGGCACACACGCGACACTTTTTATAAACTTTGTTTAAAATTATTTTTTAATGGTTAAAGATTTTGCAAAAAAGCACATTTATTTAAATAATTAGAACAGTTACATAATTGGCAAAAGTGGCACTATGATTGTACGTTCTTTCATTGTAAAGCTCGTACATTCGTTGACTACTTTTATAAATTCCAATAGTCGCCCAATCACTGAATTTTAAAAAGTTATTTGTATTGACTGTTTTAGAAGTGAATATTGATTTAAAACTCTTTCTAATTAATTTAAATAGATTGTTAAATAATACATTGGGATTATCACTAAGATATATGCGAGGGAGATTAGCCATAATATTACTTCTAAACTTCTCAATATGACTTGCGGTCAAAGGAACAAACATTATCTTTTCAGAAGTACTTATTTTTTTAACATGAAAATTAAATAAGGCTTGTTGTCCACAATGATCTGAACTTAGGTTATTAATAATATAATTTTGTTTTGTGGTCTGTGGAATACAGGTAGCAAATATGTAATTAATGCAAGTTGCCGTGGAATCTGTTATTCTAGTTGGTTCTAAGAACAGATTTACCAGATTATATGAACTTAACAAAGGTCTGAATCTAATATTTGTGGTTGAATTATGCAATAAATTTATATTAAAAACTCCACAAACAATAATTTCTTTATTAGATCCAGGTAATTTAGATAGAACATTGTCCAATATATTTTCAAATAATTCATATAATCCACTAGGGGGCCTGTATACGCATACAACAATGACACGCTCGAGCTCTGCACAGGCTATTTCTATAGTTTGCTCAATAGAAAGGCTCACAATATCTTCACGTTCTTTAAATTTTATATTTTTACACAGGAGTATTAAAGAGCCACCACGTATAGCTTTATTTCTACTGAACAGACTAGCAATCTGGTGCCCACTAAAGTTAAACATAGCCTGATAATTTAGAAGCCAATGTTCAGTTAAAAACAAAATATCAATGCCATTACAGGTCATAAATAGTTCAATTTCTAACATTCCTATTTCCTTGAATATTTTGGTGCACCAGATTTACAATTTTTTTGTTATTTACTTTCTTATTATTTTTATCGGCTTCTGTAGTAACTATTTTTAAACGGTTTTATTTAGCTCACCCTGTTTGTTTTATTCTTTATTTGTTCTTGGGTCAAATTTTAATAATTCAAATTTTACCCTCTTCCTGTCAACCGATTAATCTGAAATTTTGTATACACTATGGATTTTGGTGATAATACAATTATGTTTATTCATTATCATTATAAATTCAAGATGGCCGCCGCTACAAAATGGCGGATAATTTTTAATTTTACCAATCCCATCAATATGGGTATCAATTGAAAGTGCTCAAGCAGTAGAATACTATAAAAAATTTAAATCCAAAATGGCGGATAACGTAGGTTTTATCAATCCCATCAACATGGGTATCAAATGAAAGGTCTCAACAAGTAGAATACAATTTACTATGCTAAATTGAAATCTAAGATGGCCGCCGCTACCAAATGGCTGATAACATTTTTTTAGAGGAGGTGGACTGCAATAAACTAACGGGCAAGAAACCTTGCAATAATGAAGCACAAATGAATTAAACAGAATGCGAAATAAAAACTAGAAAATAAAAATAGGTAAAAAAACTTTTTAAGTTAAACGGTTTTACGTGAAACATACATTGCAATGTTTAAGATAAATGTACTAAAAACCAAAAAATAATAAAATAGAAACAGTCGTGGGAATTATAAACATATGCACAGACTAGACTAAAATAAAAGCGTGGGGCACCTCAACTTTTTGGTGAATCGGTTCAGCCGTTCTTGAGTTATAAGTGGAGTAACTAACATGACTTTCTTTTATATATATAGCTTATGTTATTGATGTCAATAAGTTTTATTTTATTACATACTAGAAGACCTGGCGAACTTTGTATCGCCCTATAATCAAGAAATATCTATTACGTTTTTTTATTTATATTTTTGGAGTTTACCTATAAGCCATATATCTCCGTGTTTTGAAGTGCGACAGAATGATTGACATATTACTTAGTTGTCAAATCTAATGTCAAAAAAAAAAACGTTTGTATGGGAAATAGAAAAGGGCTGTTTTTATGGTTTTCCCGGTAATGAATCAATTTTTTTCAGCTTTTATACCTTCCCTGAACCTCCACGAACATTTCAAGACTAAGATAAGATAAATCTGTTCAGCGGTTCTCGAGTTTTAGCGAGACTAAGGAACAGCAATACATTTTTATATATATAGAAGATATCATTTTTGTTACATAATAAGTATTTGACATGATGTGTAACATATTATTTAATTTAAATCTAATATATTTTTCCTGTGGCACATCTTTAATATAAGGAAATGTGAACATTAATATTCCATCCACATTTAAATTTGATAATTTAGAATAATAATTTTCAAGAATTTTGTTGTTCACATTTCCGCTTCTCCCAACTAATATAATTAGTGTAGTATTGGGGCAATGAGTACTATTCAAAATGCTGTTCATAATATGGGAATAACTTGCACCCGGCATACAATAATTTGATACTGATTGTCCCTTACACATGCCATTGAGCGAAACACCCAAGTTTCTTCCCAATTCATCACTATAGATTTTAGTACATTTTTTGGTGGGAACAGGAAGTGTTATGTTGGTTATGGCGCTGTCATGAGCTGTTGACTGAGACAAGGACACTACATCATTGAGCAGCCCACAACCATCACCAGAGACTGAATGGCCCTGACAATCACAAGTATGGTTTTTTATAGGAGAGTCAAAGCGCTCGGAATTGTATTTACTCAAGTCTAGTAGATCGTTCATGGCAGCAATATGACCAGATATTTCTTTTTGAGGCATTTCATATTTTTTTGACATTATATCTAAAGAGTTATGTAAATGTGTTGTCTCAGCCTGAAGTGCACTCACGTCAGCCTCATAACCTTGTCTCATTACTTTAACATTCTTAGAATATTCAATAATTTTTAGTCTGAGTGTGTTTCTTTCTTTATAAAGTCTTTTATAATTTAAGCAATATTTTCTTGATTTTATTAATTTTTGACTTTTCTTAATATATTTATTAATTTTAACATATTTCACCACTCACCAGTTAAATCAATTGTTGTGATGTTATTGGTATTGGTGATTGGGGACACTAAAGAGGCCGCAATTCCTACCAGTTCATCAAATAGACATTGGGTTTCAGAGGCCTTTAGTTTTAAGCTATTATCTTCCAATTCCGAAATATACAGGGTGACTGGTGAATTACTATCGATATTTGAGGACGTGATTTGTGACGATCATATATGACAAAATAAAAATTAATATAACATAAATATTAATAAACTTCTAAGTAAAGTTAACCAAAAGTTATGTAATTAATTACGCATCGTATGAACACCCTACAGATTAGGTATACACACACACTCACACACGCGTGCTGATACAACACTACGCCGCCGCACGCGTCCACGCTTGGAACACTTGGAACGTGTCAACACTTTATTTATTTATACGGAAATTTGGTCAAAAATAAAGTACCTATTTTATTTACATAATTCGAATGAGAATCATGTACCGAGTATTCTCCTTAAATATTGATAGTAATTCACCAGTCACCCTGTATAATTGGGCCTTATGTAATTTAATTTTTAACTCATTGGTGAGCATGAGGGCTTGCTCATACTCATCTCTGCAATTATCAAACCCACTGACTATTTGTTGCAGATTATTTCTTTGTTCTTCCATGTCTGAGTATTTCAAATGTAACTGAGCAAGCTCCGTTTTTAGATTATTGTTTCTATTAATAATTTGCAAGAATTCTTTTTCGTTATCATCCCTTTCTTTTAATAGTAAATCACACTGTGTCCTGGACGCCTTTAGTTCCTGGAGCGTCAGCTGGAGTTGTTCCTACGCCTAACGGGCCTTGATACTACGAGTCATCATATTTGATTTAAAAAAAGAAGTTGTATGAACAAATAATATAAAAGTAAGCAGTGTGATCAAACAGTTAATAATATTTTGTATGTAGTAATGTTAAAAAGCGTTTCTAAAGTGAGTTAAAGCGATAATAAGAAGCCGAACAAGAAAACTTTTCAAAATTGAGTTCGTTACCTGCGTAATGTCAGCTGACGAACAGAATATAAAAGAAACACTATGCACTTAAACGCACAACACTCAGATTATTGTTATATTTTATATATAACTGATCAATACATTAATGAGAATGTAAGATAAGAACTAATTACAATTAATTTAAAATATAAAATAATTTTAATTTATTGAGAGATGTTTTTTTGTCAAATATTCGACTTCATCAACATATCAATCATTTAATGAAAGTCGTTCAATGAGTTGTGGAGCCAGCAGCAGGCGGTGGTCCGGCGTCGAGGACTTGTTATAGATTGTATTTTATTTAATATAGAAACTAAAACTGGACGGAACATCTTTAAAAAAACAAAAATTAAAAAGGATTACTTTCAGGACCTACATATAGACTAACCCACAAAATAGTCGCTTTGGAAACTAGAGTAAATAGA